TTCTCCAAAACAGTTGGATAGACGTCTTCTAGTGTTAAAATGTCAAAGGTGAATCAGACTGAAAAGTTTTAATCGCTGTTTCCAACACTCATCTAAAACTTACACACTCAAGTCATCATCTTCAATCTTTGGTCGAAGTTACGGCGCTTTATCATCCTCGTGACTCTCTGTTCCAGGAAGAAGAGGACGTTTTTAAGAAATGTTCACAGCTCTGAAAGAGGATTTTCACGGCTATGGCAACATCTACATCTGAGGTAGAAAACAAGAGACCACCGGAGGGGCTCTCTGAGTCATGTCTGGACTTTAGGAAGGGAACACTCTCTGATAAAAGTCTGAAAACATAACCACCCTGTCATTTCCTGTTCCCGTTTGTTGAATCCACTCTTGTTTTAACTATTGTGCTTTTTTCCTGCAACTTCTCCATGTTTTATTCATGACGGTGTTTCCTCCACTCGCCCGTCTGTGAATTCAGTGCAGGTCTTAGCCTGATAAGATTCTGGATCAGACCACCAGACTTTCTCTATCGATCCGTCTTCCCTCTACCTTTTATTTACTACCTTTAGACTTTTAATGAAGGGAGCCTATAGGCGAACACAGACACACTTATGCAATAAACATTAGTTACTTTCAGGTAGTCTTAAGAAGTGCTGCATAAACTTAAAACGATGCTCCACCTCAGGCTCGCCGTGGAAGACTTTGTTGGTAAGTAACGGCTAGACATCAGATCAGCATAAGAAATCAGGGATCTTATATTTTAAAGATCGATGCAAATGTTCTTCTGGTGCAGCAGGCTCAGGGTAAACAGACTGATAAATACTGTTTTTTAAAATTTATCCTGTAGATACCTCTTTGAATAAAAAACAGAGTCTTTCCCTCTTAACAGGTCACCGTTATGTCTCCGAGTTCACGCCAAGTATACACCCAAAATCCAAACCATCAATTCTCTGTGAGTTCAAGACTCTGAGAGAGGTCTAGATATTGTTCTACCAGAAGCTGCTGTCGGTATGTTCAATGTGAATATATAAGACCCAATAGTTGGTCGCTTGATTGGACAGGAGTGGATCGAAAGGTGGCAAGAGGTGGCCTAGACCCCTACGACCCCTACTGAAATTTAATTGGACAGTCTCTGAACCAGCTAATCAGTAACAATCGAAAAAACACACCAAGCTTGATGAAAACAGTAAAATATTCATAACTTTTTAGTAATTTGCACAGAAAATTTTTTGCGTAGCTTCTAGAGGGGGTAAGGGAGTGTGCAAATCCACTCTACAGGTGTTTCCTGGACTTGAACGCCCACTGCGCTGACCTTTGGGGGTTCAGTTTTGCAGATGATGTGGTTCTGTTGACATCTAACCCGAGATTTCCACTGCGTCCGGAACGGTTCCGATCTATAACTGCGGCAATTTTCGCCAAACACCAACTCCTACTGTTTGTGAGGCGAATTCTGTGGCGGATTAAGGACAGCGGGAATCGCGAGAACTCACAAGAACACGTGGATTCACGTGCAATCACGCGATAACAAGTTGTCTTTAGCCACATAGGCTAACCATATAAGCAGTAGATTGTGTCCTTCCAGAGGAGGAAATCTACTTCTAGACTTCTAGAATCAGCATCTCCTCATCCATGGTGTCATCGGGGTGAAATGACGTCTAAAAACCTTTCACTTGTTCGTCTCCGCCCGTTTGAAATACGATCCGGATGTTTTATTTTGTGTCTGTGCCCGACTTCCTTTCCAGCACGGGTTAATCTGTGCTGAATTTCTCCGACATGCTCCAGCGTCTGTAAAAAGTAGAACTCTTGTGATCAGCTGAGGAGTCCGACGATCCGCAGAGGAACGGAAAGAAGTCGGTGTAAATTGACACGTTAACTTGAATGGTTATGATCAGCGGATATGACCTTTTCGTAGCCGTTCTGGATGTGGTGGAAATTGGGGGTAAAGGCAGGGACCTCCAGCAGACATTGTGGAGGTTTGCACCTTCTTGAAAACAGTAGACTGGCCTCTCCGTCTTAAAATCTGTAGATAAAATCTTACAGTCTGTGAAATAAACTCAATGACCGGTTTAAACGGATGTATCAGAACCGGTTCAGTCGTCTGTTCTGTCTCTGTGGACTCGTGTTAACATGGTTTACTTTGTCGTCTACCTCCCTCATCCAACCAAACGCCAACTGAGGACACACACTCTCCTTTCAGCTTCTTCATCCTCTTTCACATTCACACATTTTAGACCGCATGCCCACTGCCCGGGTCCAAACACTGAGCTGTCCCACTCGAGCAGTTGGCAGTCGAGCCGCTTCGATCAAAGGCCAGTGAAGAGGAGCTGTTGAAGGAGGAGGAGGAGGAGGAAGAGGAGGAGGTGTTACACATTCATTCTCCACGCTCAACACTCCCCAGCTGGTCCTGTGGAGCCTGCTCCTCTGGGATTTTGCGGGTCTGACGACAGAGAGGTTTGTAGTCCATTTCATCCCAGCGAGAATTTGACTCACGTCCTCATCGTGTCGCTTTTGGGAGGAAATCTGGATATTTGTGGCACTTAGTGACGCGTCCTACTGTTCTGGTTATTAGCCGACCTTTTAAACGCCACTGTTAAATGAATGCTTCCTCTTGTACCGCAGATACGTCCAAATTTAATACTCAGACTTCTGTGAAATTAATATTCCATGAGTTTGTCACGACTGCCAGAGAGTTACATTTCTCTATTTTGGTCATTGTGGCCGCACTATCTCCTATCTCCAATCTCAATCTCGTGAAGCGGACGCGGATGTCATGAGGCTGTGCAAATTGAGGTAAAATGAGAACACCGTCAGCTTTCAGAAAGACCGGGTAGTTCCTGGTAAAATGGTCCAGTTTGCAGCCATCTCTAATGTCCTCAAATGATAGAAAAGTTGGGGAACAATGGTTTCATTTAAGAGCTCAGGAAGCGTCTTTGAGTGACTCTACACGCTCGGGATGATGCCACAAAATCCGCAGCCTTTGGCGGTATGTCAGTTCTATTCTCGGACTTTTGCTCTGGTTATGGAGCAGACTATCAACCCCAGAAATCTTCTTTATAAAACACACAATTCATTCATTCATTCATTCATTTATTTTTGTCATCTAAACGGACACGTTTCCCAGAGTCATGATCATGCTTTTGGAAGAAACGGTCATGCTTGTGAATATGAACAAGTGACCAGAAGACAGGGTAATGCAAGTCACAGTTAGGTCATTTAAGGCAACTGCTTCATCTAAACACTGCGATGATCGAGCGCAGTTCTCAACTGGTGGATCCTGACCCAAAAGTGGGTCGTGGACATGCTCTGGATGGGTCACAAACAGCTGATCAGAACAGTAAATATGTAATGTGAATCTGATGTTGGACATGTCTTTTATTTTGAAAAATAGCTTTTTTTGTGCAGTTTGATATTTATTTGATATTTGATTATGCAACTTTAGTAGTTGAAATGCACTTTACTCAATAAAATGGGTGTATTTGTGTTAAAGATTCGAGTCTTTAAAGTTTTGTTTTTTTAATAAAAAATGAATTTGTTTGGTTGGAGTGCTACAAAAGTGGGTCGCGACTCAGGACTATGGGAAAATGTGGGTCGCAGAGTGAGAAGAGTTGAGAACCACTGATCTCGTGTCGCTCGCATGACGGGGTAAATATACGGTAGATGAAGGAGAAACACAGCCGGATAGAAACTGTGTGGGACTAGACTCAACTTCTTTTTTCTACATTTGAAAGGCCTCCCCCAAAAACCAGACTACATCCAACCTTCAGGCGTGGACAAAATCTTGATTTCAAAGGTGGGGGGGACACATATGACTTGGGTATTGTTGAGGCATACAGCCTAGCAAACAGCACATCTCACACACACAGTAACAGAGGAGGCGATACAGCCAGCGGGTGGACCGATGAATGTGACGTTAGGGAAGGAAAATAAACGCCGCCATCCTGTAAATTTCCATCAGCAAATAGCGATGTTCACGGACTGACTCTTACGAGCAACTTGCAAAACACTAGTCCGTGAACAACAACAGAACAACACAACAACGATATGGAGAAGTCCCGCCTCCTTCACCTCTGATTGGCTAGAAAAGCTGAAACGTCGTCATACGCTCAAGCCAAATGCGGGCTGTCAGCTCGGAATCTTATCGCACTTCTGAATCTCATAACCCTAACCTGATAGACGATGACGTTTCACAGCCATTAGGAATAACCAATCGGAGCCCAGCACTTCTAGCCAATCAGAGGCGAAGGAGGGTGGGACCTCCCCCTACCATCCTATATAAAAAAAAAATTTGCGTCCCGCGGGTATGGAATGACTGACAGCAGGTATAGCCAATATCACACAAAAAGCGGCCCTGCGGCAGAGCCAATCAAGGACCTTGTGGGCGGTCCAAACCAAGGGAAAACAGTTTTCGACTTGAGCGACCATTTGGTCCTTGTGTCTGACGTGTATCGGTGTGCTATAATGTTAAATAACATGGTTTTTTATATTGGGACCAAAACAGGCTGTTGAAATTACATCCGTATCTACAGGTGTGCAAAGACGGGGCCTGAGTCAGCAGGAAATGAGTCTAAATAAAGCTCACATGGTGGCATTCACCGATTTTATACATAGAAGGTAATCAGCTGATGCTCTCGGGGCTCAGCTTGAATCGGTCACGTTCCTGAACTTTGTCTTTGCTCAATTCAACAATTTTAACGCTCTCATGTCGTACAACTAAAAAATCTGTCAAAAACAGGTCAGTTCGCCCTGAGCTCTGGTACAGTCATATCACGATGCAGCGTATAATTATCCCAGCTCCACTCGCAGATTCATAAATGAAGGTTCTGGGTCGACCCTGACGGTGAAACACTCTCGGTATTTTACACACAAACTGCGTCTAACGACCATTAAGATTACCGCCGTTTTGAAAAAGGTCAGCAGTCATTTTCTCCCCTGAAGCTCTCAGCGAGGAGAGTCAGAAGAAAAGGTCAACATTTGACAAGTGTTGAGTGGAGAACCTGCGTGACACGATGGGTCGGCATTGTGTGTCAGCGATTTTCCCTCCAGAGCCGAGGGAGACGGAAACACAATCCGAAGAGAGGTATTCAAGAAAGAGCGGAAACAGCAAGAAGGTTCTCAAGGTTCGAATCCCAGCTGGAGGAACTGTAAAACAAGATCCAGATTAAAATGGACGGGTCAACATACCCTTGAAATTTAACTCTCCATCGATACCTGACGTTTTAGAGTCAGATCAGGCGCGCCGGAGTGAGGAGAGCATGCACAATCATGTACCGTACTGCGTGTTCTGGACCATTTCTGCTCGGTGGAGCTTTTTCTCCTTTTCTCTATAATTATGAAATATAAAAACAAGAATAACAGACGTGCGTTTAGCCAGGTAAATCGCTGTGTTGTGGTCGAGCACACCCACTGTGAGGAAATGTAGGCTCAGGATATAAAGGAGCTAAAAACGGTGATAACATTTATGAGTGAGAACGTGGGTCCATGAGGGACCGGCGTGCTGGGGTACTCTGAAACATTATGATGGGGCCACTTCTGCGTTGAGTTACTGCCTGCTGTTAAATGTTCTGTGGAGTCTTCATTAAATCGGAGGACAACATCGGCTCGGCCCGGTTAGTCATCCGGATGGTGAGGACATGTTGGTCTTGGTGAATCTGGGCTCAATAATTCATGATTCAACAGGATTTCTTACAGGTGTTCGTGTCGGGAGTGTCGTATATTATCTTTGACTCTTTTAGCCGATGGGTAGATGTACATTTACTCACTTTCCTTTTGTGTTTGTGTGCCGAACCCTATTTCCTGTTTCTAACTGTGGCTCAGACCACCGCTATGAGCTTAATGGAGGGACTGAAGCAGACCGGGACGTCAGGGAATTGTAAAAGTGCAGAGAACGGAGCAAAAAAACAGAGCTTCATGATTTATATGGTGTTGTTTCTTTGGTGTAAATGTTAGCGGATGGAAAAACAGAGGCTCAGATCCTCGAATTTTCATGGATAGTAGATAAAACAAAGGAAAAAGGATACACACACACACACACACACACACACACACACACACACACACACACACACACACACACACACAATGAACCAACAAGAACAGAGGTGAAGACAGGGACTATATACACACACTGGGTAATGAGCAACAGGTGAGTCTGATGAGACACAGGTGAGACTGATGGGTGATTAACGAAGGAGGGAAAACTAGGGAAGTAAAACCAGAGTATAAACACAAGTAATCACTCCTACAAAATAAAACAGGAAATAAACACTGAAAACTGATCTAAAGAATAAAACACAGAGAACACGAGGGAAACAGGGTCAAAAAGGAAACACAGAAAACTCACTTAAATAACAAAACCAGAGAAAAACTAGCTCAAATAGACTCAGCCTTCCAGGATCTTCTGCTGTACGGTCTAAAGGTCCTTACACACCGGCGAATGTGCGGAGCGAAGCGAAAAAGCGAGACGAAAATTGCGAATATTTGCCGGTCCGAAAAATCGCTTTCGCCTATACACACCGGGCTCGAAGCGAATATGCGTATATTTTTGCAAAGCGAATTAATAAAGTCGCTTTGCGGCACGGAGGAGAGGAGATGCAGGGTGGTCCTGTACCGCAATTACCGGTGGTGGTGTGTGTCGTGTGGACGGCTGCTGATTGACATGTCTAGCATTATGAGCGAGGGAGAAAGAGGAGGAAAAGCTGTGAGAGAGGCGAAGGCTGAGCAGTGATCTTTAGCTGCAAATCATCGGCATGTCAAAATGATGAGGAGGTCACCCTGTGAAGTGTGCATGACACCTGTCTCCTAAGGAAGACATGAGAGTGTCATCTTGTGAGGAAACTACTTCATTAGTAATTCGAAAGAGTTTTGGATGCACCTCAGCTGCCTTTCCCTGCGTTTTCATAATCTCAGACTTCTCCCTCTCCTCCAGCCGTATGGGTCTGTGATGTCATCAACAACATGACTTTTGATTGGCCAGAGGTCTAGCAGGTCCAGATATTCGCCTGCGAATATCCGAAAAATTCGACACAGGAGCGAAAAAATAAAAGCGGCTTTTCGCCCCGCGGAAAAATCGCCGCCAGTGTGGAAGCTTGCATTGACTTTATGCTGTTTTAAAAAAAGGCGAATAATTCGCTTGGCGAATTCTCGCCCGGTGTGTAAGGACCTTTAGGCTGGGAAACCAACGAAGAAGAACTAGACCAACAGAGGAAGCATTCATCTCCTATCAAAGGTGATTCTCTGTGGATCTCTGTTCATAAAAGCCTCTGAGTCTGCATCAAATCTAAGCTGATCATCCAAACACGTCCCAAAGTAGTTGTTCAATTTTAGAGGCTCGATGATGCATTTCTGTGCTGCACCGTGTGTAGACTCAAAAATCACTTCTTCAGATTTGGAAAGACTGAAATTAATCTTTTTTAAACCTGCAAACTCTGAACCAGAATCGAGCTGCTTTCAATTCTGCTGTATGTGACTTATTTTAATCTAGTTTTCTTTTATTGGTTTCTGTGATTTTCTGGGATAAAAAGTTTAATTTCTCTGGATGAACAGAGAAATTCTCCGTCTGGCTCTGAGGGAAACCGATGTTGTATTCACTGACGTTTCCTCACATACGTTCATCCGTCCTCTGCTTCTTCACTCTGTCTTTTATCATTAATTGTATTCCTTCTCCCCTCTGCCTCTAATTATCGTTTATTAGTCATGGCTGCTTCTATTTCTGGGCCCCGCTAATTGCATGGATACCAATTAGTCACTAATACATACGAGGACGCATGAGTGTGACTGCGCCGCATTCAGATGGAGTGTTTGTGGATGTGGGAGTGGGTTTGCATCCATGCAAATGACTGTCAGTGATTTCTATGTAGATTTAGAGGTCTGTGTGTGATGACGGTGAGGACAGTGTGTGTGTGTCTGTGTGTGTGTGTGTGTGTGTGTGTGTGTGACCCGTCCTCCTCCGCTGCCTGGAAATGATTTTACTGTAATTGTATTGCTGTAATAGTCTCATGGCGTCAACGTGGCTTCCCCCTCATCCTTCTCAAACAGAGCCGAGGTCATGTGACGTCGGAGGAGGAATTAGACCTTCAACCTTTCTCAGTTTGCTCTGACGAAGCCGATCTGGATACAGACGGTGAAAACTAAAGGTGAACAAATACGACTGCTGATGGGGCTGAAACCTGCAGAAACCATGTCAGCGGTATTGTCCTCAGATGCAGATCTTAGCAGGTGATGAAAATGTCTTATTAGGTTAAATTTAAGCCACTTTAACCCAACAAGGATGATGTCTTATTTTAGAAAAGACCTGAAATGCTTGAAATGAGAAAACAGAGTTCTTGAAATGGGCAGAAACCTCGAGCAGAACCAGACTCGTGTTAGACGGTCATCGTCTGAGAAAACTCCACCCAGACCATTACAAGCATCTCAGGTTTTTTTAAGACATGTAAACTACTGAAAGAGGTTATTTGTTTCTGAACTTGTTGTGTGAATTTGGCTTCATAACTAGAAATTAGATAAAAACACTTAAAAAGATTTGAGATTTAGGTGAATTTTAAGTGAGGTGGTGTAGTCAGGATCTGAGTTAGTTCCAGTTTTTAGGAGAAATCTTGACTGTAAACTCTACCCCTCCAACCAGTTTTCCCCTCAGCTCCTCCTCTCCCCTCAAGCCCCGCCCACAAACAGACGCTCCTGCTCGCTCGTATCGTTTCAATTAAATTCAGATATAATGCAGATAAATACTTCAGATCATTACAAATGGGGCCCAGTCAAGGTGAAAGTCAAAAGCATTGGTGCTACTGTAGATGCCAACAGACTACCAGCAAACACAATGTTTGCAGGACTTCTACAACGAGGATAAAGTGACATAGTCCAGGACCCGAGGGAGGACAGTTTAGCGATGGCGCTACAACACGCTACAGCAGGTCCGTTTGACAAGAAACACTTCTGTTACAGACACTTGTCTTACTTTGTTAAAGCGGTTTACCTGTCCAGCAGAAAGGTTACAGGGTCACCAAGATCCCCAAGCGTCCCCCATGGTTTATGTTGACCCGGCTTTTTAGCTCTTGTCCGGTCTACCTCCGTTTTAAGCGCCCGTTATTCCTCCAGAGTCTCCGCTATTTACTTTGTTTTCTTGCTTGTGTCGGCAGTCGTGGCCAAAGGAGGATTCAGACAATTTTCCGAACTTTCTGGTTGGTTTCTACTGTCCGATATTGTAGCACGCGAACTTTGTTTGGGCTCCTGAACGACACGGGGGAGCAGCGTCTGCCTCACAACCAATCAGGTTAGAGGAGGTGGAGAACGGCTTTGTTTACAGTCAGAAAGAGCGGGTCACTCACAAAATATCAATATCGTTTTATTACCAAACGTCATCAATAACTAATAACTATTGACTGATATTAAAAGATTTTTTTGTAGATGCTTCTTTGATGAAATCCGTCCTACTCCACCCTTAAATTTCAGTTTTCATCTCAGGTTTTTCAATATTTAAATCTAGTCTCACACGACGTCTCTGTATCTTTACATTTGCATGAAAAAGACGCAGCTTCATTTGTCAAAGTCTTCGCAGCCAACAGTTCGGAGATTTCATTCACCTGTGACCTGGTGAAGGTCAAAGGTCAGATAAAGGTGTAGGGATGGGGAATTCGCTGATAGTTGGAATACAAATCAGCGCCGATCAATGTGGTTCGCCACATTCCTTCACATGCATCAGCCCCGGGATCAATTGCACGGATACTGACCCCTCATGGGGTTCAAAGGTCAAAATGTTACCATTGATATGTTCCCCCCGCCGTCATACCAGCAGATTCATGAGATAGATTTCTGGATGTGATGGTCCCGTTGGCCCTCAGGGGAGAGAGAGACACAGAGACAGAGAGAGAGAGAGAGAGAGAGAGAGAGAGAGAGAGAGAGAGAGAGAGAGAGAGAGAGAGAGAGAGAGAGGGGTTGTATAATAGGAGCTGCAGAGTGTGACAGTCTGCAGAAGAGTGTGTTATCGAACATCGTCAGTGTGCTTCCCAGCAGACAGTCTTAATCTGGATGCTGCTCATCAGGTTCTCCAACAGGATGAAATGGAGCCCGGTTGGTGCGTTTGCAGCTGCCTGTTCTTCTAAGCTCTGATAAACCTGCTGAACCACCTGCACAAAACGAAACAGAGAAGTTTGAGATGTTAAGCTGCTGCTGTAGATAAAAGCTCCCACTTAATGCACAGATACAGGCGGAGGGAAAAAAAGAGAGTGGGATGCATTTACGGCTGGAGTAAAGAGCACAGAGTAAAGAAGCAAAGCTCTTACAGCGGTGAAGGTGTTCGTGAAAACAATGAGACTAAAGTTTGGATGAGAGGGAGAGAGAGGTGAAAGAGGACGACGCTGAGCTGTTATGTAATTAAAAGAGAAGGGAGGAGGAGGCAGAAAAACAGATGAGGCTGAAAGATAAAACCAGAGAGGTGGAGGATAAGTAGATACGCTTCTCCTGTAAAGAGGAGTCAAGGAGACGCCCTCGTCCTCACTCTGTGTTTGTGTTCATTTGTCTTCTGAGTTTGTTTGGATAAACTGAACCGAAGAAGGAGACGGGGAGGAATGCTTGGATTTCAATCAAAATATTCTGATCTTCACCCAAGTGAGTTATCAACAAGTAACTGTCAGACGTAGAGATGCAGGAAAACTGCTAACCATGATGAAACTAAACAAATAATCCTCAAAGTTGGTGAGAAAATCATCCGTCAAACAGCTGAAAACACTCCAATCAAATCATGCAAAATACTAGCTTGTAATTTCTTCAACCAAAGTTTTGAAACAAATCAAGATTTAAGAAAAAACTAGTGAGATAAAAGCTTCCAAAGGAAAAGTCAACCATTATGCAGACGACACTCTGCTATACCTGCTATGTCGCTTGATGAGAGAGATCTACTTTCTGTGATTGGTTGGGGGTTTTATGCCTATAGAAAATAACCAAGTCTGAGGCCATGGTCCTCAGTCGGAGAAAGGTAGATTAGATTGCCTTCTCCTGCCCCCACGACCCGGACCCAGATGAAGCGGAGGAAAACTAAACGAAACGAAACTTAACAAATATAACCGATTCCACCCTACAGTTTTACTGCAGCAAATATCTCACTTCAGTTCAGGGTTCCTGGAAACTCCTTAACTTTTCTGGTGATTTTCACTCACCACATTATTTATAACCTCATGGATCAGACATTCGGTCAAATTTACCCAAAATTTCAGACCAGAGCTGCTTCCCCGTCACTTCTTTTACGTCTCGATTCATGTGTGTTTTCTGACTGATTCTCAGCAGCTGATGTAGGAAGCGTGTCTCCAATACCACACCATATAATCAGTCTGTTTAGTCCCTCTTGGATTACAGATGGTGGAGCTGACAGTGTTTGAAAATCGAGCCTCGGCTCCTCCTTGGTCTGCTGAGTTTAACTTCTCTGTATATGTACACAACTCAACACCATAAATGAATTAGTGTTCTTACTGGTCTCTGTGTTAAATATCTAAAACTATTTTAACTTTTCTGTTTGGATACGTGTAAAAAAAACTTGTTTAGTTGTTTAGGACCATAACCTTTGAGTCAAAACAACTGGGAGCTGCAGAGAAATCAGAGTAGATGCAGCCGCCTGCAGCAGACACTTTGTAAGATGGCCTTCAGCGCTGAAAGGCCATCATTGGGAAATTACTTTGACCTTTTCCCTCTCACAATTACTTCAGAACTTATTACCAGGAACTCTGGAAAACTATTTGTAAAGGTCAAATGGTTGTTTATGAAAACTTTCCCGTTTATGTTGTGCACAATCGTCCTCCGAGGAAACGTGTACATCTATAAAAACGACAACGGGGCTTTTAGTTTTCTGCAGCTTCGAACTCATGATGGAAAACACTGAATTTGACAGAAAACTTCATGGTGTTCTTATTTATCATTAGAAAATGGAGTCTCTATGAAGGCTGAAGTCAAGGAGGTACGTTAGGTAACACCGACTCAAAGACCTGCAAAACGTGCACTGCAGCATTCATGCGGCTGTATTGAATTGGGTATAAATCCTCGGGTCGAGAGTTCAATGTAAGCTGGTAATCATTGTTATATTCCAGAGATACAGACACTTCAATTCTTTCTACTTTTTTTCCACCAGCAGGTTTTGACCTCCAGAAACACAAAAGGAAACCTTCCTACACATTTTTCTATATCGCAGTTTATCAGCGTGATGGAAAATCTCTCTTCGTTAAGTGAGTTTCGGACCCTTTCGTTTCCGTTTTTTCACTCTTGACAAACGTCTCAGTTTTCTTTGGTTGCTCAAATCTGGATCCCCGACTTTTAAAGAAAAATAAACGAGATGTTCCCGCCTCAAAGAGGGAAACACTTCTAACTCTGCCTCATTAAGCTGCTGCTGCATGGTTTTCTCTGTGTCCAAATGTTGTGTTATCGAAGCGCACGCACTCAAAACTCAGATTTAACTGCTGTATTCGTTTCAAATTGGTACGGACCCTGAGGAAATTAAACCTCCGAACTGCCTATTCTTCAGTATAAAGGCGATTTAACATCAAAAGGGTAAGTAAAGTCATAAATACGGGGTTTCCATGGTGCTGTCTGTGCGGCTCAGAGGACCGTGTCAGCTGCAAACTACGGATAATAAATCAAAACACGCTGACAGTATCTACAAAGACTGGTGTCTTTGTTTTAAGACGCGGTGCACATGCAAAGGACTCGGCTTCTTGTGACTAAGACTGATGTCCAAAGTGTTTCTATAACAGTAAACAGGTTTGATTGACTCCTCCTCCTCCTCCTCTGCCGCTGCCGCCGCCGCCTCTTCCAATTAGCAGCCCATCCATTGTAGCTGTCAGTTTGCTCTGATGTAAGACTGAAAGCTTACTGTCTTTACAATTAACAAGAAACTGCAGGGACGAAAACATCCATCACTCTGCAACGTTTCCAGCAAAAAACAATCTGACGGGGGGAAATATTCGGGGTAATTAATGGACTTAGTGTTAGAAGCAGCTGTTCCTCCGAAGCATCGTTAAAATAAATGTGAAATCTTTGTGCAATTAGTGTCAAACATCAACAGCACCAGCAACAAGTGTACAATACTGCTTATGTATACAGTTTCATTATATTTCAGTCCTTTGTGACCTTTCACAGCAGCATACTCGTACAGAATATACAACCAGCATTCACAGGAGGGAGTATTGTGCTGCTTGGGTTGTTCTCTTCTCATTCAGACGGTTGGTTATAATGTGTTTGACGGCATCATTTACAAACCCTTTTCTGATAGATTTCAGTTTAATACAACAGGAGACATTAAAACAAAGTTTCTACTTTAACCAAAGGAGTTCAACAAGGATCAATTCTGGGTCCTGTCTCATTCACCCTAATGATAACCGTTAAAACTGACTGTAATATCAATCGTTATGCAGATGATACCATTCTGTATTGTTCTAATGACTGTTAAGCTCACTGACTTCTGCTTTGTTTTGGTTCTCATCAGACTTTTTAGCCTTAAACTGTTTCTTAAAGGCAGTAAAACCAAACTAAAGTTAACCACTAGAACTGACAGTAATATCAATCGTTATTTGGATGATACCATTCTGTATTGTTCTGTTGACTCTGTTAACCTTACTGCTAACAAACTACTGCTTTATTTTGGTTCCTCTCAGTGTTGTTTTCATTGACAAAAATATTTCGTCGACGTCATCGTCAACGAAAACAAAACTGGTGTGTGTGTGTGTTTGTTGGAGGAGCACAGCGGGCTGATGACAGCTGTCAAAGCGGACTGAAGCTGCTCCTATATGTTTAGCGTTTAACTGACAAAATGCTCCTGAATTTTGAAACTCTGTTCGTCATCCACCACTAACGCCAACGCACATTCGTCTCGTCACATTTTAGACATCTAAGATGTAGGTTTAGCTCGTCAACGTCACGTCTTCTTCGTGGAAAAAAAGGGAAATATTTTAATCAGCGAAAACAACCAGTGTTGTTTCTGTTGATGAAAAATATTTCCCTTTTTTGATGATGACGTTGACGAAATATTTTCCCTATGCAGATGATACAATTCTGTATTGTTCTACTGACTCACTGTCAACAAAATACTGCTTTGTTTTGTTTCCCATCAGACTTATTTGCCTAAAACTGTTTCTTACAGCTGGTGAAACCAACCTTAACCGTTTATTAAAAGTATTATCACTCACATCCAGAGGCCTGTTCAACACATACACTGTAAGTGGACATTAACAATCCACCGATCAGTTTTTTTTTGGCGTAGACATCTAGATTGACAGTTTGCAAAATAAAACAAATACTTATACATAGCCATGATTTATTTGTTCATTTTCATAAGCAGAGAAAAATATACAATTTTCAATTCAAGCTTCAGCAAAAAGTCTCTATGCATCGACAACAAGCCAGCTAGCATGGTAGTTCAGTCTGCAGCGGGCTGCAGAACAAGAACACGTCATTTACGTCGCTACAGGCAAAGTCACGTGATACAAACAGTCCCGATTTCCCCCGACCTAGAATTACAAATACGTTTAAGAGTAAGGCTCTCGATTACCCCAAAAAAGTGAAACTACTCCTTTAAAAACACGCACCACAACCCGATCCGGGAGCAGATTTGTGGTCTTATTTCTTAACTTTTGGCACCCTGAGAGCTGTTTGATTCCATGACTGTGACTGTGAGCATAATGCAGTCCACAAGTATTACATAAATACATACCAGACAGTCCCGACCCCCCCGCAAAACAGCAAAATAAAACACAAAGGCGACACTGTTTTTCTTTATAGCAACAACACCGACATCGTATGCTTTTTCTTATCAGATTTGGATTCTCAACAGGTTTTCATTTGACATTCATGTGGTCTGTAAAATGTAAACGAATGAAAATAGCCTCCCTGCATTCAGGAGGTCACAATACATACTGTTACAGTTAGTGAATAACTTCTTATTTATACATCGAGAAGAACAAGAGAAAGAGGTCAGACGGTAAATGATGATCAGAACCATGTTTTATACTTTTACAGAAGAGTAATATTCAAACAGAATGTTATACAGAGCTAACAGACAGTATACTTAAGTTCACTCTGTTTGACAAACAGAAGTATTTTGCCCTCTTTAGTTTGTGCTACAAAAAACATCAAACAGTAATACAAAATATCGTCGAGTCTTCAGGTAATTAACGGTGACATTTAAGCACAAAGAGCCTCGCAGCTGCGTCGTAGCGCGTCTTCTTCTTTATAATCGCGTCGTGTCGGAGTCAGAGTCCTCGGTGCTCCAGCGTTTTTCCTACACAACGTCTGCTAGGTTGTACAAAAAGGGACCTGTGTTCATGAAACCTCCTCAGGAGAGACGGACGTCATCATCGAGGAGAGGTAAAAGCTCCAATCAAGCGGAAATTACTCTGCAATGAGTTAATTTAGAGATAAAGACTAAAGGTCTCATGACGCTGAAACTCATTCAAGCCTGATCCTGGAAAAGCTGGGATGTTGTTTATTTAAAGGTTTGCAGCTCATTTAAATCTTAAATTTGTGGAAAGTTAAAGCAAAAGCAACATATCAGATTTTGACAGTTATTTTGATGGGAAAATCTGCTTCGATTAGAGTAAATGCCAGCAACACATATGACTCCGGAACGGCTACGAAAAGATCGTATCCGCGAGTTAACGTGTCAATTTCCACCGGCTTCTTTCCATTCCTCTGCAGATTGTCGGACTCCTCAGCTGATCACAAGAGTTCTATTTTTTCCGGACGTCAGATAAATTCAGCACAGATTAACCCGTGCTGGAAAGGAAGTCGGGCACAGATACAAAATAAAACATTCGGATCGTATTTCAAATGACCGGAGACGAACAAGTGAAAGGTTTTTAGACGTCATTTCACCCCGATGACACCATGGATGAGGAGATGCTGATTCTAGAAGTCTAGAAGTAGATTTCCTCCTCTGGAAGGACACAATCTACTGCTTATATGGTTAGCCTCTGTGGCTAAAGACGACTTGTTATCATGTGATTGCAAGTGAATCCATGGATTCTTGTGAGCTCTCGCGATTCCTGCTGTCCGTAATCCACCACAAAATTGGCCTCACAAACAGATCCGGTAGGAATTGGCAGACGGCGAAAATCGCTGCCGAAAATCCCGGGTAAATCCCTTCCAGACACAAACTATCACTGCATCCCAGAATGCAAAGTTAAAAACGACATTATACAGTACGACGCAAAGAGGACAACATGAGCCAGGTGCATATGTCTAACCCTAACCCTGAGTCCATTTAGGGTGGACTAACGCCAAGAGGGGACACTTCTTTTGGAAGTCATAAAGTCTGCACCCTCCACTCTAGATTAGGGCGGGACTACCCTCCTTTTTAGTTCAAAAGCCGGCATCCATGATGGTCTGGGGATGCACAAGACTCTACGCCATGGATAGCTTACACATGAGCTTTTGAGCAGCTGAAATCCTGTATCAGAAATAAAGTTTAAATGATTTGCAAACCATCAGTTTATGTTTTAATAACATTTTACAAAGTGTCCTAACTTTTATTGAGTTAAAATACTGAAGTAACTCCCTCTGATCTACAATCACAGCCATCAAACCCAATGTCACATCCAATCAGGTGGTTTTTAAGATTCGAAACAGAAAACTAAAGAGAAAATTTCATCTTCTTTTTTATCTATTTATATGTTACCAGGTTACCAGAAAGGTATGAATTAAGGCGGAAGCTTTATTACACAAAGTCCAATTGAAGATGGACAACCCCCTCTTCCCTAAGAAGCTAACTAGCCCTTATTTAAAGACGACCCCGTCCTCCGAAGCTTCATGAATACAGGTCTTTACTAGTTTAAACTAACAGCGAAACACCGATAAAAACTCGAGCACGTTTTGTCCAGCCAGAGAGCGAGCTTCAGTAACAGACTTTACTTGATATTTAAGGCAATGTAAGTTCATAGAATTTATCTCTCAAACAAAAAGAAGACAAATTTCATAAGGAGAAATAAAAAAGCTGCAAAGATTCGCTGCAGCAAAAGAAACTTTTAACCGATAGAAATCAAAACACAACTGACTGAAAACAGCAAAGTGCTATCCTAAAGTTAATAAAATAAAAAAGTTACAGACGAAAATTTTAAATAAGGAGACACCAGCCCTAAAACAGAATCCACATCCTCAAAGACCGGTCAGTCCGACGCCACCGAGAGTCCTAAAAAAAGGAGAAACCGACGATTTCAAAGTGTGAAATTGGACAACGATCAGAGGCGAACCACCTCTCCTCAAATTACAACAACTTAAAGACGTGTACCCGGTGTGTGTTTCTGTTTTAGGGCCAGTTTCCACTCAAAGACACGAAGTAGAGAGAGAAAGAGCCCCTTTGTCCCTTGGAGTGGGGTCCGAACACCGTGACCCCATCCTCCTGCTTCGCCACCGTGGTGCTGGGAGTCAAAGTGAGTCGCTGACGACGCACCCACCCAACCCCGCCCGCTTTAAAACCCCCTGACCACAAAATACCAAAACCCAGAGATGACCACCAAACCCAACATCATCCAAGAACCCGATCAGTTTCACCCCCGATGCCCTAAAACCGGTCAGGAACAACGAGACGCACGCAAGAGGTTTTCAAAACATCTGTGAGATGCAGAGGCGGAAAAACACCAAAACAAAAATGGTCTCAAACGGGACACTTCCTGTTGCGTGTCACTAACAAAAACAGCGCCTAAGATGATAAATGATGATATCACAGATGTTTTGAAAAGTACATCTTGTCAGCGAGTTACCAAATTTCATTTTTTTGGAGTCTTAGAAGATAAAACACATTTTAAATTTTGCACAGGTCAGTTTAAAAATACCGTGTTTATGGCGAAATTCAAGTCCCTGCAGCAAATTTATAAAAAAGTATTTAACATAGACTGAACTGAGGAGGGCGCTACCTCTTAGACGTGTGGAATCGATTCGTTTACTAAGTGAGATGATAGTTTTATTCAGTTCTACAGTGATAGTGAGCGATGTCCACGATTAGATAAACCAAAACAGAGATGCAGAAATGGAAAGACACCAATCTTTTCCAAACGTGGTCGTCATTGGCAACCAAAGGCTGAAATACCAGACTTAGGACTCGTGTGTGACCTGGACCACCTCTTCTGAACAGTCTATGTTATCTACCATTGAATACAGGTAATTTAACAGTTAATATGACTCCCCGTCTACAGGCAGTCGTTTCGTTTGTAGGTCTCTCTTTTGGATGATTTTTCAGGTTCTTTTCGCCAGCCCCGCCTCTAACCACAGACCCCACATTTCCAACTTCACACAAGTGACAATAGAAAGTTTTCAAAAATCCCCCAAAACTCTAAGAAATACATTTTCGACTGGATTTCTCAGGAGTATTTGTTTCAGGACGAAGAGAAATAACATTCATGTGACCGACCCGGTCTGGGTCAGGAGCTGCTCACTGTTCTTTTCCTATAGAGCTATCGTTAAAGGGATATTCCGCGTAAGATGAATTTAATGTCAAACATACCGTAACACCGAATTAGACACCCCCTTTGAGAGATGGATGTTGCCGACTGCTTGCTTCTTTAGTAATGACCGCAGGATAGCAATACACAGCGGTCTGAGGAGCCATAAACCTGAGGTCTCTCTACTAACAAGCGTCTGCTGGAAGAGAGTAGGTGAGTTGTGTTTAGTCTCTTTGCAAAGTTAAAAGATGTTTGGTGTCTAGTACTATGTCTGTGACCCTATATGTCCTGTTGATGAAGTTAGGTGCTGTTCTGAGCATTATTTGTGGCTATAGAGTGGCGTTTTGGTTGGGGGCGTGGCTCTCTGTATTTCTATCCTGCGGTCGTTAATAAAGTTGGTATAACTAGAGAAGCAAGCGGTCGACAACATTCATCTCTGGAGGGGGGGTCTAACTCGGTGTTATGGTGTGTTTGACCCTAAATTAATTTTACGCTGGAATATCCCTTTAATACAGATAGTACATCCATGACTGTAGTCCCAGGTAGCACGATACACTCAGTGGGCCTGTTGAAGTCCTAATAAGGGCTCTGCAGCATAATACCCTTATGTAGACCCACGATAAAAACACCATACTGTCTTCAGTGGGGATACAGTGTGGGGGTCTTGTCCACTGATTTCCACCACAAAGTGTTTTAGTCTGAAACATCAACTGGTAAAGACAGTTCTCTTTCCTGGTCCGATCCGTTCTTCCAGCGTTGGTAAAGTCATTCTTCTTGCTCATGTGCAGCTCCGTCTATCAATACTCAAATCCTGCTGTTTAACACCCGAGTAGAAAATCAGGCGTCTCCAATAGACCGAGTGGTACCAGGCTCAGTTTGCAAATCCAGTTTCTGAGTCTGTGTCAAACCAAATACTGTGACCGACTTTTCCGTTTCCTGATCTATTCAGGTCACAAGTCTTGCTCAGGTTTCAGGACTTATCTGAGCCTCTCATTCCTTGATCGAAACCACATTTGGCACTGTCTCCATCCATCGCAAAGGTCCTCGGTGTCCAATCCTAAATTCTTTTCCTTTCCATCCCATCCTCCTCATCTCCCTCCCCCCCACCCCATGCTAGTCTTCTAGTCGGGGGGTGGGGGGGCTCGTGCCGCTAGAGGGCGGTTATCTGGGTCAATTCTGTGTTGGAGTTCCCCGTCCCTTGGTTCTCTCTCCTCTGGCTGGGGTCAACCCCCACCAAGGGGAGCTCCACGCCTAGTCATGCGGGATTAGGCGTCCCTCCCCCGTGTCCTCCGCCATCCCCGGCCTTACAGCTGTAGGCCGCCGCCACCTCTCTGGCGATGCTCCTCATCCGGCCGGATCCGTCCGGTCTGTCCAGACGGAACGGCGACGGGTGGCAGAACTCGCGGAAGCAGCGCTTGAAGTTCTCATCCAGGAAGGCGTACAGCACCGGGTTCAAGCTGCTGTTGACGTAGCTCAGCGCGATGCAGAAGTGCATCAGGACCAGCGTGAACAAGCTGCTCAGGTTGAAGCCCAGGGACTGAGCCAGGACCATGATCTGGATGGGGGTCCAACAGACGACAAAGGCCGCCACGACGACAAGGACCATCCTCGTGATGCGCCGCAGGTTACGGTCTTTCTCTTTGGAGCCGGACAGGATGCGGACGCTGCGCAGGCGCTTCACCATGAGGCTGTAGCAGATGCTGATGATGGCCACGGGGATGAGGAAGGAGAAGAGGAAGACGCAGGTGCCGAAAACAGGATCCCAGTGACTTCTCGGTTCAGGTAGAACAACGATGCACTCGACACCTGGAGGGAGAGAAGACACGGAAATTAACGAGAGTTAATCCTCGCCTGGAATACCCGCTTTCTTGATAAAACCCTGTTAGAGCATCAACCCCCAAGATGCACTTCTCTAAATCTAGTAATGGTCGGTTTTGTATGAACCTTGAAGGATTTGCTCATGCAGTCTCTCACTGAGCTTTTCAAGAGGGTTTATCTCATAGAAGTCGACGTTATTTTGGGAGGGAGGATCCTGTGTGATTTATTCAGGGTTGTTATTGTTCATTAAAAATGCAAATTACCCATCGAGTCAGAAATAAGTGGAAACAGACGCTCTAAATATAGCGCCTCGAGCTGATAAAACAATCATGTCTCCGTCTATAGAAGAAGACGATGATGTTTTCACGAGACGAGTGGTTTAATCAGGTTAAGTCCACAGCTCAAGGAGGAGGAGGAGGAGCGAGGAAGGAGAGGACAGGAGGATGAATGTGTCTGGACCTTCAGAACGAGGCAGGTAAGACAAAAGGAAGAGAAAGATGATTAACGACGGAGAGCTGGATCAGGTTTCAAACTCTCAGAAAAAACAGTTTAGAGTGTTTTAAACAGTTTTTCAGATTCATGATTCATTATGTTAATCTGACTCACAGGAGATTTTACTTTGCAGTACTTTTGACAAAAACACATCTGTGCTTTCATCCCAAATCACGACACGGAGCGGCGGCCAGTCGCCTGGACCTCCTGATAAAAATGGAATAAATTCGGCTTGTTTGCTCAAATGGAACACAGGTGCTGTTTGGAAACTGGAGGAAAATCCTCTTAACGCGAGACTCGGTAAATTACCGACTGAAATGGAAGGACGAAATGGACTCAAACAGAGAACAAACTTTGTGCTTTTTCACCTCCAGCTGAGAAGTTGAGCCGCAAATCCTCGATGAAGACTGACGAAGAACTAATGACGAAGTTAATCGACGCAGCTGTATTTCCACCTCTTCAAACCATTAAAATGATAACAGAGGTATTTAAACAGCTGCTCTTGATGGGTCCAGAGAAGATGACTGATACGGTTTCAGGACCGCAGGAACTTCAACTTTTTTAAGTTAATGATCACAGGAAAAATCCTCCGGCTGTTTACAAGTCTGACGAATCAATCTCACTTTGACAGGATAGAAAAGTTTGAAGAAATCTGAGAAGTTTTACACCCTTAAAAGACGTCACATAAAACAACTAGTTCAGAAGAAAAAGACCAAACTTTGAAATTTGCCGCTTTGGGACCTTGATCCACGTTTTTCAATTTTGATTGTATGTTTGACGAGATATTTGCCTCATTTATGCCTCTACTTAAAGTCATGGTTGACGATTGGAAAGATTGGTGACTATTATAAACCTCATTTCTATGGCGATCAGGGTCCTATAGTGCGATTTTTACAACGTAAAGTCAAAAAAGAACGGAAAAAATCCGTTCTCCCCATCAGCTGCAGGGCTGCAAAAATATTGACCAATGGGAGCCATCCGTCCCGGAGAGCTCCTATTGGTAAATCTCCTCCTCTGCCTCTCCATCCAATCATCTTGCTGTATTCAACAGACCCCTCTCCTGTAGTTCCGACTCGTCCCCTCCCACTCTCCCGGCCCTCCTCGGAGCTCTGAGCGTCTAAAAGTAGTGTAGCAGCTTCTGCTCGCCCCATCGCCAAAAGAGGGAAGAAAATGCAAGCCCACAAAAGAAAGGGCGGAGTCAAAGACCAAGCGAGGAATCTAACTCGAATAAACATCGGCTCATCCTTCGAGCTGTGGAGAAAGCTCCGCCCACAGGTCATTTTTATCTCCTTTTATCTCATGTTACATAAATAACTCTGATTAGTCTCTGACATGTCAACACGGTAGCTGTCCAGGCAGCTGCAGACGGCGCTCGCTAGCAGAGCTGGCGTTTACTGCCGCTAGTCACTAACAATCCGACATGGTGGATCCTATTTGAAGCTAGCGTAGGATCTGGGCGGGACGCTTTTTTTCAAATCTGCCTAATCTCACTTTGACAGGAAAGAAAAGTTTGAGGAATCTGATAAGTTTTACATCCTTAAAAGGCGTCACGCCAAAAAAATGGTTCAGAAAAAAAAAGACCAAACTTTGAAATTTGCCGCTTTGGGACCTTGATCTTCTGGTTTTGCCTCCACTTAAGTGTCAACTTAGTTCTCATGTGTCTAATCTGACTCTAAAAGAAACATGAAGAGTGAGTTCATGATGAAACTTTCACCTCCACATCCTTAAATATGATAAAACACTTTGAAACTGAGTAAATACTGGAGCAGGAGAGGAAACAGTTGATCTATTATTCCATTTACTTTTATCTGATGAGTCTCTGCGGGTTTCAGAGTGCGCCGGATTTATAGTCTCTGGTCGTCTCTTGTAAAAATGGAAGCCGCAGCCTCGGCTCCATTACCGCCACGCTCCGAGCATTGATCAAAAACACAGTAAAAAGGGATGGTAAAAAGAATAGTAATAACCTGCCTGTGAAGTTTATGTGTTGTGTAAAAACGGCTGTAAATGGGTTTGTGGCTCCTCGCTCAGAGGGCGGGGTTAAACCCAAGACAAACATCAAAAAATCATGACAGTATTGATCCAGCTGGGACGTAATCCCTCATCGCGACGGGTCAGAGGTCAAGTGGGACATCAACTATCGCAAATAGAGGCTCCATCCATCCAGGAGTGTGCGCAGAAACATGACCGGACGCCAGTCCGTACATCATCTCCTCATTTCTGCGTTCCCGGTCTTTTCCTCAGTCCTCAATTTTTCAGACGGCGTGGACACGTCTGACGGCAACCTTGGGAACACTTTGATTTATTATCCAGAGCTCAGTTTGATTCTGTTCAGAGACCCGCTGTCAGCTCGTTTGTCCTCTGATGTACACCTCCACGTTCAGATCAATAAAATAAAGTTTGAAAGTTTCAGTTCGGCTACAGAAGAAAACATTTTTAAAACACATAAAAGTGTGATTTTAGTCTTCTAATGTTTAAAGTGTTTACTCAGGGTCTGATTCTCCTCTAAATGATTATCTGTTTAAATGCTCCTCAAGTGTGTCGTGTCAGTTTGATTGTTTTACTGCTTGTGACCCAGTCAGAGTCTCTCTGATCCACGACTGTAAATATCCAACAAGGTTCATATTTACGACTCTGGGTCAGACCTTCTCAGACCGAAAACCCAAACCAAAAAAACACAGGAAGCAGGGAGGACTGGGGAGACATGTGAACCAACAAAGAAAGAGGAGAAGACAAGGAGTTAATACACACACTGGGTAACGAGCAACAGGTGAGGCAGACGAGACACAGGTGAGACTCGTTAGTGATTAGAGGAGGGAAAACTAAGACTTGACAAACTTGGACTGACAATTACAAAATATATAACAGGAAACATTAAAAACTGAACTAAGAAACCAAACAGTGAAAAACAAGAACAACAGAAACAGAAAGATGAGGAAAAATACAACAAAGTTATAAAACCAGGAACAAACTAAACTGACAAAAACCATTTATAGAAAATCCAGACAACAACTTTATTCTCCAAATTTCTGCCTTTTTTCAGTTTTGTGACTTTTTCTCAACTCTGACTTTGAACTTAGAGTTCTACTTTTTTCTTAGATTTTTTAGTTTTTTTCTGATTAACTTCTTTTTCTAATTAAATTTCTAATTTTCTCAGAATTCTGCTTTTTGATTTACACATTAAATTCCGTCCTTTTCCTTAATTTTTTTATTCAGATGTATGATATTTAACTTTATCCAAATTTTTGCCTTTTCTGTTTTCTTTTTTCCCCCTCAGAATGTTTTTTTAACTCATTTTTTTACTTTCCCTCTGAATTGAAAATTGTCTTAAATTGTCATAATTTTTTTCCTCAGATTTCTGACTTTTACTGAAAATTCTCCCTTTTTTCCTTTATATTTCTTTCTATGAGATTTCTGAAAATTTTCTCATATTTTGGAATATTTTTCTTAAATTGTCTTTTTTCAACAGTCGACCTGTTTCTCAGAATATAGTGACTAGTTTTTTTAACTTTTAGTGACTCAGACTTTTAACTTTTCTTCAGCCTCAGAATTCTGAGTTTGATTGATAGTGAGAGGCGGAGCATGAGAAAAGACAGATTTATATCTTCTCCTCACCTTCTCATTGTTCAAATTTTTCTCATTTTGAACCACAGTCATGATTTCTTCACGAATACTCATGTTATGGGAGAAACAGCTTTGACAGAGGTCAGACATGCACGGACAGTTCAGGAGAAACAGTGACAGCAGTTTATCGTTAAAATTTCTCAATAACCTGCTGCAGACTGACTGAAACATTCAAGCTGTGTGTAAAAACCTTTTTGCAAACATCCACTGAGTTTTATTTTGACATGGTATTTTTGAGTATTTGTTCGTGATTGCCCTCTTCATTACCGCACACATTAAATCACTGCAGCCAATCGTATAATTTATGTAAATATGTTGATGTGTTCCCGCTGCGCGCACACACACACACACACACACACACACGCTCCTCTGTATTGTGATAAGGCTGCTCTCAGCTCAGGCAGGCGGATGTCTGACAGGTGGAAATCTCAGCCTGAATTTATCGCTGCTCCATTAAAGCCGCTCCGTTCGCTGCATGCAAAAAAAGGTCACGCTGCCATCATGCGATAGCTCTTAGCGGCGATCACTCAGCGGCTTTTTTTGAAGTATCTCACCTTTCTAAATGTCAATGGTTGACTTTTACTCTCCTCTGTATCTTTACATTCCTGTGTATGCATTCTTCTTTAACCGGTAATGTAACAGCGTGAGTCTAACCCAGATTAACCCGCACTTCTCCAAGTCCTCGTGTCAGGTGACTTGTTGAAAGAGGCGTTTTTATGTGATGTCATTGAACTATAGACCCGGCGTTAGAGCATTTTAATATACAGTCGAGGAAAAGACCACATACATATTGATGGCTCTCTTACAGACAGTGAAAAAGTAATGTCTATGAGCTAGTTCAGGCATGTAACCAGCATGCACCTGAAATTTCTGTACGCACGTTTAAATAAATCTGAGTTTTTCTTCTGTAACGGATAAAGTTTCGTTAAGTTTTAACCATAGACTGTATACAGAATGGACGCCGTCTGCCTCCTCGCTGGGTGAAGCCACTCTGAGAACAGCACCCTCTGGTGACAGGCTGCAGTATAGGTCATAAATCCCGCCTCCGCCAGCAAAGCTTGGACAAACTTTAGAAATGAATGACACAGAACATAAATGTTTCTCCCTCCTGGTTGCGATGTTGACATGTAGTTACTGTCAGACTGGTTTGTCCATAGTATATACAGTCTATGATTTAAGCCACTTAAACCAATCTACGATCATTGTGCGTCACTCAGTGCGTTTACATCTACAGCTAAATCAGACTAAGCTCATAATGCGTTTTTTATTTGGTGAATCAGACTTCTCTCCTCGTCTTCGTTTACATGCATATGTACCCATATCGCCCCCAAAACTGGGGGCTAATATGGGTCTTTTCAGCAGGTCGGTGTCAGACGTCAGAAGTGTCTACAACTGCTGCTGGGAATTTTGGAGAAACAAGAAGATGGAGCATCATACAGCGTTGTTCTTGTCCGACATGATGGACGCGCTACTTTTTCTAAAGAGGAGACCAACGCTACTCCTCTACTCTGGGGTTTTTGTTCCGGCGTTACAGGGTGTGGCCCACACACACATGCATTGTCCGATCATACTCCGACTACGCTGGTTACAGGGTAGAGAAAATCGAATTCCAATCACATTATCTGGGAGTTCTCAAGCTCAGATTATAGTCGGACTAAGGTGTTTACATGACCTTCTGGTCTTAATCGGAGTAAGGCGATAATTCGGTTTTCTCGACTGTCATGTAAATGTACTGACTGACTGAATACATGCCTTCGCTCTGGTGTAGTCAGCATATGTCTGCAACACAAACATTGTCGTGTCTTGGTGTGTTCGCCCCCGTTCATCTGTGCCTGACTAATCTCTGACACAGTCATTCAGTCAAAAGCCTCACTGGTTTACTGAGTTTATTTACGATCTCACCAGAGGAGTAACACCTTCATGATGCAGATTTGTAAAAAATAAAGTTGGAGTCTCTTTCGGAGCTCAAGGTCGACAGAGTAAACACAGATTTGCAGCTTGCATACTAAACACACTGTGGTCCTGCATGTGCGTGGATGAACGTGGATCTAGACTCACATCAGAGCCCCTCTGTGTCCCCCCGTCTGTACAGACTGTTGGGGTCTTCCCCTCCTCCTGTCGTCAGCCCCTCTCACGCCTTTAACACCTTTCCTTTCATATTTTAAACTGGATCCCGTGTCCTCTTCTACTTTCTATTTCACACTCGATGATTCTCCACCTCTCCGCCCGTTTATCACTCCTTTCCCCTCTGATGCGTTTTGCCGACCTCTTATTTTCTACTTCCTTCAGCTGGAGTGTCGGACTCTCATCCTCTCGTTTTACCTCTAAACTCCTCGATTTCTCGGCTCTCACTTTCCTCACCATTGCTCCGAAGATTATTTTCCATTTGGCTGATTACTTTTATTTCTCTCTTCGTCTTCCTTCCTCTCCTCGTTTGCCCTTCTCTCTCTCTCTCTCGGTTTTATTTCTCCGATTAGTCGCTCTTTGTCACGTTTTTTTGTATTTGCTAATCTCCTCTGCCCTTTTCTCCACCTTCATTTTCAGAGCTAAACAACATCCCCGTCGTTTTTCTCATCTCACCTTTATTCAGTTTGTAACTCATCACTCGTGTTTGTTCTCTTCCCACCTCCCTCCCATACTTTCTTTTTGTGTCGGTGGGTAATAGCGGCGGTCTTGCCAGGATTGGATCCTGCTGCCCTCTCACCTCATTACATAAAAGCTTGTTACCTCATTGAACCACCTGCATCCGTGGCAGCTGAGTCAAGACAGCTTTTAACCATTTAAGATATGAAATAAAAACTCTCTGATTAAATGTGAACGACTTCACCGTCTGACTTTGTATTATCTCCTGCACAGTCGTCTTAATACAATTACTGAGAGCTGTAATTGAGTGGGTTTCCACTCAAGCAGTGACACGAGAAATTAAATTACGCTACATGTCATTACCGAGCTTTGTTAATGATACACAAGTCAACGTTAGAAATTGAGTCGAAGGATTAACAGAGTCAGGGACCTCATGGAAAGTCTCAAAACGTCAGAGTGAGAAGTTTCCGACATGGAGGCAGATTATCAAAACGTTGGAAATCATCCTGGACCAGCAAAGTCAGATTATGTGTTTATTATACGACATTTCACCTTCTCCATTTACAAAAAAACAGCACGTAAACTGCTATGTTTTTAGAAAAGTTCTCGTTTACACTAACTCGTGAACATACGCCGTCAAGAGCCTGCAAGACCTGTAGGTGGCAGTGTAGCGAGAAGCTCAAGCCCATGTTAGCCATTTTAGATTTCCACAAAGCAGCAACAACAACAACAACAACGTCACTTCCTTCTTTCTGGCGCAAAATCTGCCGTCAGCTCCCCAAATCTCAGTTTTCCTCCGTTTACTTACAAACAGAGTTTTCCAAAATCTCCACTCTGGCCGGAGTTTTTAGGGACGAATTCTCTGTTTGCGTCTTAACGAAGGGTGCAAACGACGGTTAATGTCTACGTTTTAAAAAATAACGAGGTACGTATAAACGGGGCCTCAGTTTACTCAAAGCTGTTCAGTAAATCTGTTTTAATTCAGTTGTTTGATTAGAGATAATCAATCATATATTCTCTTCCATGTGCGAAAACCTAAAGACAGGCAGAGCAACAGCAAAGACTTCCAGGAGCTGTGGTGAAGGTGGGCTGTAAAAGGATCAGGACTCAGCTGTTCACCTGCATCTGAAGGATACAGCAATATTAGTGTCTCCACACACCAAGCGTGAGTAAAATCATTCGCAGTTAGACGCTCCTGCTACTCTGGCAGCGGGAATGACGCGAACTGGGCAGGAGCTGAAAATGTCTCAACTTGAGCGGATATTCGTGTCGCGATAACCAATCAGCACAAAGATTGTTGGATGATGTATGAAAACAGACGGTTGTTTCCTGGTATCTAAACTGGAGGACAAACTGATCGTGTCCGTGTGCTGGTTCCCCCGATTATATGATACCTTTTCTTTCAATTATCAAAACCGGAATAAAAAGGAGCTCGACTGGAGGCAAGTAAGTGAGGAAATTAGATGATTTCACTCGCCTCCTACATCTCAGGCTCTGCAATGTGACTATCGCGCACATGTACTTCACGATGACGATGCTCAAACGATATATCGTGCAGCTCTATCAGGAGGGTCACGTCCTTTCAAGAGGGTACCTGAGAACTGCAGTTCAAGGTCACCTTCAGGTCGTGGTTTTCAAAGGAAACACTTGGAGTCTCACCTTGGAGCAGTGACTGGGTCTGAATCTGTTATTTACTTTAGGGTACCACAGAACAGCTGCTCATATTTGTTCGGCTTTGTCTTCAAATATCAGATAAACTGTTGGATGAGTCAGGTGGGAGTGTTGGTGGGGGTGCATGTGATGGTGCCGGTCTTTGGTATTCATCCCCCCGGGGACCCTAACTGTTGTTACCCCACATCATGTTCATCTAAACAGCAAATGAAACGTCCTCAAACAACAGACGGACTAATGGAGCCGTCTTTACAGCCGAGCTGTTATCACCTCTGAAAAGGGTTCGAAACATCTGCTCCGACCAGCTGCTGGAGCTCGTTCTGACGACCGTCCATATACCGGCGTCTTATAGACTAGATTTACTATCAGTTCACTTTAACCCCACACGGATAATAAAACATCTATAACTGCGGCTCCAGTCGAGAGAGAATTTGTGAAATATGGAGATCAACATTTGAGCAGATTTCAGCCCCCAGTTCACTCAGCTGCACCGCTTAATTGCCTCTCTGCTGTGTTTTCCAGGCCTCGCAGCTCCGTGGTAATTTTCTCAGACAGTTCTATGAATCGTCTGTTCTCTTCCTCTCTATTTTTATTTCCTCTTTGATTCTCCCTCCTCAACGCGTCGAGGTAAAAGGACACAAATCGAGGCTTGTTTAGGCTGAGAGCAGCTGTGGTTGAGGCACTCAGATGAAATATGACTTCGAGGACTTTGAGGAGTCCAGCTGGGCCGGCCTCTTCAGCTCCTGGCTGATAGACGACTCTGACGGTACCCGACCCGGGCCCCCATGTAAGCCCGGAGGCTCCTCATGGATCTTACTTAGTGAAACCTCCTCTTAGGAGACTATCAGAGGTTTCATAGAGACACATTTACAGTAGTTTTATGATACCTGCGTATTCAAACTGCCCCTCAACACCACTAACACCAGCAGCAGCTCTTCAGCTCCTCTGATCAGCCCCAGGAAGGGTTTCTAGAGGGTCTTTAGTGGGTATCAGATCTGCTTCGGTTACATGAACTGAAAACTCGCTTGTTGGTCGGGTTTGTGATGCTTAGCTTAAAGTCATGGTTGACAATTGGAGAGATTGGTAAATATAATGAACCTTGTTTCTATGGCGATCATGGTCCTACAGTGCGATCTCCACAAAGTGACGAGAAAAAAGAACGGAAAAATCCATTCACCCTATCAGCTGCAGGGCTGCAAAAACATTGACCAATGGGAGCCATCCGTCCAGGACAGCTCCTATTGGTCAATCTCCTGCTCCGCCTCTCCATCCAATCACCTCACTGGGTTCGACATACACCTCTCTCATAGTTCCGACTCATCCCCTCCCACTCTCCCAGAGGCAAAATTTCTTTTTCATGGAATGGTAGGGGAAGGTCCCGCCCTCCTTCGCCTATGATTGGCTAGAAGCGCTGGGCTCTGATTGGTTATTCCTTATGGCTGTGAAACTTCAACATCTGTCAGGTTAAGGTTAGGGTAAGGGTAAGGGTTAGGATTAGGATTAAGGTTAGGGTTAGGACATTCAGAAGTGCTTTAATGTTCTGTTAAGTTCTGTTTGATGTACAGAGACGATGGCCCGTGTTTGGCTTGAGCGTGTGATGATGTTTCCAGCTTTTCTAGCCAATCATAATGCGAAGGAGGCGGGACTCAGATCGTGAACCGTGTCTTTAAAGTCTGAGGCCTCTAACTGAAGTAAATATTGAGTTAAAGAGGATCTAAAACCTTCATGATGGGATCAGCGGGTCGAGGGTTGAGACTCTTTGAGACTACGTTGTTTCTGTCTCGGTTCATGGACCTTTTTAAGACGTTGAATGCCTCCTCCTCCTCCTCCTAGACTCCTCAAGTTCCAGACTTGTCCTTGTTCACCTGCTCTTACCTTACCTTACCTCTCCTCACGCTGACAAACGGACAGTGACAGCTGTGGGTTTATATAACCTGTTAATGTGTGTTTATATTCATGCATGAGTGACAAGAGTCCAGTAACAGAAATGAGGTCATGGTTCAGGTCATGGTTCACCTCCACCTGTGTGTGTGTGTGTGTGTGTGTGTGTAGGTAGGTATGTCGCCCTCTCAGTGTGTGTTTCCTGATCTGATGTGTGTTTGTGTGTCTATCCTTGGGCTGCGCAGCTCTTGTCATAAAACTTTTATGCGGTTTTGTCAGCAGGAGAAGAGGGAACAAAACTCTCTTTCAAACACACTCATATAAACTCTACTGTGAGTTTTTATCCACCACTCTTCATCGCTTCCTTGTGTTTGTAAATCTGAAATGTCTACAGGAGTTCCTCAGGGGTCTCTGCTCAGTCCTTTTCTCTACGTTAATGTTAGCTTCATGCTTCGCAGATGATACCCAGAGCTTCCTCTCTTTCCTATTAGACGACACAAATCTCTCAGCCTCGATTTCTCTTCATCTCTGTTATCTTCACCTTTTTCAGCTCAACCTTAAAGTCCAAAACTGAGCTTCTTATCACTCAAACCAGTCCACACAACCCCAGATCAAGATCCAGCGTCGTACCCACGATCTGGATGTCAAAGCTGATGTAGTTTTTCTTGGCTCGGTTGTGCCGGATCAGACCCTACCTGACAGAGCAAACGACTTAGTTTCTGCTCCGGGCTCCCTTAGGACCACCCACTGACTTGTGTTGTGTCGTTCATGAACGATTTGTTCAAAAGAACGGAACTGCTGAGCGAACGACGTGAACGGAATCACTCAGAGACCTGATTCGTTCCTTTCTCAGTCCGCGAAACCAGGTGTGCCGGTTGGGAGTGGAACTGCCGACTTTGACACTCTGGTGAACGACACAGCCAGCGAGCAAGTGAGCAGGCGGAGTCTCGTGATCTGCTCACAGTGAATGAACAGCATGTATCAGTCAGACTGTGAGCAAAAACAAACGACCTCCTAACGACTTTTAACATTTCCGTGATTTAGAAGAACGACGACTCACGCTCGTTTAGTGCTGCCTGCTAATTTGTTGTTTTGCTAACATCGGCAGCGTACAGAGAGGCGAGTTGTTCCGGGCAGGGGGAGTGATTCTTCCTTCACGACTTGGTGAACGAACAACACGTGTCGCCCAGTGAACGACGCTGTGACTTCAGCAGCAGGGGAGGGGAGGGGCTCGGTCGATAAATGAACTCCCGATCAGCGCCGCTGTGTCACTCACTCGTGTAAAGCACTGACTGATTCGCTGAACGAATCTTTTGAACGAATCATTTTAATGAACGGATCCTAAAGATTCAGTTCAGTCAAAAGAACTGCTCTTCCCATCACTACCACTGACTCCTGCGACTCCTGACTGGTGAAGATCTCAGGCTTTTATTTTGCTTTTTTTTAGTCTTGCATTTATTTCCTGTCTGGTCGACCTGCACTTTTATTTTGAAGTCTCCTGCTTCTGTTTCATCAAAAAGAACTGATTGAAAACAGCTTTTTTTAACCCCTCTGCCACTTCATTCGCCTTTTTCCTGCGTCACCTCCTTTACCTCGGGTAATATCTGCGACTCAACGAAATCTAACTTTAAGAGAAAGTCGCCGCCGTCTGCTCCGGGCTCGACTGTCTGTGACAAAGATCTGAAGAGCTGAAGCTGCTTTTATGACTTCATCCGCCTGACACTATTTCAGCGGTTGCACTCCGTCTCACATTGCAGAGAGGTTACATCACGACACAGCAGCAACTGCACCGTAATGCATTTCAGGGATGGGACATGAACACGGGTTTTATAAGTGGGAAATCAGGCTGCGAGGCACGGCATTAGTGAAATCTCTTAATCAGGTGTCGGCTGAATAAATGAGCAGGAGACTGAGTCATGGCGGAGATGTGACGGGGCGTTTCGGGTCATGTTTGTACGTCTGAAGCCGCTCTCTAGAGATGTGCTGTAAAACCCTCCAGCTTGATTAAACAAAATGAGGGTCCTGATCCCTCCAGGTAGCTGCGAAACTTCCCAAATGTATCATAAGACTCGCTAATAAAGAGCTGTCCAAAAGCAACAACATGTGACACCACCTCCTTCAGTTTCACCTCATCCTGCAGTAAATTTCAGGCTGATGCCGCAGATTTCCTTTTCCCTATTTTAGTTGAAGCTTTCAGGACGAGGAGTATTAAACTGTCCCGCGTTTTTTTATGTGATAAAAACACAGAGGAAGTGTGGGAGCGGGCCAGGGAATGAGGATGTACTAGTGTAGCTGCCAATAGGTCACTCCAGGAGAACGACTCATGAGGATGAGTAAGAGCTTTACTCACGGTTCAGAGAGAGAGAGGCAGGGATTCACAAAATGAGTCAAAAGTTGCAGCAACAAGTTCTCTAAAAACCTGTTTTCTTCCTACTCTAGGTTCAGAACATTTCAGGGGTCATAACTCTTTTCCATCAATGGTGACTAACATCAACACTTTTTGTGACTTCTCCTTTGAGTCGGGGAATAACCTAAGCTTGGTCGTCTCTGCATTCAAGCAGTTTATTCTGAAAATCCTGTTACGGTGAACAGATTAATGCACTTTCGTATCGCTCAGATTATCATGATTGATGGATTTATACATTTATACTTTCTTTTCTTATCAGAAGTTAAAACCCATTTTCTATTTTTTCCCCCCTATTTGGTCATTTCAGATGGTTGGAGTGGTTCTCCATATTTCACTGACAAACAAACTCGAATGATCTTGGCATCGTGTATAGACAATGGTTGACCTTCACTGTCAATATCAGCCATAAAAAAACTTGAACCAGATGATGACTCTTCTAAACAACGTCAAACGTGCTCTCCAAGTCTTCAACAACCTGTACAAGAGTCGCCACATGACGGTATATCACAGTATCATCAGCGTAGAAGGAGAGTAACTTCACAACGGAAGAAACTGATGCAAAAAAAAAGAAGAAAAGGTTTAGATAAAAAAGCAGAAGTTAATGACGCAAAAAAAAGTGACAATGGAAAAAAAACAGTTAATTACTGTGAAAATAAAAAGATGAAAATAAAAAAAGCCACAACGGAAGTATGCTGCCGGGGACCAGTAATGATGATGTAACGGCATTTTACGATGTAAGTAACTTGTTTTATTTGGCTTTTTTTTTTTTTGCATCGCCACTTTTTTTTTTTTTTACATCGCTATCTTCTGTTGTGGCTTTCTATTTGCATCCTTTTATTTTCGCAGTAGGTAATTTTTTCATTTTTTTGCATCGCCCTCTTGTTTCTGCGTCTTGTTTCTACCTCTGTTGTAATTTTTATTTTATTTTTTGCACAGTTTCTTTTTGTATTTGCATCAGGCTTCAGGTTTTTTTTTTTCTTTTTTTTTTTGTGGATCGGTAACTTTCGTTGAGACTTCTTTTTTTTTTTATTTGCAGCAGTGGCAGCTCTCGGCCACCGTAGAATTTAATTCAAAGTAAAAAAAAACCCTCACTACTCAACTCTGTATCCAAGTTTTAATGACTTATAATGTTTGCCAAAGCTGACCAGACTGAAAACTCATCTCCTGCTGACTTCAACTGTATCAAACTCTGCAAAGCTGTTGGTTGATATTTCTCTTTTCCTCTAAGAAATCCTGTGCACTTTATAACATCTGTCATTAGAAACCATGACATTTTGCAGGTTTTGTGTCGCTTGACGTTCTAATTGCAGAGTTATAAACCTCAGAATAGTATATATATAAATCACTGTATCCTATAGTTTTTACATTATCTGCATGTTTTAGTCGGGCATGAATATTCTCTTCATATGAGAGCGAATAAATGTTACACTCTTGAACAGATGAAATACAGTAAATAAGCAGATCTGAACATGTATGAGGCTCAGGGGGGAGGAGTGTAAAAACAGCATTGACAGGTAATACCACGGCCTGATTTGCACATCTAATAATACCTACAAGTGTAGAAAGGTGATATTGTTCAGGGGAATGTAAAGAGGATGTGGAAAATAAATAAATTGGTCTGATTTATTGAAGGAATAATCCGTTTTCCATCGAGTACATCCACTTCAAGCCAATTTGAACCTGCATTAACTCTAATAGCTCCAGTATCTTGAATTAGATTATGGTGTTCATGCATGGAAGAGACAACAAATCATACCAGTAATGAAATATATCTTTGAAAACCTCCCGCTAAAGAAATTCATGATCGAACCGGTGTAAATATACGCGACCCTGCGTCTCATTAAACTCTGTGTACTTCTGCTGTTAGACAGATAGCTCCTCAGAGACGAACCATACCATCACAGATGATGAAGCGTGGCAGCATTAATCAAGCATTGTTACCATAATGACCTCTCATTAGCATTTCTATTTTCTTTTGTGATTACTCCTTCACTGAAGTACAAAAATAACAACAGGGAGCTCACGAGGGAACGAGCTCATCCAATCTTCAATCACCGCCGCCGCCGTCGTCAGGTTAAAGGCGACTTTTCTCTATGACAGCATCGTCACGGCCTCACCGATCACGCCCTCTGCTTGAGTTCTAGTTCATGTTGTTTTGTGACCCAGCATGCTTTGCACAATAACGATCCATTTGCCTTTGGTGCTGATTGATGTTGCACTTTTCACAGCCTGAAGAAGTTCATGTTTAAAGGGATAATCCGGCGTAAAATTAAGTCAACCAAAACGCCACTCTATAGCCACAAATAATGCTCAGAACAGCACCTAACTTCATCAACAGGACATATAGGGTCACAGACATAGTACTAGACACCAAACATCTTTTTAACTTTGACTCATTTCTCACCTACTCTCTTCCAGCAGCCACTTGTTTGTAGTGAGACCTCAGGCCGGGCCATTATGGACTACAGCGGGGTGTCACAGCTCAAGGAAGAACATTTATGATAATTTCTTCATCATTTCCTTGAAGTAATAATCATCATATTAATCATTTTACAGACGTTGTAGTTCTTCTGACTTAGCGTCTCGGTCTGATTGTATTTCCATGAAGAAATGATCATAAATGTTCTTCCTTGAGCTGCGGCACCCCGCTGTAGTCTGTAATGGACTGGCCTGAGGTCTCGCTATAAGGAAAAATCCGTTCATTAAAACGATTTGTTCAATAGATTCGTTCACTGAATCAGTCAGTGCTTCGGAGCCCCGTCCTGCCGGTACAGTACACAAGCGAGTGACATGTGGCTGAGCACACCTGGCTCACGCTTTAAAAGAAGTACAGGTGGTACTTTGCTTGTCTTACTCGCTGTAAGTCGTGTACTGACGGCGCACATTGGCCCGCCGTTTGACATAAAACTCCGTCTCTGACAGACATCTGAGCTCCGGCACAAAAAGCCGCCATGAAACACGCTCTGACACACACTTCCTCCGAGTCTCTTGGATGGATTAGTCAGCCTATCCATTAGTGACAGCGGGGTACCAGATGATTATAGCCTCCTTCCTGCCACTGTGTCCTTGGGCAAGGCTTTTGACCCCAATTACTGTGAGCAGCGTGCCATGACTTTCCCCGCAGCTGTTAGGTTATGAATCCGCTTTTTTTCTTCCCTCTGTGTTTGTTCAGAGGAAGAGGAGGAAGAGGAGGAGGAAGAGGAGGAGAGCGAACCTTTGCGCAGCGAGCAGCCCCCGGAGAGCACGCACGGTAAACAAACAAGGAGGCCAAATTACAGGAGGAGGGAAAGAGGAGACACTTAAGTTTCATTTAATCGTCCGCAGAGATGAAAGGATGAGGAATGAAAGAGAGTCGAGGAAGAAAGATGAGGAAGAGGACAGTCAAGGACAAGACAACAGGAATGAAGACGAGGTTAGAGAGAAATCACTGTTTTCAGAGATGTAGGCCGAAAGAGCGAAATTAAAGAGTCTTTAAAGGAAAAAAATCATGTGTTTCCTTCTTATCCTGTTTTGTCTGTTTTCATATCTGACATGAGTTTGAAATTAAACTGCATGAATTAATAAAAGAAAAATTTAAAAATGAACAAAGGAAAAAAGAAATTTATAAATCAGTTAAAATTCAGGAAAATGTTCGTCAGCAGATTTTAGCTCTTGATTTCCCTCTTTGTTAAAGTTTCTTTTTGTCTATTTTACTTTTCTTCTTTTTTTTCTTTTCTTTTTCATTTTTTTTTCCTTTCTTCTCTTGTTTCCTCTTAAATCTTTATTTTTGCCTGAACTTTTCCTTTTTTATTTCTTGGTCTTTTTCTATCCTTGTCTAACACTTATCCTTTCTTTTTTTTTCTGTTTTCTTTTTTCCTTTTTGCACTTTTTGTCTGTTGTTTTTCCTCATAATTAGTTTTCCTTTTTTCTGCATTCTATTATTTCCGTTCCTTTTTCTTTTGTCTTCTTTTTGTGTATTTTATTTCCTTTTTCTTTTTTCTTTCCTGTACTTTTCATTTTTATTCCTTAACCTTTTTGTGTACCCCCTCCCCATTTTTTTCCCTTTTTGGTCTTTTTGTATTTTATCAAACTTTTACTTTTATTTCCTTTCCTTATCTTCCTTTCATTTTCACTCTTTTTTTTAGCTTTTTCTTTCATTCTTATTTCTTTTCTTGTCTTCTTTTTTCCCCTTTGCATTTTGTCTGTTTTTTCTTATTAGTTTTCCTTTTTTCTGTTTTCTATTCTTTCCTCTCCTTTTTCTTTTTTTTGTTTTCTTTTTGTGTATTTTTATTTCCTTTCTCTTTTTTTATATCAATTACTTCATTTTCATTCCTTAACCCTTTTATGCCACCCCTGTCCTTTACCTTTCCTTGTTTGTTTTTTAATTTTCCTTTTCTTTTTACCCTTTTTACTCTTTTCTTTTCTAATGCTTCTTTCCTTTTATTTTCTTTTTTCAGTTTCTGAACGTCAAAACTTTCTTAGATTTGGGGTCGTTTAATAGACAATTATGTCACTCACTATTAGCTACAGTCTGCACAGGCTCTGTATCTCCTTATATCTGTAAATTAGCAGTAGATCCATACTGAATAATCTCAGGCTGATATAAACAATCGTATGAAAACAGCAGTGAGTAGAAAAGGAGAGGAAGAAGTGTGCTCACAGAAACCTGAAAACTCAGCTGAGCAGAGAGAAGTCCTGCTGCACATGTAGCTCTGCAGCAGAGTAGACTAATAAAAATGATTATAGGATTAGCCCTTAGCTGCAGGCTGAGACTGGATCAATATCTTACCACTAGACCTCCCACCCTCCTGCTAGCAGCGCCGTACTACTCTATTAAACTCCAAAATGGCTCCGATAATGAGAGTGAAACATATGGGAATCTGCTGAAACACCGTCTGCATCACTGAGCGCATATTTTCTGTCCGGCCTCGTCTTAAATATTAAAAGCATCATTTTCCACCTCTGCGCTTTTTCATGTGCGGCGATTCGTGACTTAATTTGCTTGTAGGATGGATTAAAAGGATGTCAGGTACATATTTAGCAAACAGCATGAAGAGCTGACGTGCGCCGATCAGGTTCGGAGGGGAAAATCGATTCACAGACATACATCAACCTGACCGTACAAGCTGTTCAGGAAGCCGGGGCAAAATCAATTCTCAAATTGACAAGCAGCCGGTGAAGGGCAGCGAGGTTTGGAATAACAAGAATTCTTCTTCTTCTTCCTGAGTGTGTTTGGATGCCAGCAGCAGATTTTTGTACTGATTTCACTAAGAGTACGTGTAGTTCACTGGAATAAAAGATGGATACTGATATCAAACCTCAGAGGAATGAAAAAACAGCTTTTTATTTATTTTTACTCCTGAAGTTTGAAGGAAGTTGAAGAAAATACACAGAAATGAAACCTCTTCCACGATATCACCAATACTTTAGGTGGTGAATTGTGGATCAACGCAGCTAGTCTTCACTAATGTTACACAAAATGATGGTTATTAGATGTTATACATGAGATAAAATGGACAGACTTTTACCCTGTAATGCCTTTGGTATCATATTTGATACGTACTTTTATATACTTCTATCAAATCAATATGATCAACAAATTACTAAAAAAACACCTGAAAACAGTCCGACAAATGATAAAAATGTATCAAACAAGATCCATAAATATATTTGTTAAATTTTTAGGACATTTTAATTTTTTTGGTTTTCAGTAGTAAATGAAATAAACATTTCAGCTTCAAAATAATTTGAATTTTTGGCCATAATTTGTGGTTTTAGGCAGTTAAGGGCTACGATGAAGTTTAGTGGCCCAAGTATGAGACTCTGAGGAACTCCAAGAAATTAAAGTAGCAGAGAAAAGGTGTGAATTTGAATGTTGTCGACCGCTTGCTTCTCTAGTTATACCAACTTTAGTAACGACCGCAGGATAGTAATACAGAGAGCCACGCCCCCAACCAAAACGCCACTCTATAGCCACAAATAATGCTATATATAATAATGCAATAATAATGAAAATCCAGGCCGTTCCAGATGCGGTAGGAATCTCAGGTTAGCGTCTCGGTCTGATTGTATTTCCATGAAGAAATTATCCTAAATGTTCTTCCTTGAGCTGCATCACCCCGCTGTAGTCTGTAATAAACTGGCCTGAGGTCTCTCTACAAACAAGCGTCTGCTGGAAGAGAGTAGGTGAGTTGTGTTTAGTCTCTTTGCTAAAGAAATGAGTCAACGTTAAAAAGATGTTTGGTGTCTAGTACTATGGCTGTGACCCTATATGTCCTGTTGATGAAGTTAGGTGCTGTTCTGAGCATTATTTGTTTGACCCTAGATTAATTTTATGCCAGAATATCCCTTTAAAATGAAGTTACGTGGCCCCAGCATGAGACCCTGAGGAACTCCAAGAAATCAAAGTAGTAGATGACGGGTGTGAAACTTCCACACATCTGCGTTAAAACTCCAAGTTTCCGACCATCTTCCCTCACAAATCTGTGAAACTCTTGTCGTATTAATAGCACTGTGAAAAATAAAAGCGTCCTCTGAAGACATAACTGAGTCATTTTCTGCTTTGTGTCTCATCTGAACCTCGTTCAAGGTCGCTCAGAGGTCACATGCGTCAGTTTCTGTAGAAACGGCTGAATTTTGTCGGAGTTTCGCGGCCTTTTTAGGAGAGGAGCTGCCATCTGTGAGCTCGAAACTCAAACAGCAAGTTTGTCACGACGTCCCCGCTCTGCCAGCACGCTCACATCACCAATTTACACACGCACGCACACACACAAACACAAACACACACACACTCATCATCGCTCTCACACAACCCTATAAGGCACTGCTGTGAAACACACCAACTCAGTTTAGTATGCGTAGAGTAAAATCTGTCTCACTGCAAGACTTTCCGTTAATATACGGCTATAAATATGCGAGTGTTTTTCCTGAAACATGAGAGCGCCTGAGAGAGATGATGTCACACACACACACACACACACACACACACACTGTGAACAAAGACAAAGGACCCAGCTGGATCCACTCAGCAGAGACTGATAAGCAGATATAGGGAGAGAAATGAAACAGGTCTATTTCAGAGCGAGTACGCGGCTGCGGTTATCCATCAGGTGTTATCAGGTCTCAAAGACTCTCCGCTCAAAAGAGGCAGAAAAAAAAACAACAACAATGAGAGGGACCGATTTTCTAACACTCCTCTGGACTCCTATAATCAGTAAAAATCCTCTGCCTGACTTTAATCGGCTCTTTTATCATTATCTTATTTTATAGCTGTTATTTTTAATCGCTTTTGTTGTTTTAACAGCGTCTCAGATCTGTCTGTTTAATGTGTCCATGCATCCGTAAAATAAATGCTATAAAATGAGCGGCATATAATTAGTAATGTTGTATCAGTGGCATAATATCAGTAATGAAATATAAGTAGGGTAATGAAATTGGCCTTAAATAAAAGGCAAAATATAAGTAGCAGAATACAATTATTGTAATATAAGTAGCATCATAGATGTCGTGTAATAAATGTACCTTAATTAACTAGAAGAATAAAATTAGTGTATCATAAAAAGCGTTATATATGTAGCGTAGTTGGTGGCGTAGTAATACTAATGTCATATTAGTGGTGTCATATAGTTAGCTTAGTATAAATTGCGTAATATAATTAGTGTATTATAATTAGCATAATATAAGTAGCATTACGTATGTAGCGTTATATATGTAGCACTGTATCAGTGGTGTGGCATCAGAATGTCATATTAGTGTTATCATATAGTAAGTGTAATATAAATAGCACAATATAATTAGCGGAACATAATTAGTGTAATCTAAGTAGCGTTATAAACATAGTGTAATATATGTAGCATAGTATCAGTGTCATAATATCAGTAATATCATGTAAGTGTTGTCATATAGTTAGCATAATATACAAGCGGAATATAATTAGTGGAAAATCAGTACCGTATTAAAAGATGCAAAATAGTAATTAGCATAATAAAATAGCGTAATATAGTTAGCATAATAAAAGTGGGCTAATATAATTAGCCTTACATAAGTAGTAATTTCAGTGGCGTAACATAAATGTCAATGCATTAGCGGTGTACTCTCAGCAGTTTTACATTCGTGGCGTCCTTAAAGTGGGGTTTAGGTGGTTGTGTATTAGTAGTGGCGTTGTCTTGTGGCGTGGCGTTCATGTTTATTCATGGATAGAGAGTGATTTGTGATAGAAGAGTAATATTTGGTGTTTTGATTTGAAATAGCTGTTCCTCATTAATGACAGTAACTTCAGGCCTCTCCTCGGGTTTTCCAGATGATTCCACCGCTTATTAGACGGGGATTCATCGGTCTAGTCATTAATACCTGAGATTACAAAGGGACTGAATGTCATCCCACATGATTTGTTGGTGAAATTATTATTTTTGCACTTTTTAACAAGACGAACAGAGTCTAATTTAGCTCATTTTTAATTTGGAAGTTGGACTGGTGTGTATTTAATACAACGGTTAGACGACCCGCGAAGATGAAGCGAACCGTCCTCTGATGGTTCCTGTTGCAGCGGCAGAGAAACCAGCGCGGAGGAGGTGGAAACCTCAGAGATTGACATCTCATTAGAGGAAATGGAGTTCAGCAGCGCATACTAAAGGGGTCAGCTAAAGTCAGACTACCTAATAGACAATCTAATTATTGAACTTGAGCTGATGCTGTATCAAATTACCACTACAGTCAGATTTCTCTTGGTACGGCTGGAAAGGGCAACGAAACAGAGGAATGAGTGAAAGCGGACGCGCTCGTCAAGCGTGAAAGTCGGCTCCTCGTTAGGAAAGGTGACCGCTAAGGTGAGTCCAGACAATAATACAATCAGCCTTTCCCCTTTTCTGACAAATATATATGACATAAACACCGTCTTTAACTCCACATTCACAAGTAGAAAGGGACATTTAGTGTCAGCGCTCATTAGTAATCAATTCACCTGCTTGGAACGATGAAAGCAAGAATTAACGTTTAACCCTGAGAACTCCAGCTGTATTTTGCTATTTTTGGTCGCCCATTTTTTTTTTTTTTTTTGTAAAAATCGATGTAGCAACTCGATCCTTTCAGCTGTCAGTTTATTGGTGCAAATATTATATAAAATAAATGTGACAGTAGACTCAGAACCATCAAAGTCAACCAAAAAACAAAAACATAAATTGATCCCAACAGAACTTTTCTCAAAAACTCATAAATCTACAGAGACCAAGTCTTTTCTCATCTACACATCATTCTCTCAAGACTTGGCTATCAGGTTTTCACCGGTTCATCACTGCGGATTTACCATCAAACGTCTTCGATCGAAAGACTATTTTAGTCTAGTTTTAGTCAGAATAATCCATGAGCATTTCAGTCTAGTTTAATCTATACAGCCCCATGACTATTTTAGTCTAGTTTAAAAAGAATAACCCATGACTAATTAAGTCTAGTTTTGGTCAGAATAAATCATGACTATTCTAGTCTAGTATTAGGCGACTAAAACTGATGGCATTTCAGTCTAGTTTTAGTAGACAGAAACTGATGGCAGTTTGGTCTAGTTTAAGTTATAATAACCCAAGACAATTTCAAACTACTTTTAGTAAATGAAAACTGATGGCGCTTTAGTCTAGTTTTAGTCTATATAACCCATGACTATTTTAGTCTAGTTTTAGTCGATGATTTTAATCTATTTTTAGTACTGTTATTCTGTTTAACCCAGTTCATAGAGTATAATTACCTTGTATAGTATAGAATAGATGAAACCAAATTTTTCTTTTAGTCAAATCCATTTTAAAAATCAAACCTAGTTATCCTATTATTATATTATTGTTCCTTTATAGACTCAAAAAAACATCTTTTCCAGACGTGGAAGATGCTCGTCTCTGTGCAGACTGCTCAACATATTTATTTTACCAAACATGTAGGTACAAACACATAAATTTGAATTAAATAAATACATGAAATACTGTAATTTTCACTGATGAAAGCAACTCTGGTGTCTTAGTCCTAAAATCCAGCTCCAGACTTGGTTTTTAGGACTCAGGATTCGGCTGTAAGGTTGTTTTATTCTGAACATTATCCAGATGCTGATTGTTATTTTGGCGTCTGTTTTCCCGTCTGTGTGACGGTTAAAAACATCAAACCTCATGTTGAGTTTCATGTGCCGCTCGTTAAACTTCTGAGTCGATTTGCACATGTTTGATTGGAAACGATAAAAAAGGAGGAGTGTGGCCCGACACGTGTTCAGTCTGTTAACCATGATTTCAAACCCGGGGCGATGACAACACTTCAGCTCTGGTGCGCTCACATCCCCATCTCCCTGAGCCGTCTCACGCTCACACACAACGTGGTTTTATTTCCCACCAAACGCAGATAAACATAACCATCCAGAGTTTAACGCACACACATGCAGAGGCTGTTTTGCATACTGATAAGACACAATCTGCCACCGGTGAATTACACGTGAAGGAGCGAGCGCCGCCTCTGATGTATGTTTTCAGGCGAAATCAGAGGGGACGCTCATACGTGTGCATGCGTGCGTGTGTGTGAATGACTTACTGTTATGCTCTTGTTCCTCCTCCACATTTCCCAGGACCATGGCAGGGACCCCGAAGGCTGAGGCCAACACCCACACGCAGATATTCACCACCTGAACAAACCACGACATCATCAGAGGAGACGCAGCACGAGGCGGATCGTTTCAGAGTCTTTAAAAGCAAATCGAATTTCCACTTTTGGGTCCTTGTGTTACAAACTGTCTCCAGCTCATTGATAACAAAAGAGCTCTTCTCTGGATTTCCATCAAAGTGATCTAAAATTATCATAATGTTGGTGACTCATCCTGTTTTATTGGCACGCACGCCAGTAAATATCAGGATTTGTGTTGCTCTCGAAGAAAAAAAGGACTCTGACTTGATGTTGTGAGGATTTTGGATTATTTTTACAATTCTAAGTCAAAGAGGCTTTTGTTGTTCATATAAGATTGAATAATTTCTGTGTTTTAATCCATCATTATATGCTTTAGATTTTAAACAAAGTTAACAGCCGTGTTTTCGTGGTTGTTGTTTTGCTCAATCAGAGATCATCCTGCCGGTACCAGAGCCATCTTTTAGTTGTTTCCTCTCCTCCTTTTAAAACAAACAAACAAACAAATAAAATGAAGTGTTTTCTTTCTGTTGACTCAGCTCTGAGGTTACTCTTTCTCTCTGTTTCACAGCACAGGGGCGTAACCAGACTCTTTAAGTCTGGGTGGCACTACAGAGGGTGGCCGGAGTTTGTGTTCATGCAGATTATTAACATTTACCCCCTCTGTCTTACTGATATGATATTCCTGTTTATGATTTTAGCTTTTTAATTAGGGATGTAACGTTATGAAAATTCTACCTCACAGTTATTGTGACCAAAATAATCACAGTTTTTGGTATTATCGCGGTATTTTTGATGCTTTTAACTCGCGCTAAATGACACCTTGTTTTCATCGTTTCATCAGAACTAGACAGGATTACCGTCTTTAACTAAGCATCCCTTCCCATTTTTATAAAACCCAACATATGCACAAACCTCCGACTTGCCGGATCAGAGCGGAGCTGTTCCAGATTCATTGGTATTCCCGGGTTAGAGGTCTGATGGATGTCTTGGGCGCTGTTATCTCCTCCTTTAGCCATGATTTAGAACGTTTAAATGCAAACTGTAGACTACACAGCGCACCTGCGCGGCTACTTCAGGAGACTTTGATAAAGCCGTGATGATTAACAGGGTCTCCTTTACATGCAATTGATCGTGGCGCATGGCTAAATAAAAGCCGCCACACCTTAAGTGAGTTTTTTCTTTTTTTCTTACTCATATGTTTCACCCACTGAGCATTTTAACATCTAATAGACGTCTTAATGTAGCCTTGATGACTGTCTAAAATCAGACTACCACTGGTCTAAAAATAAAAGTTATTTAGACGTCTAAATTTAGACCAAGTTTAGACGAGCCGGCTAACAGAAGTCTTCACTGTATATCACTCAACGGCTATTATGATCGTCATCGTCGTTTTCTTCTGTCATCCAGGTCCGGGTCGCGGGGTCAGCAGCTTCAGGAGGGAAGCCCAGACGACCCTCACCTCAGCCACTTCCTGCAGCACACCGTGGAGCGTGCGAGCTGAGTATTAGCATTAGCGAGTTATCTTGGCGATCTCACAGCTGATTGGTTACACACACCCTCCCCCAGTTTTTGAAACGAAAACAGTAAATCGTTATTATCAACATTTTTATCACGATTTACCGCTAAACTGAAAACCGTTAAATCCCTAATGTTGATAAATAATAAGTTAACATGCATTAGCAGGTCTGATGTTAAAGTATATCTATTTAGGCAGTTCTCTGACACGTGTTCTACATGTCAGACAAGGATAATTGATCAATAATCGATAGTTCAGCCCTAAACAGCTGCAGAACAATGACTCCCAGACGCCGCCTCAGATATCTCCTTCAGCTCATCAGAGTCTCTGCGACTCACTTTAGAGCCTCAAAGGCTTCAGACAACTTTGGTCTCCGTACTCAGCCGAACTCCCTCAGACCTGCGCTCAGACTTTGAAGTGTAAAACTGGTTCAGTTCCTTTTGAAGTCGAGCTTCTTTATAATGTTACGCAACCGCAGATCTCAGGAGGATCGCTGCCACGAGGATTATTGGGCAGAAAACTGTCAAAACCCCCCAAAATCATCTGCTCTCGTGTTGTCTTCATTTTGTCGTGTTTTTCTCGCTCTTTAACTGCGTCTGAAGCTCTCATTGTGCGAGAGTGTTTGCCCATTAGGAGACAGAGGAGGAAACAGCTGAAACGGCTCGCTCAAGCCAAACCCGACGGTTTCCTTTTCTGTATTTAGCAGAATCTCTGCACAGCTGTTAGACGAACTCAACAGCTGCGCAGAGGCTGCACCAGACAGTCTGGGTTATCCACTTATGTAACCTCACGCTCTATCACCAGTTTGCTCCTGAAGTAAAAGTCGACACTGATCTGAAACTCAACAAAAGAAGTGTGAAAGTCGGATTTCTCACTCTGCGACAGAGAGGTTTTACCTTGGCCTTGTGAGGAGTCCTCATGTCCAGCGCTTTGACAGGGTGGCAGACGGCCACATACCTGTCCATGCTCATCACCGTCAGGGTGAAGGTGCTGGTGAACATGTTGTAGTAGTCGATGGACACCACCGCCTTGCACAGAGCGTTCCCAAACGGCCAGAAGCCCAGGAACACGTCGGTGCCCTGTACAAGAGCAGAAACGGACCAATGAGCAGAGTGAGGAGCCGCGGGCGAACACAGACCCAGATCTCCTCCGAAACACGACTTCAGACGGTCAATTATTCAATGAGGTGGTTACAAATTAATGTAGTGAAGCGTGAAACCACAACGGGGACAGATTACAGCCCTGATGACAGGAGAGGAGAACTTTAATGCATCATTTAAGTTCCTAACATCCTTAAAAACTGAAGATAACACCTGACAGACGAGGGAAATAATCATTTAAAATAATCCGATATGAAACTTTTAATTATCAGAATTTCTCCATCAAAACAGAAAATCATTATTTAGTGATATGAGGTCCCAGCAGCAGCTGTTTTTACAGGTGAATCATCCTCAGTGTTCAAATAACTGCAGATATGATGAATAATTAGTCTGTTTTATTTATATAGTGAAACTTTATTAAAAAAGTAAAACACGGACAAAACAAACTTTTCTGTAACTTCCTGAAATTAAAATTAAAAACACTTCTAAACTCGTGTTCGACTGTTTATCCCAGAGGAGAAATTAAATGTAGAAGCAGAATAAGACAGAGCTTTTCTTACTGTCCTTTTTCGAGATGCAAATCATCGTTACTTCAGATATACCTATCCTTGCTAGTTGCCACCAGACTAACTCCCAATTTTCACCGCATTCTGAACGCCATAATGGCGGAGATATTCGTCATCTGCCAATTCCTACCTCATCTGCTTGTGAGGTGAATTTCGTGGCGGATTACAGACAGTGGTTATCGCAAGAACTCACGAGAACCCGCGGAAATCTACCCTCTAGACTTCTAGATGTTTTATTTTGTGTCTGTGCCCGACTTCCTTTCCAGCACGGGTTAATCTGTGCTGAATTTATCCGCCATGCTCCGGCGTCTGAAAAAATAGAACTCTTGAGATCAGCTGAGGAGTCCGGCGATCCGCAGAGGAACGGAAAGAAGTCGGTGTAAATTGACACGTTAACTTGAATGGTTACGATCAGCTACGATCGGAGGATACGACCTTTCCGTAGCCGTTCAGGATGAAGGTGGAGATTGGGGGTTACTGGTCAAGACAACTTATTAATATTTATTTCCCTGTAGGCCTCCATCAGATGTTGTGTTTCAGCTGTAGTGCAGGCATCCGCCACTAGGGGCTGTAGCTCAGTTTGGCTGTATTTAGATTTAGAAAATTTAAACAAGTTGTGAATAGTTTGTGTCTGGTTACAGCTGACTTTGGACCACTGGACCGGTGCGATGCTGAACCAGAACATGTATGGAGCCTCAGTCCTGTATGTGGGACCGCAAACTGGTGGTGCTAGCTCTGCTAACCCTAATCCTAATCTCAGGACTGGTTTAAATCTCAGTTAAAACCTTCTTATTTGACACCAGCCCAATCAGTTTACCATTAAATAAAACACATGAGGTTAAAAACACTTTGTCTCTGCTACCAGAAGAAGTCAGACGCAGTGATTCACACAAAGTACTCGGTAATTAGCTCGAAACTGAGACCGTGAAATATTGGTGTTATCAAGTCTGACCACTCTGCTGGTTAAACCGCCATCGAAGAATCATTTAGACAGTAAAGTTTATGATCCTTGTCTGAGAGCGGGATAAAACTCAACACTTTTCATATCAAGTTTCAACCATAAACGGTTTTAATTACCATCAGGATGACTGAGACATCCCTCAACATTAAACTAAATGACTTTACAGCAGCGATACGTCCAACAGGGAGAGAGAGAGAGAGAGAGAGAAAGAGAGAGAGAGAGAGAGAGACAGAGAGAGAGAGAGAGAGAGAGAGAGAGAGAGAGAGAGAGAGAGAGAGAGAGAGAGAGAGAGAGAGAGACGCTTTTATGATGTTTCATGAAGTTCAGAGTGGAGTTGGTCGATGCTGTCATACCTGGAAAGGTAGAGTAGCCAGGAACAGAGAGTCGGCCAGGGCCAGGTTAAAGATGTAGATGTTGGTGGCTGTTTTCATCTTAGTGTATCTGAGGAGAGAGGAGAAGAAACATCGGATTATTAGTATATAATCTATGTATCAACTATATTGTTTCAGCTCTCAGTTTATGGAGCAAAAATGATGTAAAATAAATGAGACAGTAGATTCAGAACCATCAAAGTCAACCAAAGAACTAAAACAGAAACTGATCCCAACAGTACTTTGCTCTAAAACCACATAAATCTACAGTGACCGAGCCTTTTCTCACCTGAACATCATTCTCTCAAGTCTATCAGGAGAAGAAATATTGGGACTGGAACAAACACACAACAGAAACTATTGACATATTTACACTAAAAGGGTAAACTTCTGAACACTTTTCATCCCGTAGAGATACACAGAATAGTTCCTGAGAAACTGTGAACTACATTAATGGAGTCACCTGGGATTGTCGGTGATCCAGCGGACTGGGTTGGTCCCGATCTTAATCCTGAGATGACCCTGCGGTTTCTTTTTCTGGTCTTGTAGTTTCTGCAGTTTTTGTTCCTGTCAGGTTTAGTCTTAACTTACGACCTGATAGCCTGGAGGCTGAACCCCAGTCCTGTTGGTCCAGGATCTGGTTTGCCTCGGGGCTCCTCTATCCAAGAATATTACACATACACTTCTTTACTGCATAATTTGGTACTTTGGGGTCGAGTTCACATCAACACGGCTGAATAAAACTTTTACTTTCAGTTTGTGGACTCTGTTGGACGTCTACTGTCCACCTGAGCAGCTAAAAGATCAGGGTCCTCTGCAGACAGGACAAGAGTCAACAACTCATAAATCCGTCAGTCATGTTTGAAGAGCGTCTTCGCTGCTTTGACTCTGCAGATTTTTCGCCTCTCTGACTTCAGACACTCTGAAGGTTTTTCAGCTTCTGCTGCCCTCAATAAAACTCCATAAAAACGCATTGCAGTCAAATATTCCTCCTCTCTCCCTCCCTCTCTCCCTCTCTCCCTCCCTCCCTCCTCGGTTCAGTCTGGCCCTCGGCTCTTCTGCACGCTCCCATCTTTCCTCAACACTCCCTCTTCTTCTTTCTTTCCTTCCTCCTTCCTCCCTGTCTCCTCCTTTGCCTTTCCTCCTCCTCATGTCCTCTTCCTTCACCCCGCTCCTTTTTTTTGAGGTCTCTCACTCATTTATTCCCTCGCATCTCAAACATCTGTGTCTTTCAGACTCCCATCCTTTCATCATCCCTCTTATTACTGTTTCTTTCCTCCTCTTCACTTGTTATCCGTTTATTCACACCCTTATCTTCCTCTGATCCCTCTCATCCTTCCTGCTGTTGTTTTTAATACAGCTGCAGGTTTCCACAACTGAACATGTGTCTCATATGTTATTAGTATTAGTATCTGTATCTATTCAGTCCAAGTTGTAAATGTTCGTTTTTTTCCTCTGACTGGTTTCCACAGAAGTGTTTCATTAAATATCGTCCTTCTTTATTAGCGGTATAGTTTCACTAAATTGTAGAAATGCGTCCGATCTTTGCTTCATCTGAGGTTGATAAACTGGATTTAATGCAACTCAAAGAACTCAGTCTGAGTCTGAATTCACTGTTGATCATGACGTGTTTATACATGCACAGAGTTTTATTCAGATAAGAAGTATTTGGACAAGCGCAGAGTCGTCTGATTTCACTAAAACAACCGCAGAAGCAGAAGAAGAGTTGTATTTGCGTCTGTATTGTCAACAAACCAACATACGAAGTCGTGGCTCACGTCATCTAATCCAGGAGTTCTCCCACTGTTAAGTGTGTCACTAGATGGCGCCCTTGTGTATGTATTTTACTGTTCTGTCAAAGGTTGCAGATGTGATGGAATAACTGTTAACATTGACGTGTTTTGGAATAACGATCGGCATAAACCACCCCTCTCGATCAGCATACAGTTTCTCTCCGATTGAGCCGAATTGGATCAGAATCTTCCGATCGACATGTTTACATGACGCTTTTTTTGTTCCGATTATTTGTTCCCATGTAAACGCAGATATTGATACACTGCAGACTTTGCAGTAAATAAGTCCCACTGCAGTCTGCTCCTGTATGACGATATCCATTGTGTTCAGCAATGTGCAGTTTTTACGCAGATGTGCAGCTCTGTCTCCTACTATCTGTTCTCACTGTCCTTTAAGCTCCGCCTCCAGAAACAGTGACAGTTCTGAGGTCAGGGCTGAGGTGATAAACTGAAAATTTACCGATACCGAAATTTACGACAATTACTGATGTCATTCTGCTCATATCGGTATATTCAGTGTCAAAAAATAAATGAATCAAAGTTGTTTTTGGATGTGTGTAGGTAGGCTATGGTTTCATGTCAGAGACGTGACTCCGCCCCATCCAGTCTGTAACAAAGAGGGAAAGACAGGTGAGGAGATGGAGGACGGAGAGAAAGTTGTAGCGGCTGAAGTAGACGAAGTTAATGTGGGAGGAGGTGAGCAGCTGGTGGAGTAGTTATCGTCCATCGTCCTCCTCATCGTCACCAAGAGTCAAGCTCCTAAACTTCCTCCTTTCACGTTGATCTGAGATGTTAATGATGAAGTAAAATCTGATCAATCGACCAGCTCTACGATCCTGACAGCTCTCTTCCTCGTCCCTCTTCTTCCTCAGTATATCACTCTCCTTCTACTTCACATCACTTTTCTTTCTCTCCTTCGGCTCCGTCCGTGTTTCTGTCAATCCTCCTGTCCGACTCTTACCCTCTTCACCTCCTCCATCCATCTCACTCATCATCTCTTCTCACTTCTTCATATCTCACTTCATCCCCAATTTATCTGTTGTCTCTCTATGCCCTCTCCTCCTCCTCCTCCTCTTCCTTCTCCTCCTTTTGCTCCTCGCTCTTCCTCCTGTTTTTTCGCAGGCAGCAGAGTCTTCAGAGGGAATATTTTATGGCTGTTCGGCTCTCTCCTCTTCTCTTGCATCAGGGAGCGAGTCTACCCAGATGAACCCTCAAACTCGCTCTTTTTCTCTCCTGCAGAACATCTCGTCTTCTGTCTTTGAGGTCTCTCATCTTCTGGCCTTCAGAAACAATCCCTGATGATGTTCTGGCCTGTTCCCTCTGCGTTTCTATTCTCCCGCTTCCTCCCTTTTCTCTCGCTCTGTCATTCAGTGGAATAATAATTGCATCATAATTACGGAGTTCAAGGTTCCTGACAGAGGCAGCGGAGAAAAATGAGGAGGGAGTGATAAAAGAAGAAGAAGAAGAGAGGACGATGAGTTGTGAGATGCTTTAGTCGGAGAGAGTTGAGTTTCATGGAGGTCGACCTTCCTGCAGCTTTACAGCACGAACACAAAGAACTGTGCGTTTGTTTTTTCGATTATTTTCTTTGCATGCAAACTAAAGAGGAAGGAAGTGAGACAAAGGAGTGAGTGAATATGAAAAGGGCAGAATAAATCATCTCTGCGCAAAACAAGTTTCCCTGTAATGAAGAGAAACGGAGCTGCAAAAGGGAAAAACAGATCAATAACGCGGCGTCGGTATTCTTGTGAGAGGAGGAAACACACGAGGACGGTTCTGATGGTTCACTTCGTAACGTAAACAGGAAACGCTTGATTGCGGTAAAAACAGACGCTTCCTTCTTTAAAACCTTTGAGACGTTCTGAGACAAAACAAGAGCTGCTGAAATATCCGACACACAGGAGGAAACATGAGGCGACGTTCAGGTAATAACGCCTGACAACGCGCCTGCAAGACGACACTCAGGGGCACAAAAACAGGATTTTAAAGGCGGGAATCTGTTATAGAAGTGTCTTTTTATGAGGTGTTTATACAAAAAATCTTTTAATATCAGTCAATAGTTTTTAGTTATTGATGACATTTGGTAATATATCGATATCTCTGTGTTCTCTTATGTCTGTGTCGTCAACATTTTCTCTTTCTGACTGTAAACAAAGCCTTTCTCCACCTCCTCTAACCTGATTGGTTGTGAGGCAGACGCTGCTCCCCCGTGTCGTTCAGGAGCCCAAACAAAGTTAGCGTGCTACAATATCGGACAGTAGAAACCAACCAGAAAGTTCGGAAAATTGTCTGAATCCTCCTTTGGCCACGACTGCCGACACAAGCAAGAAAACACTCAAACATAAACAGTCAACAAGAAAACAGTCAACAAGAAAACAGTCAGCAAAAAACAGTCAAAAAGAAAACAGTCAGCAAAAAACAGTCAACCAAAAACAGTCAACAAGAAAACGTCAACCATAATAAGTCAACAAGAAAACAGTCAACAAGATAACAGTCAAAAAGAAAACAGTCAACCATAAACAGTCAACACCAAAACAGTCAACAAAAAACAGTCAACAAGAAAACAGTCAGCAAAAAAACAGTCAACAAGAAAACAGTCAGCAAGAAAACAGTCAACCATAAACAGTCAACACCAAAACAGTCAACAAGAAACAGTCAACAAGAAAACAGTCAGCAAGAAAACAGTCAACACCAAACCAGGCAACAAGAAAACAGTCAACAAGAAAATGCTGCTCCCCCGTGTCGTTCAGGAGCCCAAACAAAGTTAGCGTGCTACAATATCGGACAGTAGAAACCAACCAGAAAGTTCGGAAAATTGTCTGAATCCTCCTTTGGCCACGACTGCCGACACAAGCGAGAAAACAAAGTAAATACCGGAGACTCTGGAGGAATAACGGGCGCTTAAAACGGAGGTAGACCGGACAAGAGCTAAAAAGCCGGGTCAACATAAACGATGGGGGACGCTTGGGGATCTTGGTGACCCTGTAACCTTTCTGCTGGACAGGTAAACCGCTTTAACAAAGTAAGACAAGTGTCTGTAACAGAAGTGTTTCTTGTCAAACGGACCTGCTGTAGCGTGTTGTAGCGCCATCGCTAAACTGTCCTCCCTCGGGTCCTGGACTATGTCACTTTATCCTCGTTGTAGAAGTCCTGCAAACATTGTGTTTGCTGGTAGTCTGTTGGCATCTACAGTAGCACCAATGCTTTTGACTTTCACCTTGACTGGGCCCCATTTGTAATGATCTGAAGTATTTATCTGCATTATATCTGAATTTAATTGGAACGATACGAGCGAGCAGGAGCGTCTGTTTGTGGGCGGGGCTTGAGGGGAGAGGAGGAGCTGAGGGGAAAACTGGATGGGAGGGGTAGAGTTTACATTCAAGATTTCTCCTAAAAACTGGAACTAACTCAGATCCTGACTAACCTTAAAAATAGACAAAACAAAACAGAATAGAGAAAAAAATCATGTAATATTTGAAAGTGGGACAAAGAAAGAAACTGTTTAAAAAGCTGTTTTTGTGCAGAAGTGAAGAAGTTTGGAGAGTTACCGATCAAAACCAAAGAGCAGAGATCGTTTCCCTTCATGTTGATGTTTTCAGGTGTTGTTTCCAGTGGAAGGATCCCTGACAGATTCAGATTCACTCCGTTTTCACACACATACGCAGTCGCCTGGACTACAGCATGAGTCAAGACAGCCTGTCCACATTTGTGCCAGCGTGTGACAGCACGCTCACTCCAGGCCGGGGGATGGTGAATAATTCAAAGTGATTATTAATATTTGAGAGCGAGCAGCACGGCGGATGAAAGAGTCATCAGATAGGCTCCTTTCATCCTCCTTCCTCCGCCCTCAGCCCGCTGTTAACGCAGAGAAGACGATGAGTGAGAGATGAAGAGGAAGACGAGTCTGTCAGAGAGTCGGACGATGAACCCTCACAGGTGCATATGTTCCCGCGTCTCTGACCGAGATTTACGCCGCAGTAAAGCGAGCACTCAAATTAACACGATGCATAAATCTGGTTCGACGGGAAACAAACGTTTTAGGAGATCTTCTACGTTTCAACGTAAAGTCGACTCCAAATAAACACCTCAGCTCATGATTCTCTCTTTGCAAACTTTAATCCCCCAACATTCAATAAAAACAGACTAATTAAAATCTTGAACTCTAAGCCCTCGATTAAACACGCCGCACAAGCAAACCCACAAATCATTACCAGCTGCTAATGTGTTTCCGTGAAGGTTCAGGGGGTAATCTATTAGTGGCATGTGTGAAAAACAAGATTAAAGTTGGATGTGAGTAAAGGCGAAAGGTGGAGATGAAAAAAAGAAAAGATGTGACTGAAATAGAGACGCAGAAGATTTTCATCTTTGCGTCTCAGCTGCGCCGCGACGAGCTTCACTTCATTCAGCGAGCGTTCGGCTCTGAGTGATGTGACGTGTCTCAGGTGGCTCCGCAGAACACAATCTCCCTGATTGGAGGAATCCTGGTCTCCTCTGTTACAGGACAAACAATGAATCTCATGATGCTGCAGGAAACGAGCCAAGAAAGCACTGACATGATTGTGAAGGATCTCAGGGTCTGGACCGCGGCGAGTGTCCGGAGAGATCTGAGGCTGGAGTTAAGCTGAGCTGCTGTTTTAGACTCAGTCTTAGTTTAAAGGTTTTAGTTCATTTATGTGGATGTTAAATGTATTTTATTGTATTTAAGGTTCTGTTTATAGAAGGGTAAGAAAGTGGTGATTTGGGGGAATGGCCCTTTAATCAAAAACACTCAATACTCAGTTTTCTAGACGTCATAATGGTGCAGCGAACACATGCACGAGCATTCATAATAAGAAATGGCTGTCGTGCACTTTTTTAATTACCCAGAATGCATCTGTGACGATGGTCCCACATGCAGGAGACGACATGAACCGTGCATGTTAACGGTATGGTAGTCAGGATCTGAGTTAGTTCCAGTTTTTGGTAGAAACCTTGTCCAGGACCCGAGGGAGGACAGTTTAGCGATGGCGCTACAACACGCTACAGCAGGTCCGTTTGACAAGAAACACTTCTGTTACAGACACTTGTCTTACTTTGTTAAAGCGGTTTACCTGTCCAGCAGAAAGGTTACAGGGTCACCAAGATCCCCAAGCGTCCCCCATGGTTTATGTTGACCCGGCTTTTTAGCTCTTGTCCGGTCTACCTCCGTTTTAAGCGCCCGTTATTCCTCCAGAGTCTCCGGTATTTACTTTGTTTTCTTGCTTGTGTCGGCAGTCGTGGCCAAAGGAGGATTCAGACAATTTTCTGAACTTTTTTTTAGATGATATGATTCATTTTAATAGGATATGATACAAAAACAATATAATTAATTCATCACATTTGCATGTCAACATATAACTCCTTTGAAGAAGAAGTCAAATGAGCCCAAACTCTCCTCCACTGAGTGATTTTATATCATTTTTAAAGTTGTGGATTTTCGGCACATTTTGAGAGCGAAGAAGCAGCAACATGAACAAAACACTTTAGATGAGAGATCCTGTCACTTCTCTTTGTATCGCAGATCAAAAACTCGACTCCTGTGTCCACAGAGATCTTCTTTAGACTCTGAGAGCCTCTCAGGGTTGAGGAGCCGCACTTTAGAAAATGAAGTGCACCGCCTGAATCGAGGTGGGAGAGATTGGTGCTCTTGTTTTTCGATCAAATCTCAAAGGCGAGAAAGACAAACCACAAACAGAGGCCCACGACTTACTCTCTCCTGCTTAACTTTTACACTTTCACCCATCAGTCCATCTTTAACTTCCACGAAACCTCGCCCCCGGATCTTTTTGTCTCTCACAGCGGAGAGTGTTGCCAAGGAAAGAGAGAGACTGTCCCCGGAATGAAAGAGTCACAAAAATAAGGAATATTGCCTCTAAAAGCAGAGCGAGCGAAGGATCCTGAGATGAGTTATATGTCCCCGTCAGAGAGAGTTTGTCCACATTCCTCCTACGGTCACATTAAAGGTGAAGCTGTTGGTTTGTTTTTAGTGTCTGTTGGACTCGATACGACCTTAAATACTTCACTCGGGATGATTCAGGCGTCATCAGCAGCTGGAAAGGTTCGAATATGAGCCGAAGTTTGGAGAAGAAGGGTTAGAAAAAGCTCCAGATGATTTAAAGTAAAATATTCCAATTATTTCAACACTTCATCAAAAATTGAATACTGTTAGTTTTTAACACACAGGTAACATGACAAGGTATGGAAAGAACCCGAAGAGGCTGTGGATTATTGGAGAAACCGAAAACACGAACAGATGTCAAAAATTTTTGTTTGTTTGTAAAACAGGTAAAAATATCAAAACGACTGTCCAGTAGAAATAAGAAAATGTCGTCCTCTGGTAAACTTTAAGATACTTTACAAGAATAATGTTATTTCTCAATATTGTAGAGAAAATGATGAATGATTATTAATGTAAATTTTAAAGCACGTTCATTACTCGATCTGATTTGAAGAGTGAATATTAAAGTGTTGGTAGTTGTATGAAGAGAGTGTATCTGTATCATGTACTCCATGTTTAGTACGAGGGGTCGGTCTTTATAAGCACTGCTGCCGCCGACATCCTTTCAGTCATAATATACCAAAAATAAATCCTAAAATTCTAAAACGTCAACGTAGAGATGCTGTGTCTCTAACCTGGGATTTCCACTGCATCCGGAATGGCAGCAATTTTCACTGTACGCTAGGGCTGGGCGATATGGTAAAAAGTTTATCACAATATATTGATTTCATTGATATATTGATATCGATATATGTCACGATATAAAAAATCACTTGTCAATCTTAAATGTTCCCTGTTACTCTTAAATGAAATTTATCTGTGCTTATTGGTCACATGTCTTAAGCTCCTGCATCTGTGAGGTCTTTGTGTCTCTTCAACGTTTGGTTCTGCCACATCCAGTTTAAAGAGGATAAAGACCACACAGCTTGGACACTGTAGGACTCATAGGTATCCATGGTAACGGTAGCTTCCGCATCCGTGTAGACTCTTTGTAATGTTTACAGGTTCTGAAGCGACACATCCTGTCATCCAAACAATGACTTTTCCAGGAAAGACCTCGATAACGTCCAATCACATCCTTACATGTGTTACAACATCATGGCTCAGTAGTAGAGGAGTCCATGTCATGTCCATGTCACCTCCATCTTCACTGGAATAAACAAAAATGTCTAACGCTCACGTGTCGTCAGAGTTTAGGAGGAAAGTGTTTCCTTGAGAAGTATCTTTCCTCTGACGAACGTGTCAATCATCCTATTCTCGGCGAGTGCGTTGACATAAAGTCCTCGTCTTCCTCTCTTGTCTCTTTGTATCTCATCCACCCTCTCTTTCACTCTCCGCTTTCATACACGACCATAAAGACCTTTTTATCACTATACCGCTGCACCATAGGACCTTTCTTATCCCCCCGTGAGTCTCGAGAAGAAAAAAGGTCTTGAAGGAAGCTTTTCCAATGCCGGTCACACAATCCAATTCACAACCTCCAGCAGCTGTGGAGATACTGACACCGTGTTATTACCACGGCTCTCCTGCGAGCGACATCATCCACCCTATTCTCCTCAGGTCTTTAAACGTCTCTGAAAGCAGCTCAACAATGGACGCTCATCTCTGCAGAGTGCGAAGAGGGTTCAAGTGTGCAGGAGGAGCGCTTATGGAAAGAGAGAACATGATCAGAGTGTGGACTCGCATTTTGAAGTTTACTCTACTCTGCTTCATGTAAACACGCCGAGCAGGGGCTGATGGGAGTGATGATATCAGGGATGATTAAATATTAATCCTATATTGGCACAAACTTGTGCACGACAAGTTTTGCACTCAGCTGCAACGTCTTTTTCGGACTTTAACGAAAAATACTGTCACACAGCCGACATCACTCTAACCCCAGATTTCCACCGCATCGATAACGGCTACAAAAAGATCGAAATGGAGGCTTTAGATTGACGTTGCAGTCGCTATTTTTTTCCCCCGACATGTTAATTTTGAGCAGCTTTAGCACTTTTTGTCGATCCGTTCTAAACTGCAGTGAGTTTTGGTTGAGGCTGAACACGATCACTGGATAATCGCTCCATATATTAATGTTGCACAACTAGATTTTTACTTATCTCTGCTTCGGTTTGTCACTGTCTGATCTGAAAATGTTTAAGTGCACTTGAGCTTCCAATTAACTTAGGTTGCTTTCACAACTGACCAAGCGGACCCATAGCAACCTATGGCACTTGTTGCACTTGTTACTTTGTTGCTATGGCAGCTGACACGCTCCGGCATCAAGAAAAGTAGAACTATTGCGATCAGCTGAGGAGTCCGGCGATCCGCAGAAGAAGTGTAAATTGACACGTTAACTTGAATGGTTACGATCAGCTACCATTGGCGGATTTGCTCGTAAAAAGATAAACCATCACCACCCTTATAAGTCCGTTTAACAGATAAATATTATTCTCATTATCGTAGGTCTGTAGCTCTGGTCACTGGCTCGGCGAGCTTTTCTCCCTGGAATTAAACGAGCGTGGCGTCGTCCGTCTGTCCGTCAGTATTTTGATCCTAAAAACAAAGATGAAATTTCACGCAGGCTGAGTCTGGATAAGCTGGCAAACATTTTTCAGGCTGCTGTGAAAAGCCGCCAACTCAAGGCATGAAAAATGGACCTTTAGTTTACTCACTTCAGTCCCACAGGTCACACTAATGGAAAGGCACACACACACACTCACACACACACACTCTTGTCAGGCTAATGCTTTTCTCCTCACACACACACACAGAGAATCAAAAGCCCTCTTTATTAGGCCAATCACCGCTCCATCCAGAGAGGGGCAGACCTGAGTGGACACTACAAACACACAAGCTCCAGCGAGAGGGCAATTAATGATCTCCAACACAACACATCAAACACACCCGCCGCTGACTCCACCAGGGCCCGACTGCAGGGTCTATTTCAGGGTGAGAGCAGCTCTGCACCTCATTATGGAGGTTTCATTTTCCTCTGTTTCACATCACACAGCTTTAGCAGACGGATGCTGAGATTCTGCAGGCATGTGAAGCCCAGCACAGCGCCGCGATGCCTTTCTTCTCTTTTTGGTATGCATCAAGTTGCACCACCTTTGTGTGGTTTTTCTACCTCCACCCTCTCCTTTATGAAAGTCCAGACTCTGCAGCGGCTGTTTCCTCTAACGCTTCAGAGAGCTGCTCATGTTTGGTTTACAGATGTCGTATGTAATTGTCGGAATCGAACAGGAGAAAATTAATCAAGTTAAGTGGAAAGTCGATCAATCGTTACACATATTCAGTCCGTAGAAAAATTGTGTTGGATCTTTCCTTCCCCTCGTCAAATATCTACAGCCAAACTGGTGGAAGTAATGAATTGTCAGTCGGAGAGATCTGGTCTTCTCGGGGGTCCTGGATCTGAAAGTAATTTCCCCTGATGCTGTTAGGAAACCCAGTAAAAGAAAATGGGAGAAGAGGGAGAGTGGAGACGCTCAGTGTTTCTGAGGATGTCATTTCTACTCCGGCGAATGACCCAGACTTTATTACAAAGACGTTCTATTCATCGTCAAAAGACTGTGACAGTCTGGAGTTTTGATTGGACGCTTCTATTGAACGTTTGCTCACTCGCTCCTCTGCTTATCCAGCTCTGATAGTACCTGTTATCAGGTCGTCTGAGCGTGTTAGGTAACAGGAGGATCACCGTGTCGGTGCTTTTATAGAGAAAGTAGAGTTAAAGGAAGTAAAACAGAAGCTGCCGAAATCAGAGAGGCTGAATATCGAAGTCTAGATGTGATAGTCTAGATTTAGACAAGATGCCACAAATGTGGGTAGGACTTGTCCAGAAGACAATCAAAGACTCGCCCCACAAGGAGGGTCAGCCACTGAAGAAGTCGGGATTAAAGGATATTCCTGCGTAAAATTAATTTAGGGTCAAACCCACCGTAACACCGAGTTAGACCCCCCCTCCAGAGATGAATGTTGTCGACCGCTTGCTTCTCTAGTTATACCAACTTTAGTAACGACCGCAGGATAGTAATACAGAGAGCCACGCCCTCAACCAAAACGCCACTCTATAGCCACAAATAATGCTCAGAACAGCACCTAACTTCATCAACAGGACATATAGGGTCACAGACATAGTACTAGACACCAAACATCTTTTTAACTTTGGCTGATTTCTTTAGCAAAGAGACTAAACACAACTCACCTACTCTCTTCCAGCAGCCGCTTGTTTGTAGTGAGACCTCAGGCCAGTCCATTACGGGCTACAGCGGGGTGACGCAGCTCAAGGAAGAACATTTATGGTGTTACAGTGTGTTTTACCCAAAATTAATTTTACGCTGGAATATCCTTGAAGAGTACCATGCCACCTGCTGCTGTGGGTCTACTGTGTTTTATCAAGACTAAATCCAGGCGAGTTTAGACCACTTGGAAGCTGACAAGCTTCACTTCGATGCTCATTTGCTCTACTAGCTTGATTTTGCACCTGCCCACTGCGCCAAAACTACCAATGAAGCTCCAACTAAGTATTGAGTCTAAGTATTCAGTATTGAATTGTGATTGTCCTGGGCTATGGGCCTTAAATGTCACAATAAAAAAAATAAAAAAATAAAAACACTTTACATTAATTATTTCATTCTACATATAATTACTACAAATTAAAATTATACCGAGATGATCATCGAACTTTTTCATAATATTCAAACTTTTGGAACTGCACTTGAATATTTACAAAGGCCAAAAAAACTAAAGCAGAATTTTAACTTTCTATTAAATATGTGAAATATCATCTATTATATCAATTCATATTACATGACATTAACATTACTGAGTGTGGCTCAGTCCAGTTAAAAAAAAACTGGAGGCCCTGTGCAGTCAGAAAACTCTGAAAATGATCATCAGAGTCTGAATAATTATCTTTTCAGAAACATCTGGAGCTGCTCATCAACATTTAAAATACAAACTCCAGCTGTTTGGATCTATAATTATGAGTTTAATGATCACTTTGAGCCGTGTTTTAGATTCACACACAGAGACAGAAGAACAGCTGCATTAAAAAAAAAAAAAGACTTCTGTTATCAGCTGATTCATCGGGGACAGAAGACCAGAATCAGACTCGCTCCTCCGCCCTGCCGACTGAAACACTGACTGACGTGGGGCTCAGACACAGATGGGACATTTTCCCTCCGAGCAGAAGGTGAAAATGGAAAGAAAGCAGGACTGGACTGGACCCTGTTCCATCTTTCTCCTTTCTTGTCTCGTTCGTGCGAAACATCACAGACACACACATCACTTCAGAGCTGCTCTGGATTTTGAAGACCTGTCGGGACATTTCCTCAAACAGCACAAGAAGAAGAGGATACAAAATTATATCATAAATCAGTTTTATGGAAATGACGTCTCAGTGAGTCCTGGTCCTCTCAGTCTGACTCTGCATTCGTTCCTTTGTTCCTTTAGCCTCGACAAAGACCACTTTTTCTTGTAAGTTATCTCATTAAAAAAGCTGAAATGAGTGTGCAATTACGTGTCTATGTGACCTAAAGTTGATATGAGACCATTCAAGCTGGCTGTGATAAAAGCCTCGGAGCAGAAAACACGATTAGCGGTTTAATAATCCATCCACTAAGCTCCACTGATAGGAGCATAAATCTAATCCTACACTTATTTTCTGGTCTTTGCTGAACATTTTCTCTAAATCCGACTGAACGAACTGTCTCAGAGAAATATGGAGGGAAATAATTTACAGCTTAATTCATATCAGTGATATCAGCATTATTCCGGCGGTGTTGATTTATACGAGGCACGGCTCATATCTCACTGTTCTCCACTGAAGCCTGATGCTAATTTATAACCGGGCGTATGACAATAGTCTGATTTAGGAGGAAATGAGAGGCACACAATCTAAAGGAAGAAAAGGGTGATCGATAAATGTGTCTTAGAGGAGTGAGGTCACTGAGGATTACTGTCGCCTGAAAAAAATCTACTCTTCCTTTAACCTCCATGGAGGTCTGGACTCAAGTCGGTGTATGATGGTCCAGTTCTTAGACAGGCAGAGTGTTGTCTGACCAGGAAGTGAGCTCTTAGCTTTGGGCCAACAGTACAGCGTCTCCTCACATAAACTGAACCGCTTTAAATTATCTCCTCTCTGTTCAAAAATGTTTTTGAGGCTGAACTTTGGTTCATCTTTTGTTGTTCTCTTATTTACGCTGCTCCTTTGTGTTATATGACTAATGTTCAGTATTTGTTGTGTGTGGTCTCTAAGAATGTGTTTCCCTGTTCGTATCAGACGACCTGTCGTCTTTCAATCACATAATCTTGATTTGTTAAATTTGTTCGCCTAATAGTGGCTGCAGTTTAGCAGATTCAGGCAAAAGTAGGTGATGAATATCATAAAAGGCGCAATCGAAATGACGTGATGCGATGTGAAGAGAAGGAGTAACACGCAATGGAACATAACACCACGTAACATAACGCCACGTAATGTAATGTCACGTAACGTTACATCATGTAATGTTACGTCATGTAACATATTGTCACCTAATGTAATGCCACGTACTAAAACTTAGTGCAACATAATTTGACTTAACATAAATTAACGTAAAATGATGTAAGGTAAAATAACATAACATTATGTAACGTAACTTAACCTGATGGAAAACCAACATAATGTAACGTAAAACAATGTAACCAAACATATCATAGAATTATAGATGTAATGTAATTTAATGTAACATTACGTTACATAACATGACATACCAAAACTTAGCACAACATAAACTGATTTAATATAAATTTATGTAATGTAAACTGACGTAACATAAAATGACATAAGGTAACCTGTAACGTAACTTAACGTAAAACAATGTAACCTAACGTAACACGGTGTAATACACATAAGGTAAGGTATCATAATTTAACATAATGTATTATAACATAACATGATACAACATAACGCAAAGTATCGTATGGCCCCATAACACAGCATCAGGTAACAGAAGGTAAAAATATGGTAAAATAATGTTACGTAATGTCAAGTAATGTTATGTATAGTAATGCTCTATCGCACTATATTCTATAGTTTCATACTAAACTGTATGAAATCACATAAAAACATATATCATATTGTATGATATATATTACTTTGTTTGAATCAAGTCCTTATAAATTGTCTTTTACAGTATTAATATGTGTCATCAGGTCTGTTTGTTTCAAATTGTGTTGAATTGTATAAACTGTATTGTAACGTGTGATACTGAACTCCTCGGTATCCCATTGAAATGTACCGTATTAGACTGTATCGTTTCACAGTGTTCAGATTCTATCATTTCATACAGTAAATCCTGAAGTTACACATGACCAACAAACTCCTGTCTGTTTTTTCTGGACTGAATCTACAGGCTGAAGTATGGAGTCTGTGAAGGCCGCTGACCTGCAGGTTTTCAAAAACAAATGAGACAGAATCTTTTCAGAAAATAAACCAAAACTGTTTTTCATCCTCTTTTACTGTTTACCTCCAACCTTGCTCGAGATTAACAACTCATCATGCCATCCTACTTCTTTTATTCACAGTGAATGTAGAATTACCACGCAGCTCTACGCTGAAAGAAACTCAGACCTTGGCGGAGTAAATGAGCCTGTTTGCGTACGTTCAGTGTAATCCACTCTGGTCATTCAGCTGAACGTAAACAACATCTGTTTTATTCAACAGAGTTCATTTAGACACAGAAAAATTAGCCGATGTAACAGCGTGAGCATAAATAACTCAGATCTAACACAGATCCGTGCTGGTCCGTCTACGCTTTTAATCGCCGCCATGGAGATATAAGCGTGGAAGGCATGGTTGACGATTGGAGAGATTGGTCATTATTATGAACCTCGTTTCTATGGCGATCATGGTCCTATAGTGTGATCTCCACAAAGTGAAGAGAAACAAGAATGGAAAAAAATCCGTTCACCCTATCAGCTGCAGGGCTGCAAAAACATTGACCAATGAGAGCCATCCGTCCCGGACAGCTCCTATTGGTTAATCTCCTGCTCCGCCTCTCCATCCAATCACCTCTCTGTATTCGACACACCCCTCTCCCGTAGTTCCGACTCGTCACCTCCAAATTTCCCAGAGGCAATTTTTTTTTTTTTTGTAGGATGATAGGGTAAGGTCCTGCCCTCCTTCGCCTCTGATTGGCTCTGATTCACCAAGTACAGCGACCTTGAATGTCCCCTCAGTAAAAATGTGCACGTTTCATCGGCTCCAAGTTAACACCTGCAGCGTCGAATCTGGAGCATCATGAGGAGCATGGCGGCTGTCAAGTTTAGATAACACTCTGAATAATTGAAGAAATGAATACACTTTCCAAAAAGCGGCAGAACCTCCCGACCTCAGTTTGACCTTGAATGCAGGCACACTCAGTCAGGAGAGACAGTTTCTCTGACTGAAGCAAGAGTCTGCGCTGAAGTGACGAGTGTGTGGCAGTTTTTCCCCAGCTCACTTTGTTAGAAGAAGATCCACGAAGACGAGTGGAGCATCAAGACAACCCTGACTCCATCTCTGACCATCTAAATAATCGTGAATGCCTCACACAGGGCACCAAAATACCATATAGCGATTTGAATTTATAATAAATGTCTTAAATTAAGATTAAATTAAGCGTTATGACACAAAACAACCGTGAGGAAAGAGCCACTAACAGACAGATTAGCTCATTTCCAGGACGAGTTTCTCTTTGTTCAGAATCTGTTAGAAAACCCTGAAAAGGAGCAGAGAGAGGAACAGGCTGCTCGGCGTTTGAGCCGAGGAAACACATTTGCAGGAACAGAGAGAGAGGTGGGGAGAAAAATGAGCATCGCTGATGGAGAGAGGTGCTCTAATGGCTCCATATGATACTACCCTGCATCACAGAGGTCGGGGGTGTGTTCCCCCTGCGGCGGCCTCGTCTTCATCAACAGCTATGATGAGGATGCCGAGGTCTTCACCCGCTCACGGTCGGCTGTTATGTCCACAGGAGTTGAAAGGAGACTGTACCTGCCTCTTGATTGCTCTCTGCTGTTAGCCGAGCTTTAGCCCGCTGCATGCTGGATTTACGGAGTCACATTCATTATTTACTGCCTGCTGAGGGCGGCTGTTTGCTCGCCGCACTCGTGTGTGACAGCAAAGTGTTGCATGACTCGAAGTGTGTGAGTTGCAGAAGCAGTGGCAGAATGGCAGGTGAGGCTCTAATGAACATCTCATCCAAGGGTACAGTCTCCTCTCTCTGTACTATCCTCAGATCTCAGTTTCGTGACTTCCCTTCTCGATCTAATGAGGGCAGCGCCGCGCTTTCTGCATGCATGACAGCGCGTGTGTTTAAAGCAGAGGGGAGAGAAGCTGTTCAGACATCTGTGCAGAGGTCTTCGTCGCTCTCTGGTTCTCTTAACTAAGGGTAATCACGTCTGTTTCGGCACGTCTTTGTGTGGCAGTGTGTCAAACTGTTGGGTAAAGTGAACTGTGATCGAACAGCTGCTGCCTAATTGTTGGAGCGTCAAACCGTCAAACCGCTGCCAGAGCTGCTGCTGCTCTCTCTCCATTAGTGTCCCTGAATAGGAAACTGCTCCCAGGTACATGCTCGGCATTAATTTTGTTGAATTTTGACAATAAATGTTTTATTTTTTTTCATGACAAAGATGAAACACTCTGATAAAAATATGTTCTGCTTTATAGGACTGTGTTAATTCAGGTACGCAATATTATCTTAGAAATCTGCAACAAGTGCATGGTCGGTGCGAATCCCCTCTGCCTTCATGCTTTGCAGATTTTGCTGATATTAGAAACAATCAACTCCAAACAATGGAGGACAAAGCTGCAGCTGAGGGTGCAGAGAACTGAGTGTCTGTCCAAGGACGTTTAGTGGACCTTCAAGGGATATTCCGGCGTAAACTTAATTTAGGGTCAAACACACCGTAACACTGAGTTAGACCCCCCCTCCAGAGATGAATGTTGCCGACCGCTTTCTTCTCTAGTTATACCAACTTTAGTAACGACCGCAGGATAGCAATACAGAGAGCCACGCCCCCAACCAAAACGCCACTCTATAGCCACAAATAATGCTCAGAACAGCACCTAACTTCATCAACAGGACATATAGGGTCACAGACATAGTACTAGACACCAAACATCTTTGTAACTTTGACTCATTTCTTTAACAAAGAGACTAAACACAACTCACCTACTCTCTTCCAGCAGACGCTTGTTTGTAGCAAGACCTCAGGCCAGTCCATTAGGGACTACAGCGGGGTGCCGCAGCTCAAGGAAGAACATTTATGATCATTTCTTTATCATTTCCTTGAAGTAATAATCACCATATTGATCATTTTACAGACGCGGTAGTTCTTCTGTCTTAGCGTCTCGGTCTGATTGTATTTCCATGAAGAAATGATCATAAATGTTCTTCCTTGAGCTGCGTCACCCCGCTGTAGTCCGTAATGTACTGTCCTGAGGTCTCTCTACAAACAAGCGTCTGCTGGAAGAGAGTAGGTGAGTTGTGTTTAGTCTCTTTGTTAAAGAAATGAGTCAAAGTTAAAAAGATGTTTGGTGTCTAGTACTATGTCTGTGACCCTATATGTCCTGTTGATGAAGTTAGGTGCTGTTCTGAGCATTATTCGTGGCTATAGAGTGGCGTTTTGGTTGAGTGCTTTCCATGGTCGTTACTAAAGTTGGTATAACTAGAGAAGCAAGCGGTCGGCAACATTCATCTTTCGACAGGGCGTCTAACTCAGTGTTACTGTGTGTTTGACCCTAACTTAATTTTACGCTGGAATATCCCTTTAACTTGCTGTTCGTGTCAATCAAAAGTGACAATCCCCGCCTTACTTTACAACTTCATAACTGAACATTACGGACATTGTGCTCCAATCAAAAGCTTCAATATTTCATGCATTTTGTAGCTGTTTCCCTATGATTAATCAATAAGCTGATTTTCTTCCTCATGTGCATTAGAAGAAGATGTTTCGCTGCAGAGGAGATAAAAACGGCTCACATGTTGAATATTTCAGAGAGTCTGTGTTGCGTTGAATCTAACCTGCGTTTTTCCTCCACATTCCCTGTCAGCCATCATCACACCTATCATCGCACTATTGTTCTGAGGGCACGGGTGTAATCATGTGTGAAATTAGTTTGGATAGGGTTTGATGGTGCTCCATGTCTCAGTGGATAAATTCAAAGGCCATCTAATTGGATATGGGAGCAGTAGAGGGAGAAAGCAATGACCTGTGGCCTGTTTATCTGCTGCTAATCAGGATCATCTGGGAGGAGGAGGAGATCATCTGAAATATACGAGGGTTTGTGCCCAGTCACGTCTTTGATATATTCTGAGTGTTAAAAGGAACTGCATGTCCTGCTAAGACGGCTTACATGGAGCTGTTGCAGTCCATACAGGTCTCTCTCTGCTCACTGATTGGTTAATAACTCGCAGGAGGAGTTTCATGCAGCGTCCTCTTTAGTGGAGATCAGAGTTTTCCTGTAAGGGCTGGAAACCCTCTCTTCGCCGTCCTGAGGGGATTCGCTTTTCTCCTTTTATCACCTCTCCGTCCTTTCACATCTTTATCTTCCCAGTTCTGTCCTCAGAGGTTTCCTCTTCCCTGCTTCCTGTCTCCTCAAATTTCATCTCTTTTTCTGCCTCTACCTCTCGCTCCTGTACCTCTCCTCTTATTTAACCTTCTCCCTTTCTGCAGTAAACATCACAACAACTATCAAAGTCGTGTTTCGTCAACAAACCCGCGCTTTGACTTCTCTCTCCTATTTGTTAAACCTTATTTGGTGGTGTCTCGCAAGGTTCAGTTCTAGGTCCTGTTTTTTTCCTATTCATATGCTGCAAATTTGGCCAAATAACAAAATCTCTTTTTCTCGCCAGGCAGACGTACGGAAGTAAATCTGTGCCATCTGATTTTGAATTTGAATTTCTAAAGCTGATTTTATTTTTTTTTCTAATCAAAATCAGACTGTGAATTTCAAAACCAACGAATTTCAAGCACACATTTTTATTTCTCACACTTATTTTTTTCACAATGATGAAATAAATTCTGTGTTAAAAAAAAAGGTCTCTCAAATATTTGTTTTGTAAAAATTCAACTAAAAAAAACTGTAAAAAAAACAGACCGACAACCACATCCATGACGATCAACCATGAAGTATTTGACACTGACATTTTTTTGTTTAATTTTTTTTTACATTTTTTTAGTTGAATTTTTACGAAACAAATCTTTTGAGAGACCTTGTTTTTTTTTTTTTACACAGAATTTATTTCATCATTGTGAAAAAAAAGTCAGAAATAAAAATGCAAATTCAAAGTCTGATTTTGATGCAAAAAATTTCAGCTTAAGAAATTTTAATTCAAAATCAGATGACACAGATTTACTTCCATACCGACGACACACAGATACACCTTCCTCTCAGACCTGAGGACTAGAAGCGTAGCTGCTTTTCGATACTGTTTAGTAGCTCAAAATTTGCTTCAATTAATCTGACCATATTCTGAATCCCACCAAAAAGGACACAACTACCTGGGGGGCGGAGTCGCAAAGTGACAGGTAGTTAATTTTGAGTTTTTCAGGTCGGATCGAGTGTCTTTTAAGTGCTTCTAAATCAATTTGTCCACGTGACACAAACTCGAAACTTCCATACAAAACCCCGGACATATGAAGGATTTTATAAACTCCCGGACAGACCGGACAGCCCCCCAAAAAAGAGGACATGTTTGGGTAAAAGAGGACGTATGGTCACCAGACTTCAATTCAGTCTTTTTGGTCATAATCTGCCCTTTAACCTCTACTTAAGCTGTTTTCACCCTTCGTTTTAAAGGTGTAACATAAATAAACCAGTTATTGATCTTCACCTCTGATCTTATTCTTTCTCATCCTACCTTTTCCTCTTCTCTGACGTACTTTTTAAAAATTCACTCTCTTCATTAATTTCTCTTTCCACCTTAATAGGAAAATCTAAATTGTTTCGTTTTATTACATTTCATATCGTTACGATTCGATTGTCTTGCGAACCCAGACTGATAATATAATTTTTTCATTACATCTGCGTAAAATCAAATCATGCCTCCGTCTTCTTTTCCTTCATTATAAAGCCCTCGGATAAAATACAGACGTCTCTGTTTTCCACAAACACTTCACGCCAACGAGTGTCCAATTAGAGGGCTTGACCACGACGCTCACGAGCTCACTCATCCTCTCGAAGCAATCCATCCCTCCCCGCCTCTCTCTCCTCCTCACGTATCTCCTCCTCAGCTCTATCTGTCCTTCCACATCAACAATTTAATCACCCAGGGCGCCGGCGTGGCTTAGCGGTTTAGAGCGCGCCCCGGAAGGTCGCAGGTTTGAATTCTGACCACGACCCTTTGCTGCATCGCTCCCTCCTTCTACTTCCTGTCATTTCCTCTCTCTCTCTCTCCATCTGTCTTATCCAATAAAGACAAAAACACCCAAAAATGACAGACTACCCACACGCTGCGTGGTTCTCCTTTGTCCGCTCCACTATAATGACATTTCCATATGAATGGCGGTGTTTGTTTTGCTTCACTGTGCTGCTCCTCGTGTTACTCAAAGGTGAGTCAACCACTTCAAGCTATTGAATTTGCTTTAATAAACATCCAGATTTTTTCCCCCTCTGTGGCTGCCACCTGAGACCGCAGCTTGTTATCCAATCGGCAACCTGGGATCAACTCCAGGTGCATCCTGGGAGCTAAAGACAGCCCTCTGTGTTTGGTCAGTTGTTCGCTCAGGTTGATAAGAGTCTTTAAAAAGACGTGAGACGACAAAAGAAGGAAAATTAAATCGAGGTATGCAGATGATGGAGCGCAGTTATGATCAGATAACTCAGCCTTCACATCATTATTATTGCCTTTGTCTTAAAGACTCACTTCTGATCATATCTGTGGTTAATATTCAGATATATCCAGGTCTATGCAAAGCAGAAACTACCTTTACTATATCCTTCAAGGCCAGCGTGGATCAGGACCACGATAATAGACTCTGCAGAGCATTGAGGCCTGAATCACAAACAGCTTGATTAACTCTGAAAACCTTTCCCTCAAAGAGCCTCGATGCAAAAGAACAAACAAGGTCGAGTTAAACTTCTCAAAGCCTCAAAGCCACACGAAGACTTTAACAATCTTAGAGAGGGTAAAACAGCGTGAAGAGAAGTCCAACTCAACTCAAAGAAGAGAAACCGACATGGACAGGAGAAGGAGAGCACCAAGACACGAAACACGGGAGACGCAGGTGAAGCTGATCAAGACCAGGAGGTCAAACCAAGATCAGGGTCACCAAAGTCTAAATTTAAGTCCTGGTCGACGATCTGAGAAGCAGTTTAGGCAGATTTGAAAAAAGCGTCCCACCCAGATCCTACGCTAGCTTCAAATAGGATTCACCATGTCGGATTGTTAGTGACTAGCGGCAGTAAACGCCAGCTCTGCTAGCGAGCGCCGTCTGCAGCTGCCTGGACAGCTACCGTGTTGACATGTCAGAGACTAATCAGAGTTATTTATGTAACATGAGCCACGATAAAAGGAGATAAAAGTGAACTGAGGGCGGAGCTTTCCCCACCGCTCCAAGGATGACCTGATGTTTATTCAAGTTAGATTCCTCGCTTGGTCACATTTCCGCCGGGAGAGTGGGAGGGGACGAGACAAGATCTATGGGAAAGGGTTGCATCGAATACAGCAAGGTGATTGGATGGAGAGGCAGAGCAGGAGATTGACCAATAGGAGCTGTCTGGGACGGATGGCTCCCACTGGTTAATGTTTTTGCAGCTCTGTACCTGATAGGGTGAACGGATTTTTTTGTTCTTTTTTCTCCACTTTGTGGAGATCTCACTATAGGACCATGATCGCCATAGAAACGAGGTTCAAATCAATTACCAATCTCTCCAATTGTCAACCATGCCTTTAAGAAATAATAACACTCAGAAAACAGTAAAAGTCGACCTGACACACCGGGAACAGGACGAGAACATGTAGCAGGAGACAACGATAAAAGTCACTGAAGACAGACGGGAAAATCAAGTCAAGACAAATCCAGAAAAATCAAACTTGACTTATTGGCGAGAAGGGCAGCCCGCTCCAAATGTTTACACACACTTTAAAAAAAATGTGTTTGTAGCAGCAGTTTGACTGAAAATGAAGCCGGGCAGTAAAGAAACCTCGACAGACGAAGAAAGGACGCAAAAAGGACAAACTTCACAGAGCTGTATAAAAAAAAAAAGTCATTTTTGCGTCTTGCTAACGCGTCACGCCAGGTGTTTTGATGCGTACTACGTCGATCAAAAACCCCAAACCAGAACGAACTGGGCTGCGAAACCTTTCCGGGGTTTTGGGTTTGATTATCATAATTTTAATGTTTAATAAGTTTGACACTAAGCGCTCAACTGTTTCTCCGTCTACCATCCTTTCACCGTCTACTGTGTCTGTTTCTTTTCTCTCTCCTCAGAGTTTTCCTTTTTGTCCTTCAAGACGAAACCAAAGACAGACGTCAGGTTCTTCGATTTGTTTGTCCGCCTGTTAATGACATGCAGACACACAAACACCTCTGATGGGCTTTTAATGAATTCCAATATTTTCGGAGCGTCCTCAGAAAACGTCGGCAGAGGCCGTCGTGTTGTTGTAACTGAGAGCTGCGGTTACAAACACGGTTTATTCAATAATAGAGAGATTATCGACGCCTCGTTTATGTGTCGGGGAGTTATTGTTCGTTAAAGCCGTCCAAATGTCGGATTACCATCACAAAAGGGGCCGTTCAATAGGACATCCATCTATAGAGGAGTCTGAGAGTGTTTTCATTTTAGGTTAGAGAGGTAAGAGAAACATTCATTGACTGTTTGAAGGACGGATGTAATTAGTGCTCACGTCTCTCAGCCGGGTTATCATTAAACCACACATGCGCCTCATTAAACACAGAAATTATCCGTTAAACAAAAAGGAGTCTTCATCAAGCCTTCAGGAAACAGTCAGCAAGTGGTTCTGGGACTTTAACGTCGACACACGACAGCTGGAAACAGGAAGTTGAAAGTACAAAACACTTTTTTGTTACTGTAGACCCACAACGCCGGTCATATGATGTGTCTAACATTTAGTGCAGCAACCTGCTGTGAGTCGGGGAGGATACTCGACGACCCGGAGACAAACCGATGTCTGGTTCAAGTGTCAGATCACAGTGCAACAGGACAGGTTTGTGGATTTTTAGTTGAGAACCAAAGTCTGGTGGTGCGAGCTCTGCTAACTTAGACTTCTGCTAACAAAACTCGCCTGCAGACTAACCCGGGATTTCCACAGCATCTGGAACAGCTCCAATCCATTTCGCCGTACGCCAACTCCTACTGGATCCTTTGGTGAGGCGATTTTGTGGCAGATTAGACAGCAGGAATCGCGAGAACTCACAAGAACCCGCAGATTCACGTTCAATCACGCGATATCAAGTTGTCTCTTAGCCACAGAGGCTAACCATATAAGCAGTAGATTGTGTCCTTCCAGAGGAGGAAATCTACTTCTAGACTTCTAGAATCAGCATCTCCTCATCCATGGTGTCATCGGGGTGAAATGACGTCTAAAATTCTAGATCAGATGATCGTGTGATTTTATACATCCATATTTTTAGGGGGAATAAATTACACGTAATAATTGTGTGAAAGTAAAATCCTCAGGCGATGAATTTACCATCAAACTATATGATTATGAACATTATAAACATGATAATTTTCTGACTTTAATTGTTTGAAATTTTGATTGTAAATATAAAAAAACAAACTTTCAGGAGGACTATTTTGTGTCCTCCACCGATGTCAAAACCTCCTCCCTTGATGAAAGTTGCGTTCACTCTCTAAGTATTTTACATCTATCAGACTCTGACCACCACATAGGCGAACATGAACCCCCCCCCCCTCTGATAATGAGACGCCTCCGCTGGTGGGTGGAGTCTCCTTTACTCCGTCCATCTCTGCCTACTTGATGGATAATTATGACTCGCCATCTGCTTGCAGATGTGCGGACGCCGTTTTGTCAAGAGACAAAAGCGACAGGAGCAGATGAATAAATGATGGCGCACACACTTCTCCGCTTTAACCGGGCATTAAAGGGAACAAAAACAGGCTTTGATTTCTTCGCCGGATGAATAAATTCAGCGACGGCAGCCTCGCAGGTCAGGATTCTTGCTGAATGGAGTGTTTCGACGCTAAATTGAAAAAACCTCCTTTTCTGTTTCTATGAGACTGAATTATATAACAGCTGACAGAAGGTCGTGATTATTTGTTGTATTTTTAGGATCAGCGTCAGAAGGTCATGCGGGTTCGTCTCGCTGACGTCCTTCCTTTGACGCTGCGATTGTTTAAGGGTTAAACTCACATCGGCTCTGCTTGTTAAACGGCGTAAATCACCTGCTCATTTTCCAGATTCAATTCCCTCCAATTTCCATCAAACCCTGATTTACTGCTCACTGTGATGCAAATGAAGCACTCAGCGGAAAAAGGGAAAAAAAGGAGGGTAGTTGGCCTTTGTAATAAAAATCAGGGCTAAGTCCAGGAGCCTGCTGGTTACAGACGCAGTCAGGGGTGGAAGCGTTGGCCTGTTCGGGGCGGGCGCGGCAGAAATTAGCGGTGATGATGGTAAATGGTCGAGCTCTGCTGCACCATCTGAGGCTCTCATTAAGGGAAATGGCTCACGGAGGCCCAGAGCAGGGATGATAGCACACACCGTTAACCCCGCCAAGACCGTCCCCCTGTGTGTGTGTGTGTGTGTGTGTGTGTGTGTGAGTGTGTGCGCGTCTCTGCCGAACCACATGTTGCTCAGTCGTACACAGCGAAAAAATGCTGACGTCTTTTACCGTCATGCATCAGGATCCGTTTGGAAACAGACGCGGTTTTATCCCGAGACGGATCATTTAAAACAAGAGAGAGACATGAGGGTGAAGGCTGTGGTCCTGACCTATGACCTTTTTATCCTTCTATATTCACCACCCCACTCTTATTTCAAAATACCCAAAGCAAATCAATGTTGGTGCATGAATGAAGCCAAAACCATGATCTATCCTGAACCTCCAAACAGACTTTGGCGAGCTTGAGCTCAAAACCAGGTTTAAGATTAAACCTGTGATCGATCACGGCCAATTACCAGGGCTGATATTCAATATTTGATTAATTATCTGTATCAGGGTTTTCCCTAGTTTTCCTTCCTTCGTTAATCACCTATGAGTTTCACCTGCGTCTCGTCTATTGGTGCTACTGAATGTTTGCAGGACTTCTACAACGAGGATAAAGTGAAATAGTCCAGGACCCGAGGGAGGACAGTTTAGCGATGGCGCTACAACACGCTACAGCAGGTCCGTTTGACAAGAAACACTTCTGTTACAGACACTTGTCTTACTTTGTTAAAGCGGTTTACCTGTCCAGCAGAAAGGTTACAGGGTCACCAAGATCCCCAAGCGTCCCCCATGGTTTATGTTGACCCGGCTTTTTAGCTCTTGTCCGGTCTACCTCCGTTTTAAGCGCCCGTTATTCCTCCAGAGTCTCCGGTATTTACTTTGTTTTCTTGCTTGTGTCGGCAGTCGTGGCCAAAGGAGGATTCAGACAATTTTCCGAACTTTCTGGTTGGTTTCTACTGTCCGATATTGTAGCACGCTAACTTTGTTTGGGCTCCTGAACGACATGGGGGAGCAGCGTTTTCTTGTTGACTGTTTTCTTGTTGACTGTTTTTTTGCTGACTGTTTTCTTGTTGACTGTTTATGGTTGACTGTTATCTTGTTGACTGTTTTCTTTTTGACTGTTTTCTTGCTGACTGTTTCTTGTTGACTGTTTTCTTGTTGACTGTTATCTTGTTGACTGTTTTCTTTTTGACTGTTTTCTTGTTGACTGTTTTTTGTTGACTGTTTTGGTGTTGACTGTTTATGGTTGACTGTTATCTTGTTGACTGTTTTCTTTTTGACTGTTTTCTTGCTGACTGTTTCTTGTTGACTGTTTTGGTGTTGACTGTTTTTGTTGACTGTTATCTTGTTGACTGTTTTCTTGTTGACTGTTTTCTTGCTGACTGTTTTTTGTTGACTGTTTTGGTGTTGACTGTTTATGGTTGACTGTTATCTTGTTGACTGTTTTCTTGTTGACTGTTTTCTTGCTGACTGTTTTTTGTTGACTGTTTTGGTGTTGACTGTTTATGGTTGACTGTTATCTTGTTGACTGTTTTCTTGTTGACTGTTTTCTTGCTGACTGTTTTTTGTTGACTGTTTTGGTGTTGACTGTTTATGGTTGACTGTTATCTTGTTGACTGTTATCTTGTTGACTGTTTTCTTGCTGACTGTTTTCTTGTTGACTGATTATGGTTGACGTTTTCTTGCTGACTGTTTTTTGCTGACTGTTTTCTTGTTGACTGTTTATGGTTGACTGTTTTCTTGCTGACTGTTTTTTGTTGACTGTTTTCTTGCTGACTGTTTATGTTTGAGTGTTTTCTTGCTTGTGTCGGCAGTCGTGGCCAAAGGAGGATTCAGACAATTTTCCGAACTTTCTGGTTGGTTTCTACTGTCCGATATTGTAGCACGCTAACTTTGTTTGGGCTCCTGAACGACACGGGGGAGCAGCGTCTGCCTCACAACCAATCAGGTTAGAGGAGGTGGAGAACGGCTTTGTGAAGAGAACACAGAGATATTGATATATTACCAGATGTCATCAATAACTAATAACTATTGACTGATATTAAAAGCTCTTTTGTATATAAACCACAAAAACAGATGTTTCTTCTTTAACTGATTCCTGCCTACCCCACCTTAAGTCCCCGTCTTCTCCTCTGTCTTTGTTGGTTCGTTGTGTTTGTGTTTGTCGATGTCAGTGTTTTCTTGCCTTTATAAATCCTTAGTCCTGCATTTTTGGGTCCTTTTCCTTTTGTTTTGTGAATCATAGATGACGGGTTATTGTCATTTTTACGTCTAACATGAGCTCTGGTCTCGTTTATGAGTTGAAGAGGCTTCTTGAAAGTTGACCAAGTAGAGGAATCTTAAGACTAATTCACAAACTAAATTAAAAAAAACCCTAAAAATGGATCCCATAGATTTAGATTTTTATGTTTGGTTTGATTCAGCGCACAGAGCGTCACATTTGTTCTAAAACAAACTAAAAATACTGAAAGAGGAAAAAGCAGGTTTTCAATCCGACTACCTACCATCGTAGTGAAAAGAAATTAATAATAACTTCTGTACTTGAAATCCACTTGAGCCCAGATTGCGATAATGAGCTCAATGTGATGATATTAAAGTGCTAAACCAGCCAGAGACGAACATATGGTGAGAACGGAGCGACACAGGGAGAGTCGGGAACAGACTCAGCGGAGGTTTGGCCAATTTGGCTTTAATACTTTCTTTTAGTCGGGATGTGAGACAGATAAAAGCCCGGGGTTAAAGGAGCGGGCGTTAAGAGATATTATTATGAGCATAAATGATGTAATGACTCAAGAGGAGCTGGTTTAAGACCATCACTCCAGTCTGAATTCAATCAAAGTGCCTGAATGTGGTCTGGACGTCCACGAGTTCACTCTAACAGGAGAAAGAGGAGGATACAGACCTGAGGGTACTCCTCATCACACCTGGATCCTCATTAGTATCAGAGTGACAGTTTGAGTCTCATCACCTTTGGGTTTCAACGAGTCGGTAATGACCTTCAGACTCACACGGGTCCACACAGACTCTGTAACACGGACTGAGATCAGACAAAAGCTCAATGATGGTACAGGACGACTCTTTCAAAGCGGACTGAGTGTTTTAGGTTTTTTTTTATGCTTTTGGTGTCAGAGTCATCTCGATTAAAACGTTCAATCATCAAAAGATGAAAACGGCATCATTATCCGGTCAAACGTGACTACGATGCCAAACTCTTTCCGCGTCGCTAGTTGGCATCGTTTATGGTCGGAACTACGACGGTATCTGATCGTCTTCGAACCTCCGACTTTCGTTCTTGATTAATAAAAACATTCTCTGAAAATGCTTTCGCTTTCGTCCGTGAGATTTCCCTGAGGCTGCAGACATTTCTGCATCTCAAAGAGCATCGCTTAGGTTCGCCGAGCTCCTGATAAAACCTGGAAGGGAAATACATCCTGACCGTCCCTGAGTGTGGCAGATTTCAGACCCTGATTTCAAGAAGAAAAAAAGGTGAGACCACTTCGAGAGCCGTCCTTCTATCAAAGAAACGCAGATCAGAGATAAGACCTAAAAGGGGTTCAAAGGGATATTCGTCTTTTTCGCCGTTTTCTTCCGCTTTACGGGTCTTGGTCGCGGGGGCAGCAGCTTCAGGAGGGAAGCCCAGACGGCCCTCACCCCAGCCACTTCCACCAGCTCCTCCTTTGGGGGGATTCCCAGGCGCTCCCAGGCCAGGCGAGAGATATAATCCCTCCACCTGGTCCTGGGCCGGCCTGGAACACCTCTAACATTCATCTCTGGAGGAGGTGTCTATAACTCAGTGTGTTTGACCCTAAATTAATTTTATCCCTTTAACTTTCTTGCAGATTCATCTAAAAATGATAGAAAACATCCTCCCACTCCTCTAACCATCAGAACTCTCGGGGTTTCAGCAGCTCTCACCTCAGCGTCGAACGCCGTTTCTCACCACGCAGCCTCGGCGTTGTGACAGCTGTCCTGAACATCTTGTGCTGAGTAAAGAAGATGTTGTCCTTCTGGGTTTTCTGACGCACTCTGCCTGTTCTGAGGAGCGACTTTAAAAGCCATAAAGCTGTTATTATGTCGTTAGAGGGACGTCTTTTTCCTACGCTCCGAGAGGACATGATATTATCAGGTGTCGTCTTTGTCAGCGCTGAGTGCTTCCTAGGCTAACACTGGGAGGGGACATCAGGTTATAAACAGACTGTGCTCTTTTACTTCAAGAGCCTTTTAAACCACTTTAACCTCCTCTTACTCTGATTTATGGAGACAATTTTATAACTTATGAAGCTTTATTCTGCTTTTTTACTCAGCCACTTACTAAAGCAATCAATATTTTTACCCTGAATCTTTATTTTGATGTTTTTTAATTGATTTAAAACTGATTATATTTCTTCTTTTTAAAATACCCTCATATTTAACTCAAGTCTTCGTGAAATAAACTAATTTAGCCGTTACTTCTCACTTTAAACTGAAAATTTTCACTTTTTGCGACTGTTAAATCAGTAGCAGAAAGTCAAAATTAAAAAAAAAAAGTAAAAATCGGCAGCGATTTATCGGTATCTCCGATGAAATGATTAAATAAGAGCATTTTAAACCACTTTAACGTCCCCTTACTCTGATTTATAAAGACATTTTTATAACTTATGAAGCTTTATTCTGCTTTTTTACTCAGCCACTTACTAAAGTAATCAATATTTTTACCCTGAATCTTAATTTTGATGTTTTTTAATTGATTTAAAACTGATTATATTTCTTCTTTTTAAAATACCCTCATATTTAACTCAGGTCTTCGTGAAATAAACTAATTTAGCCGTTACTTCTCACTTTAAACTGAAAATTTTCACTTTTTGCGACCTTTAAATCAATAGCAGAAAGTAAAAATTAAAAAGATTAAAAATCGGTACTAATTCATCGGTATCTCCGATGAAATTATTAAATAATCTAAAGAGAAATGTTGACTTAAATGAAGGCTCATAGTCGATAACTAGCCTATTCGAGGCTTTTTAATATCCACAGCTGGTCTGTTAGAGTGATAAGAGCTGTTTCCATAGCAACACCATGCTGTCCAAAAATAACAGACTGTTGCTATGGAGTATTGACCAATCAGAATCAAGTATTTAACATTGCTCTGATCTACAGAATGTGCAACAATTTGCAGCATGTACTGGCTTGTTTTTTAGATAAACTGTAAAATGAACGGAAAGCAAACGAACAACACACACACGCACACACACACACACACACACACACTCTGTTCTGTTCTCGGTGTGAGAGATTTATTCGCAGCGCACAGTCAATGGCCTCATCATTCATCCTGGTCATTAGGAAGGAGGAAGAGGCAGAGTCATTAGCCAGCAGTACACACACACACACACACACACATGCACACGACCACACATACACATATCCACACATGCACACACACATGCACACAACAGGTAGAGGCAGAGGCGCTCACACACACGCAGGAAACGGTGTCTCTAAGTGCTTCTGCGGCAGGAATGTGAGGTTTTTATGCAGAATAATAAGAACACATGCAGGTCAGTCCCACAGGGTTTGAACAGAGAGATGGCAGATGGGAACACACACACACTCACACTCACACTCACACACTCACACTCACACACTCATCATCAGTCCATCCGCACAGTATTCAGGTCACAGGGTCAAGGACTATCAGATAACAGCCATCTCTCTCAGCCTCTGCCGGTTCGCTCCGTCATGGATCCTCTCACAGACGCTTTAACTATTTCTGATTGTCTTTCTGCAATCATCCCAACCTCTCAGCAGGACATCTATCCGAGAAAAGCCCCGCGGTGCAGGTGCAGGTCAGGTAGAGGGTTTTATCAAAGCCAAGAGCTTATCAGGATCTTCTCTCAGAGTGGCAGTAGCGCCTCTAGACCTGACAGAAGTGGGTTTGACAGACCTCTTCACTGACACCGAGGAGTTTCATTTGTATTCAGTTGAACTCCACATGTGAGTTTTGACCTCAGCTGAAGCCGTAGATCATGTTTCTTTAAGGACAGCATGTCCTGGACTCAGACCCATGCTTGCCCACTTGAGCTGTAAGTATCCTGACACTCCGATCCCACCTCAGTGAAACTCTTCTCGTCACACTTTCAGTCATAACTCCATCGACGCCATTTAATAATGATATAAAAACGCCTGTGAGAATCAAACACTGAGCATCTTTACTGATGGATCTGAATTTCAGAATAAGTTTGCAGTAAAACTGTGAGTTCATGAGAGACGAAGAAGCAGCAGCAGGCCGCCTGTGAACCGTCTCGACTCTGCTCTTTTAAAAACCCAAACACTGTGTTTGAGTTTGTGTCTCTTCAGGTGACAAAATAAGTGAAATCTTAAACTTTTGAGGAGCTGGAAGTGGCTTATATTTCAAAATAAAAGCCTGGTTTATAAATGTAGGAAATTAAGCAACATAAACGTAAAGCAGAAACTATTTCAAAATAAAAGCCTGTGATATGGATGTATCCTAAATTTGAACATTAATTAGACGTGGATCATGATGTAATTTTACTGTGTTATTTAGTGTTAGTGTTCTCAAATTCACTTACATCAATCACTAATAACCATTGACTGATATTAAAAGATTTTTTGTAAATACACCAAAAAAAATAAAGATACTTCTCTAACAGAACCCTGCCGACCACGCCTTTAAATTGAAGTTTAATCCAACATGAGACCTTTAATCTCCTAATTCTGACTCTGTATCAGTCGTACACTGACTGTGTGTTACTTATACGCTTATTATAGATTAGAGTGTGTATCATATTTATCATATTTGAATTTTGATTAAATTCTCGATGGATCACATGGTCTCCATTTCTGACCGTCTTAGGTTATAATATCTCTGCTGAATGTTGAGTTCAGGTTCTTCACTGTCTGGTTCAGATGGATCAGAAGTCCATCATCATGACTCTCTGGGAGTGTAGATTACACACACACACACACACACACACACACACACACACACTGACTCAGATTAGTGAACTGTAAGGGATGAAAAATGAGACGATATCAGATATTGTGACACTAGATGCTCCCCCTCTCTCCCTCTCTCTCTCTCTTTCTCTCGTTGTTTATTGACCTCTCTATTTTTGCTTCTGTTCCCGTCATCTCCAATCTACTTTCACGAAGAAACTCCGAAGAGCGCCCCCGGGCTTTACACACACCTGCACACGAACTCTCTCCCCCCAGAAGTCAATGAAAAGACGAGAGAGTTATTTTTGACCTTTGTCGCGCTTTACGATGACGAGGACTCGCACAATATCTATAATTGGTTTGAATGAAGAGCTGACTAATTACAGGTCACAATCGACTCTGTGTGTGTGTGTGTTTTGTATGATATTTTTGTGTCTCCAAACACGCACACACACTCTCTCAGACCATCTGTGCGTAATTACCTATTTAGCCGGCTTCGTGTCTCCGAGCCAAATCCTCAATATTTGATGTTTCTGTCTTTGCAGGGAGACACTTTTGGCTCCTCGCGAGCCGCTGACGTCAGCGCGGAGACATCACAGAGTGTTATTGTGTTCGCTGTGACACTGCGGCCCAAAATAACCACGCAGTGGACACCAGCAGGGCTGACGGGAAAGCCACTGAAACCACATCTGAAAAACGAGGGGTTTCAAAAGTGACGTGGATATCAATAATGATTTCTATTCCTTATATGAAGTCAAAGTTTATCAATAATTATCTGTCAGTCCAGCTCAGAGTCCAGACACAACCTCATTACACCCCCTATTTAATATATCTGCTCTGGATGGATGTCACTGATACATCTGCAAATTAGCAAATTAGACTAAAGTGACAACTTTAATACAAATCCAATAAGACACACAAAAACTCGCTTTTAAACTTGTTTGGTAGTGGTAACCTTTCCTCATGATCAGGTGGATCCATCTTGAAAAGCTGGTTTACAGTCAGAGAATGATGAGACCAACCCCCAATTCACACCCCATCCGGAACGGCTCTGATCCGGAACGCCATCTGCAAATTCCTACCACATCTGTCTGTGAGGGGAATTTCGTGGCAGATTACAGACAGCAGGAATCGCGAGAACTCACGAGAACCTGCAGATTCACATTCAATCGCACGATAACGAGTTGTCTCTCTAAAGACAGACACATAGACATATAAGCAGTAGATTGTGTCCTTCCAGAGGAGGAAATCTACTTCTAGACTTCTAGAATCAGCATCTCCTCATCCATGGTGTCATCGGGGTGAAATGACGTCTAAAAACCTTTCACTTGTTCGTCTCCGGAGTGTTTTATTTTGAAAAGAAGCCGGATGTTTTATTTTGTGTCTGTGCCCGACTTCCTTTCCAGCACGGGTTAATCTGTGCTGAATTTATCCGCCATGCTCCGGCGTCCAGAAGAAATAGAACTCTAGTGATCAGCTGAGGAGTCCGGCGATCGGCAGAGGAACGGAAAGAAGTCGTTGTAAATTGACACGTTAACTTGAATGGTTACGATCAGCTACGATCGGAGGATACGACGTTTTAGTAGCAGTTCCAAATGCGATGGAAATTGGGGATAATCTGGTTCAGTTGTGGTTTCTTTAAGGGACCTTTTTGTGTCTCAAATTAGGGTGACATAAACAGACTACTCACTGCTTTGAAGAAGAATAAAACATTTTGTACTCTGGTGCTTTTTCACATGAATGCCTAAAAGACTTCGGAGTGTCGGTTCAGACCTGACAAACACAGTTTGAACATTAAAGAGAACATTAAAGAGATGTAGCTTACAGAAGCTGGACCTGATCTGATCTGGACCCAACTTCGGTTCAGACTTGGACAAAAAGCAACAACAAAAGCTACGCTAGTTTCACCGTCTAGTTTAGTTTTACCCTCCAGAGAAAAGCCTGTCTCTGAATGAAGCGGTTGTTTCAGTTCTAACTCTGCAAACCCAACTTTATCTAACTAGGCTAACTGCTAAAACGTGCACAAACTCCACCATAACTGTAAAATAATGTTCACACAAAGCTAAGTCTGAACTTGTGCAACCCAAGAGTTTTAAAGTCCAATGACTTCTTTCAAAGGCAGGTTGATCTCCAGTGACCTCCCTGAACACCTTATCTTTCTATCTTGTCAGGTTAGCTTCTAAAAATAGAGACAAAACCCATCGGCTTCCAATCAGCAACATAAAAAACCAAGAAGTTCCCCTCTAGTGTGTTTACTCACTCTGAGAAAAGTACTTTAGTTGGAGTTCCTTCAGTAATGAGGTAGATCAAACCTCAGTTTGTTTTCTCAAATAGACTGTTATCTTGTTTTTCTACATTCAAATGAGCCCATAATGACAGACTGAAAATAAAAGGCAAATATGACACTTTTTAATCTGTATTTTGTTAGAATTAAAGCTCTCAGAAACACTGACAAAAGCCCAACGTGTCATTTATTCAGACTCTTCACCACAAATCATCCATTCAGAGCGCTGTCACGCTAAGACACTGTGTGTGTCACTTTTCATTTCAAAAGAAGAAGACTCGTGTCAAAACACGCCTCCGGACTCAAACTAATATTTAACAGCTGACAGTTAAAATAAAACCAAACTGGGACGAGTTTGAAGAGCCGACTCCTGCAAACTTGGAGTTAGTTTTTAGTCGTCTTCGGGGGAAACAAGTGAAGCGGCATTAAGGGAGAAACGAGGATGGAGTTAGTTCAGGCAGGCCAAACTACATCAGCTGATCCTTTTACTCATCCAGTCGGAAAATGTCAACATGTCAACAACATCCATGAGAAAATCGGCATCCGGTCCAAGTTTTTGTGGACTCATTGGATAAAAGTCGGCCTATCCAAGTTAAATCCACAAAACAAACCGTACAGATCTAGAATCAGACTGAAATGACTCTTCTCACTACGATGAACGCATCAAATGAAGCAGAGCGTTAGTTCTGGAAGGTCACGACATCGAGCGCTGATTTACAGCCAATGGCAAGTGGCCGCCTCAACCAGCTGATGGCCCTGCTATTCCTCAGAGCTCCTATTGGTTTTTTCCTTGACAGCACCTTAAAACTGCTCTAACCCCGCCTCTTCCTCTGCTTCAACAGCCAGCCAGCAACATACCTCCACCCCAGCTCCACCCTTGTGCCGGCTAAACTGCTCCACTACCCTTGAAGCACTCATGTTCCGGAGGGGGGATTCTGCTCTGAAGGCGCTCTTCCTGCCGCTGCTCACTCACGCATGCTCGTGCGAAGAGCGGGGGTCCCAGAACACAACCTTGTGTGCGCTCCCTGCTATCGCCTTGATCATGAGGCTCATGAAGGGCAGGAAGGGGCTCCTCCTGCCTCTAACTTCCACACAAGCGCATGGAAGGGCAGGGACTGGAACAGAACCATGCTGCCAAATTTTATCTTTGCACAATAAAGCAGAATTTCGACAAAGTGATCCTGACTGAACTTTCACTTTTGAGGTCCCATTCTCAAGCCGCGTTCAGACCAAACGCGACCAGGTCGCGTCGCGTCGCGTCGGTCGGTCAGGTCGCGTCGCGTGGTGCTCTGGTGTGTCAACACCGGGTCCAAAGCTGCAGTCGCAGGTCGCGGCTGGTCGCCGGTGACCTCATCCATGTCACTAGCTCAGTTTTCAGTTCATCAGTGCTGCCGCATATCTGTACATCCGCAGTAGACGCCGCCGGCGTTTATGGGTGCATGAAACCATCCGGAGGAGGACGGAGCTGGGTGAATTTCACCGCTTGCTCCAGGAACTCCGCCTGGACGACGGCCGCTTCCAGCGGTACTTCCGTGTGTCGACGGCGCAGTTCGAGGACCTCCTCGCCCGGGTGGGAAGCAGCTGGCCATAGACTTTGCATTGGGAGCCGTCGCCAAGTCGCGTCAGGTCGCGTTTGGTCTGAACGCGTCCCATTCTCAGAGAGTACACTGACCTTCTCTGTTGAGTTACTAAAGAAAACCCAGGATGTTGCAGAACGTCAGAGTCTGTCGTCTCGTCGTCGATCTCACGAAGCGAGTGGATTTTACAGAAACTCCTTCCATTGTATCATAAGTGGTTGTTGACCTTTGCTGACCTTTTGAAGTCAAATCACCTGAGAGTTCTGCAACAGATGTTTGTGACCACTCCCTCCATGGAGCTTCATGAACACCACGACGACACTTTCGACCCTGATGCGCGTCAGAAACATCATGAAGAAGATTTAACCAAGTCAAGAAAGTCGATATCGCACAACAAGGCGTACAAGCAAAGGTTTGTGTTGGAGTTTTTAACATCCCAAACTCTGAATTATCTATAATCCTTCTCAAGAACCTAATAATCGGTATTTGTATCGGCCCTGAAAACCACTATAAGTCAACCTCTAAAACACAAACTGAGTTAATTCATCTAAAGCGAATAAAGACCGATATTAAAAAACTCACACTGCTGACATTTTCTCCTCGTCTGTGTGAAAACATTTGCCCATAACTCAGGATGGATTTCTCTCCTGTATACTGTTGTGACAGATCTGCAAAAAGACCGAACCCAAACCTTCAAACATTTATCGCTGTTTTGACAGAAGACTCCAGATCATCGGCAGCAGCAGCCTCAGCAGGTTTGTGACGGTGATATGCATCCTGAGCTGTCCTCTTTTATCACAGGAGGATCCTGTTCTCAGTAAAATGAGCTGAATCTTGTCCCCTGGTGGAGGGAACACAAAAACAAAGAGCTAAAAACAGCTGAAACCAGAGAGGACGTATGAAAGGAAATACGACCGATACCACACTTTCAAGAGTTTTTAAAGTTTGGAAATAAAAGGTTTTGGATGATCAGAGTAACCGGAGAACACACTGTCTGTCTAATCCTTGTTCACAAAAAGACAGAGTAAAAGCTTTCAAGAGGCATTAATCGAGCTCGGGTGTCTCTCCGTGTTGTTTTGTTCCCAGACATGCTTTCGCACTTTTCCTGACAGAGCCGCGAGCCGAGTGTGTTTCCAGCCTTCGGTGCTGTCAAAGGAACAGCCGAGGAGAGGAGTCTGAACCCTCGCAGACGTGACTCATCAAAACAGGAGCCGTGAGCAGGAACTCTCCAGAGCATCGGTGTAGTGCCACAGGCCCCAAACAGAGAAGGTGGACCACCGGGGACAGAGCAACATCAGGCTGAATCCGGCGCAGAACCGCCCGCAGACACAGACGGGAGAATCAGAGGACGGCGGGCTGAAGCTGTGTTCACAGAAAAAAAAGTGACGCCTGAAGGGACCTTTGTAAAAATGAGCCGTTTCCATAACAACAGACCCATTCCCCTGTACATTTTGGGGGTATTATCAGCTCGGACATCTGAAGAGCGTTCTCCCTCAGAGCGTAAAAACATCCAGCAAAGAGGAACACATTTGAAAGTGACGGTGTCCTCCGGCTTCAACAACAACGAGAACGAGAAATCCTCCATTATCTTAAAATCAGCTGTCGTTCCCGGGATCACTTCCTGCTAATGTGTGACTGTCCTAACCTTCAGATACGTTTGTTCTCATCTATCTTAGAATATTTCTCCTTTTTCTTCCTCTTCTTTATTTTCATCTTTCTCTCCTGAACCTGCTGCCTCCATCCAGGGGAAGTCGGAGGATGTGAATCCACTTCATGTAATTACCCATAATTCCTTACTCCGATACTGGACTCAGCAGACATACACTCGGCCTGACTCTTTGAGTAATTGGTCGTATTGAAATTCAAGCACTCTGCCGATTCTCTGACCTGAACTGAGCCTCAGATTTCTTTATAAATCTCCCTGACCTGACGGACCCCGTATACATTCTTTTCAAACACTGAGAAAAATCATAAACAGCAGATATTTTTGATTTTAAGGCCACTACAACCACTACAGCAATCCTCAGCTCGTGAAACATGAGCAGAAAAATCATTTTTTTAATTTAAATTTATAGTAAAATATCTGAATTTTTTCCCTACATCACTTCCAGACCACCTTTCTCAGAATTTTTTTAAACACAAAGTAATGAATTTATATCATAAACACTTCAACCTGCAGGCTGCACTGAATCACTCGACTTTGCAGTAGAAGGTCGATAATACGGCGTGCTCTCTACAGTTTTGTTGGACTGTAACGTTGTGAATTAAAAGCTTTATTATATTCACTTTAAAGTAAACATGCTAATTCTCCATAATGGAACGGTAAATACAGAGTAACATAAACATGATTTCTCTCCAGAGTCTACATGAATTAGAAGTTGACGTCGCCTCGAGTTTCTTCATAAAGACAATAATTGAGTTTCTAACGACCTGCAGCAGCAGCAGCGGCTGAAAAACACCGTGAGTGTGTGTGTGTGGGCGTCCAGGCAAAAGCTCCATATATGATACATGAAATAATAATACATGCATATCTGACTATTATCTCTAACCGCAGAACCCCCCGTTAAAGATAGAACAAAGACTGTAATTACCTTATTATCTTTAATAATGACATGTACTCACATGTGCCCACAGACACACGAAAGCCTGAAATATGACTTAGAACGTCAGGATCCAGAGCGTCACCAAGAGAAAAGTTCATGTTTGTTTCAGTCGATAAAACCGAACTGTTTTTAACTTTGGATTTTTCAAAATTAACTTAGAAACAGACAGATAATTCAGTCGTCCGATAAATCAGACCTCTGATGGACGATATCACCACTGTCATTCCAAACAAAAGAATTATGGTCACACTTTACAATAAACATAATATGTAAATGGTAAATAGATAGTTTAATAATGTTTAATCATTATTTAGAAACAGCATATAGACCAATTATAAATGGCAAATAGTTTATTAATGTAGGTTAATAGTTACTTTACAATTAACAAACAATGAAATTATGATTAATAATTTTCATGAATTATTAATAGACTATTTGTTAAAGGTTTATATTGGGTTTAAATTTTGGTTGTAAAACGTATTAAAACTGGTATCGGTTGACCTTTACCCACGCCAAATAAAAGCTATTCACATCTTATTATCCTGGGAAAACAGCAGGACAAAAAAATGGTTATTTCTACCAATAAACGCTAAAATAGAGTTTTCACATTTACTCGGGATGGTTGAGATCAGAAAATGAGGGAATTACTGGTGGCGTTCACACCGCTCTGAAGTAAATTTAACATGATAAATTTCAGGTTATCCATCTTGTTTGGCCTTTTTATTTCATGCAAAGTTCAAAAAAGAACATAATTAAAATCTCGTTGATCCTGAAACTCAAGCTGTTATCCTATTTGGGTGAAAAAATTGATCTTTCAAAAACGTTTTGCACAAGAAAAGACAAAATCAAAAATGCAACATTAAAATTTCAACATCGTGAAAAGTCCTGTGAGTAAAACCACTGCCACTAGTCAAGCAGTTTCTTCTACAGTATGCTATTTTAACTTTCCTGCTGTTTCACAAAAGCGTTAAAGGGTCAAAGGTTGGAGCCGGACATGCTAACTGCTCTGTCGTTAGGGGCGAGTAAAAGGGTCCCTTATATCAGCACACCCCTGAGAGGCCTGTAGCTAAAAACACCATTATAACACTTTAACAGTTCCTCCCTCCAGTTTGAGGTCAGAGTCTGAATCGTATGTTAAAGTGTGACGGTACAGGTTCTCCTGGAGCACTCGCCATTTTTGTCTTGGTGCTTTTCCACCTCTGCATCTGGTTTGGACAGCAAATCAGCAACATTTCCACCACACTGTCATGTTTTCTAGCAAGTCATGAACCCAAGATACAGCCGAGTCACAACTATTCAAGCTGATGTGAAAAACACGAGCAGAAGAACAGCTGTCTTCCAACCGCGACCGTTTCCGCACATAAAGAGACTCACCTCTGCTCGTTTCAATCAGCTCCACGGGCAACTTGTGTGCATGCATGTGCAAACACAAAGGACAGCGACACACATGACCTGCGCAACAGCCTTCCAGGCTTTCCGGGACATATCCACACACTCACACACACACGTGTCGTCACATGACGAGGGGCAGCTTGAGCGCTGTGAGAGATCACCTTGAGAGGTTGACGTTTGAAAAATGTGATTAAGAGAGCCTGATGCTCTCCGACGCTGCAGCTGCTGGAGCTTTTTGTCCAGAGACGTAGTAACAGCATCTCTTTATAAATCACCTTTTATCATCAAACACAAACTGCAGTTAGAAGCTGAAAAAACAAGTCGAGGAAAAAGCAAAAACTCGCATCTATTCGACGGATTAGGAAGAAAAAGTACCCGTTTAAGTTTCTGTTAATTCTACGTATTTAGAGCAGTGGAAAGACAAAAATAAAACAGGCAATTTGGATAATTGTTCTTGTAAAAGAGATCTCAATTAATACCAATAACAAAACAGCTCATTTTGAATCGTTTTATAGGCTAATAGTTCATCGCATGAACCCACGGGTCGTGACTGAACATCTGACTGAGCAGCTGCAGCAACAATGAGCTCCGACGAGATCGCAGCTGAATCATCACAACATCCAAAACTGTGAAAAGATCGAAAAACCTTTCACATTTCATTCCTTTGAATTATCATTAAAAACATTCTCTCAGTGTGGGTTACCATGGCAACTGCATCCGTATCATATTTCCAGCTCTTGGACGAGTAAAACAGCGACGTAAAGTTTTAATCATCAGAACAATCAGACTCAAACAGAGAAACTAAAGTAGTTTCCCAAACGAGGCTGTTTTTGGATTTCACAAAGACGAACTTCTACAAAATCAGATGCATGTAGATCTGAAAAATCTTGAGCAAGTGTAGCTGCACAGAAATATACAACAATATCATCGGCGTAGACGTTTAACACAGATTTTAGGACATTAAAAAGAACTAATAACAAAACTAGAGAATGAAAGTGGGCCCAGAACTGAACCCTGAGGAACACCCTTATAGACTGAATGTGAAAATATTTGCGTATTAAGGAGAATCTTCATGCGAAAGGTTCGTCGTCTTACCTTATGATGACGTACATGACCAGGAAGTTCCCCACCAGGCCGATGACACAGACGATCATGTAGACGACCACGATGGTGGCCTTAACCCCCGTCGGCAGTAAGGCGTCGGTGTCGTTGTAGGCACCTGAGAAGTTCCCCTGGAAAAGGGAATCGTTGTAGAGCTGCAGGTGACCCAGCTCGGCTAGGAGGAGGTCGTCTGGGAACTCCATGTCTGACCAGGAGTGAGGCGAGGGAGTTTCACGACCACCTGAAAGAAAAACAGAGAAGATTAGTTGAGTCTTTCCCCCCAATTTCCACCGATCGTAGCTGATCGTAACCATTTACGAACCGTAACCGTTCCTCTGCGGATCGCCGGACTCCACAGCTGATCGCAAGAGTTCTATTTTTCCCGGATGCCGGAGCATGGCAGATAAATTCAGCACAAATTAACCCGTGCTGGAAAGGAAGTCGGGCACAGACACAATCTGAGCTAATCTGAGCTCAGTTTTGACTGAGTTTGAGCATTTTAGGCAGCAAAAATGTACGACAGGTGCGATATAATCTAAGAAAAATCGAGTCATGTTGGGTATATTTCACCGTGATTTCACCCTGAAGGTAAATTTGTAAAAGGTTACCAACATTAGCAGTTGGAAAAATGACGCATGCATACATTTTTAATAAGCACAGATCTCTTTCTGTACCAGGAATTTGCATCGTGGGTTTTAAATGTCACTCCACTTTCTGCTCGGCTGAGTTTGAGTTTGAGTTGTTTAGGGCGGCATAAATGAAGCTGAAAAGACGGATGGAAAAAAAGGAGGAAAGAAGAGAAGGAGAGGTGAAGAAATAAGAAGAAGTGAAAGGAAAGGAAAGGAAAGGAAAGGAAAGGAGGGGTTGAAGGCGTCAAATTTACTATTAATGCAGTGATGAATATATTAACGTCAAGATGTGAAGGAAAAAGAGATTTAAGAAGCAGAGGGATGACGCCGGTAATTATGAATGTTAATGCACAACAGAGAGGAAAAAAGGACATCTGTAATTTTGATTTCATTTCAAACTGACATCTGTGAATATATATTTTGTCTTCTTTAGAATAATCACAGTTTAATCCTATTTGCAGTTAAATAGACCGAGCTGTGTCTGTCTACATTTTTCACACACTTAATTAACAAAACCCACAAAGACCTCTCTCTCTCTCTCTCGCTCTCTCTCTCTCTTATTTTCTGGGGTCTATTATCAGCCCTGGATTACACACACTCTCAGCCCATATACTACTAATAATAATGAGACAGAAGAGCCATTGTTTCACGTCATCCTTTCAGGGCGACACCGCGCTGACTCAAGACGTGGTTTAATCAAGTTTAGATTGGGAGTTCCTTTAAAATCTTTTGTTTTGGTTCCACAAAAGGACAAAAAAAAAAAACCTACAACCTCATTAGCTGCTCCTGGAAAGAGCTGTGAGGACGTGTTGTGACGCTCTTGGACTCTTGAACTGACTGCAGAAATAAAGATCATTAAAGATTCATAGTTATGACGATCCTCTAATTCTGACGTGTTATCTAACACTTATGACTTACTTTCTCATTATAATAATAACAATGTCTCTTATTATTTTAACTTTATATCTCCTAAATGTTCTTTGACTTTTCATGAATATGACAAATGATCTTGTTTTTTTGACTTTCTATCCCCTAATTTTGAATCTTTATCTCACTATTATGACTAACTCTCTTTTATTTTAGATTTTGATCTCATCATTTTGACCTTTTATTCCCGTAATTGTGATTTACAATAAAAAATTGTAAACATTCGTTCCTCATTATATAAATTTTTATCTCCAAATTATTTTTTTTACTATTAAACAGATGCGACCCTGTTCCTGGTATGTCTGGCTAAGAGTCCAATAGGATCTCATTATTTTAGCTTAAATTGTTATAATTAAGAGTTTTTACCTGATAATTTTGTATTTTGACCTGATTATTTAACTTTTTATGTCAAAATTTTAAATTTTGACATCATAATTGAACTTTTTATGTTTCAATTTTGACTTTAACCTCAAAATTTGACATTTTAACTCATCATTTTGACTTTTAACCTCATATTTTGACCTCATTATTTCCCTTTTTTCTCATTATTTTAACTTTTGGCCTCCTTATTTACCTTTTTTTTCTTATCATTTTGAATATTTACTTCATAATTTCATTGTTTATCTCATTATTTCCACTTCTGACCTCATGATTTAACTTTTTAATCTCATTATTTTTACTTTTGACCTCATATTTTGACTTTTTTACCTCCTTTTTATTCCCATAATTTGGACTTTTTATTTTATTATTTGACTTGTAATTTGATAATTTATCTTTGTGCAATAATTTTATGAACACAACCATTAAGAACATGAATAAATCTTTATTTTGTTACCGTACTGTATCTCTGCACTGATTTTTTTTTATTGTACACGAGTGAAAATTACAGATTATTCCTTTAAATGTCATAAAATCAGAGACATTTGTGATGCACATACATGTAGATCTTAAATCTAAAATCAGGATAAAACTTCATTAAAGTGATCTTCATTTATTTCCTCATACTTGTTTTTTTTCTTTGAACGGAGTCTGAAAAATAAAATCAGATTCACAGGCAGCTGAATCGCGGTCCTTCAAGAGGCGTTCGAACTCACAATGGGAACAAAAGCTCCTCAGCCTCCGTCTCATGATTTCCATAAATGCCAGCTGAGGTCCTGAGCTGCAATTTAACCTGATGCACAAAGACCTGAAGTTCCTGTGGAAACTTTCTAACTGATTTTGAAGGTTCTCTCTTTATTAGTCCTCCGTCAAACCAAAAACTTTGACTCACAAAAACACTTCTTTAACAAAATACGACCCCCGAAGCTGAGACCTTTTATTAAAGTCTCAAGGCTATAATTTCAGTCCCTGTGGTGAAAAAACACTTCATACCCCTTTAAGTCCCTAAAGTCTCTGCCGAGTTATTCCAGGAACATCCATGTGGGAGTAAACCCTGAGGCGCTCCTTCAACACGCTGGAGATCATATCCCATCTGATCCTGGTGCACCTCAGGATCCTTCAGGGAGGGCTGGAGGACATGGAAGAACCTCTGGGGGTCTTGCTAAGCAAAAATGGAATCAGACCCACTGAAAAGAGGCGGTCCACACTCTGATAACAGTTATATAAGGCATATTATCCTTCTTCTGCAGCACTAGACTCCCCCCTCTCTCCGCCTGATGATGAATATTCATCAAATCAAAACAGCAAAGTAACTCTGCTGCGCTGCTGAATTTCCCCAGGGCTACTGCCAGGCTGAATACACATGGGTTATATATACTCTAATATCTCTCTCTTCCTTCTTCATCATCTTCCCCTCTCTTCTCTTTTTCCGTTCCTCTTTCCCTTTTCACATCCACCACTCTTTCAGGGTTTGTATCTGCTGCAGCTGCGGCTGCGGTGCATGTACCGTCTGAGCTTTGATGAACGATCAGATAAACTCTGAGTCTGAAGTGCGTGCCCATGTAAGGCCGCGGCGCCCCTTCTGTGTGGGCCCGTGTGCCACATAAGACAAGACGAAGACGCGCTGATGAGAACTTCACCGGCGTGTCGACGGTTTTATGCAACATTCCTTGAGAGTCTGAAGACCGGGAAGTGACACGGAGCCAGAGGAGGCAAGAGTACGACATAATTAGTCGAGCAGAAGTGTGATTCATTGTGGCATTTCGTTACTGTTTCCAGCCTCGTTTGGTATTTGTGTTATTCTAATGAATGGATTTATCTCCTCTGATTCATGCTCGTCCCAACTGCTATGGAGACAGAGGAAGTGTCAGCTCTGGAGGAATTCGGTTTGTTTTACTCAAAGTCTCAAAAATGTGATGATCCAGCAGCTCATAGTTCAGGGAACTAGAGCTGGGCGATATGTCCTCAAATCAGTATCACGTTATATCGATCAGTTCACCTCGATAACGATAAACGATAACTACTCCACAAGCTGCATCTCTGACGTAGGACAGCGTCTTAAAGGGACATGAGACGGATATGGGCAAAATGACGTTGGTGATTGTTGTAAATTTCAGTATCAGTGAATCTTCGGCCCTATTGGGAACCACAATGTTTCAACTCTGACTTCAGGTTGGACATGCGCATGTCCGAACAAAGTTTCCTCCACCAGTAAATCAGAGTTTTGAGATCGTGGTGAGAATCGGAGAATGGAAAGGTCGAAACTCGTGTCCAAACAGTCTATAATGGACCATGGAGCCACGTAAGAAGATGTCCTGACTCTGGACTCCAATCCAACTGAGCATCTGTGGATGATCTCAACAACCAAGCCTGATCCATGGAGTCCGTCCCCTTCATTTTCAGATCTTGAAGGACAGCTGCGAACATCTTGGTGGTGTAGAAACCTCGGCACATCTTCAGAGGTCTGGTGGAGTCCATGTGTGGATCAGTCTTTGTGATGGAGCGGAGTTGGTGAGTACGCCAGGAGAGTGAAGCTACATAGACTCTCATCTAGACCTCCACAGGAAGCAGATCCACTTTGCAAAACGCTGTTTCTGTAACGCTGAAGGAAAGGCATTGCGCTGGACGCTCGCCATCAGCTGGAAACTGGTTATACAAACAGTTTGTACAATCAAACAGTTCATGTAAACCGCGCCGGAAGATTTAGTCTTTGTTTATTTTCAATCGTTCATTTCATACACAGCTGTTCAAGTGGTCTCAGCGACATAAGGAGACACGCCCCGGTTTCTGATTGTCCTCTAGTTATCATCCTGGTTGGAATATGTGCAGCTTTTACGTCGGTCGTTGTTCGATGATGATGATGCTGCACAGATTAGCATCCTGCAGTACAACACAAGCCTTTACTCACTGCAAAGAGACATCAGATTCAGCAGAAGAGAAAACTGCTCTCAGGTTCCCTTTCCTGCTAAAGGTCAGCTGTATAAGGTGCACAAACCTCAGAGATGCTAGACTACACATCAGTGCATCAGCCTGTTCACAGACTACACACATAGTTGAGTGAGGGAATGATAGCTCCGCTGGCCTCTCTGCTTTCCTCAGCTGCACATACCTCTCAGCCGCACAGATTTCTTCTTCTCTGCATGTGTCAGGAGGTCTGCCTCATGATCCATGACAACAAAGGAGTTAGGGTCCCCACCCGTGGGCTGAACTTCCACCTTTTGTACCTACAAAGTTCACCACACTCTTGTTGGGGTCTTTGGCACGGCATTTGGGGCACATGACCCGCTCCGGTTTCTGGTGTTTCTGTGGGATTAGTTGACTGTTACATGAGAAATTTCTCTCCCTCTCTCCTGCCTTCACAAAAATGGTTTACTTAAGGAACTCTCTGTGTCGACTTTGGCGCCCCCTGTAGACTAAATGATACCAGACATGGATGTAGTCCCAGTGATGTTACCTGGTGGTTTGAAGCGGTCGCCATATTTGAAACGCTCAATCTAATTTACTTATAATGAGTGAGAAAGTTAACAGACTGAGATCATGTGATGCACCAGGCTGTAAACATCCTAACGCCCAATTTCAACCGCATCCTGAACGTCTACGAAAAGATCGTATCCGCCGATCATAGCCATTCAACTTAATGTGTCAATTTACACCGACTTCTTTCCGTTCCTCTGCGGATCGCCGGACTCCTCAGCTGATCGCAAGAGTTCTATTTTTTCTCGATTCCTGCTGTCTGTAATCCGCCACGATCATTCGCCTCATAAACGGATCCATTAGGAATTGGCGTACAGCGAAAATCGCCTCCGTTCCAGATGCGGTGGAAATCCCGTGTTACTCTGACAGTAAAGATGGGCTTTAGCAGGGGTGTGTACAGTACGGGGCTTTCAGGGCTTTTGGAATCAGTCTCAAGTGGATTCTCAAGAACCAACAGGTTTTAGCACTCATGCTCAAGACCAGAAGCTGCTGTTTGACACTTCGCCCCCGCTGACTTTCTTCAGGCTTTTACTTCACCTCCTTTTTTTTGTACATTTTGGTTGCTATGCAGACTTTCTGGACATCCAATAGCAGGAACTACAGGGTCAGTATGAAGGGAAAAATAAAATTTTGATTCAAATTTGAGGGAAAAGAAAACATTTCTACAGCTAATGTAAGAAAGTGAAAGTGGTTAACGTGTCGTTTCCTCTTTAACACTCAGAATTCCACTGGATCGCCGGCGATCCCACGTGACACCATTAATATAGTTCACAGTTTCTCAGGAACTATTCCGAGTATCTCTACAGAATAAAAAGTGTTCAAAAGTTTACCCTTTTGGCGATCTATCGAGGGTTTCCAGACATTTCTACACCTGCAACAAGGTTTACAATCCAGCCACAAAAACAGGTGTTTGATCAGAGACGTTTGGTGGTAAATCCGCCGTGATATACCAGTGAAAAATAAGATTGCAATCGCTAAATGCCGCTAATGTCTTCCGGGTTTGACAAGCCAAACTTTCAACCAATGACATGGTTTCATTTTCTTCTTCTATTGTCCCCTTGACGGTAGTGTCCAATAAGAGACAAGAAAGTTCCCTGCTTGTCTGCAAAATCAGAAATAATGGTCCTCAATGTTTGGAAACAAGTAAAGAAGAGATTGTGAGCAGTATGATGTGGTCCTCTGTCTCATCCCAGACAGGAACTGCTTCAAGGAGTGGCAGAAACAACTGTAAATAGTCAAAAACACCTGAAGAATGAGTGTAAATATGTCAATAGTTTCTGTTGTGTGTTTGTTCCAATCCCAATATTTCTTCTCCTGATAGACAAGACTTGAGAGAATGATGTTCAGGTGAGAAAAGGCTTGGTCACTGTAGATTTATGTGGTTTTTAGAGCAAAGTACTGTTGGGATCAAGTTCCGTTTGACTTTGATGGTTCTGAATCTACTGTCACATTTATTTTACATCATTTTTGCCCCATAAACCTTCAGCTGAAAGGATCGAGTTGTAAAATAAGTAGCTAAAATAATAATCTGATGTATTTCTAACACTTTAAAAGCACCTGGAGATTCATTCAGTAATATATAAGGATAATTCTGACATTTGTAAAACAGTAATCCTCACTGTAACATGTCATCTTTGCGGCAGCAGCAGATATTTTCATCACTGGCATGTTTGTCCGGGATTTTGCACATCTGCACTCCTTCAGCATCAGTGAAAACACCGTGGGAAAGTGCTGGAGGTATGCCCACAAACACAGCCACCTCCACCACCTGCAGACACACGCACGTGGACGCATTTATCATAACAACCCCATTAGGAGACCTCCAATCAGTGCACGCGTCTGAAGATGACCAGCAGACATCCGCATTCTCATGCAACTCGTCTTCTGAATGCAACTTGTCTTTACAACTGTTGTTAATAAACGCACCACGTGCACGGTAAACACGTGAATGCGCCATAATATGCAGACGAAACTCCTAAAAAAAATCATACAAGCAGGCCATCCACGCGCCGCCTCACGCGCCATCAGTATCTTTACAGTGTGTTATGGCAACCGTTCAGCCGGAGCAGCTCAACATAAACACGGTGACACACTGCAGACGGACACGCAGTGCGCACATGCACCGGTGGTCCCGGACCCACATCCACACACGTTCACGTCTACATATACCTGCTCGAAACACACCTGGTTTGGCGTCATCCTACCTTTCTAATGACAGCAGGCAGCCCCCCCACAAGGCTCCCCGCAGGACACAACAACCGCGCGAAGTTGGTGTGTTTCCCTCCGCGTTGCTGCGCACCGTCTCGGGCTTCGGTCAGCGTTCCCGTCCCCGTCTCCGGTCCCGGTGTCTTCCTCGCAAATACGCAGCTTCCTCCCCGCTGTCATCCAAGACAATTAGCCGGTGTCAGAGCCACGAACCTCCGGAACGCGCTCGGTCGGTCCGGTGGTCGGTTCGTCTGTCCAGGTTCCCCCCGGTAAGGCAGAGAGAGAGAGAGAGAGAGAGAGAGAGAGAGAGAGAGAGGAGGGATCTGCTGGGATGGAGATGCAGTCAGGCACTTTCTTACTCCCCCCTCCTCCCCTTTCGGACTGATCGATCCCTCCTCCTCCTCCTCCTCCTCTTCTCGCGCCGTAGTGACCCATCTTCCAGGTGTCTGTGTGTGTGTGTGTGTGTGTGTGTGTCCAGACAGTCTCTGATTGGGTGTTGTGGTTGTGTGTTTACTCAGCATTTTCAGCAGCTCTGTGTATTGGGTTGTGTGTTGTTTCACCTGTGTTTCCACAGTTGATCAGTTAGCAGTCAGAGCAGTGATTGATTATGTGGTTGTGATCGGTACCGCTGAGTGTTATTCTCCTAACTGTGTAATACCATTTTATATCATAAACTAACATGTAGGTCTTATCACGTCCCTTTTCATATTGTATACCAATTAAAAACACACTAAATTACATTAAAACATATCATTACTTTATCATATCATATATCATTGCATCGCATATATCATCATATACTATTAATTATAAGTACATCAGATAATCCTAAATCATGTTAACACATTAAATAGTCAAATATGTTTTTTATATGTTAAATCATTTCATGTCATGTCAAATGACTGGGCCATATCATTTATCATATAACATATTAGCATGTTATCATACCTCATTTCATCTAACCTCATCTCGTATATCATTAACTCTCATCTCATTTATCAAAGATCTCATCTAATCTCAAATATTATATATCTTATCTCATATATCTTATATGCACACATACTGTATAATCTTATCTCATATACCATAAACTCTCATATCAGCTATTATGTAATCTAATCTCATATATCATTAACTCTCATCTCATTTATCATATACCTCATCTAATCTCATATATTACAAATCTTATCTCATATATCATAATCACATATATAGTATAATCTTATCTCATACACCATAAATTCTCATCCCACATATCATGTCATCTGAACTCATAATATATATTCTCTCATCTTAACTGATCTCATCTTATACCATATACATCATATCAAATGATGACTCATCAGCATGTTAGCATATTATGTCATTTCACATCAACATATTTTGACACGTCATATCATGTCATCTCATGTTATATCATTTCACTATCATATCATCTTATCACAGCATATCTCATATTATACATCATATCATATCATTGTATATCATAATGTTATTTTTCATGTAAAATCATATCTTCACCATTTCATGTCATATCAAATTACACTGCTGTATCATTTATCATATCACATACTGGCATGTTATCATACCTCACACATCTCATCCAGCCTCATCTCATTTATCGTATAATCTCATCTCATACCACATATATTGTATAATCTTATTTTATAAACATTAATCTCTCATCTCATAAAGCATGTAATCTTATCTCATAATATATATGATCTCATCTTATACCATATACATCATATCAAATGATGACTAATCAGCATGTTATCATATTATGTCATTTCATGTCATCTCATCTTATATCCTATCATTTCACTATCATATCATTTCACTATCATATAATATCATCTCATCTCATATTGACAACATGACCTTGGCTCTTAATTCGCTGAAATAATGAAACATCTGAAACTCAGGATTACTCACTAATGCAACAGCCTGCAAACAAACGTCATTGAGAATCGCTGCTGAACCTCTGCCTGTTAAAAACGATCAAATTCTGGAGGGGTTCACGGTTAGCAAGGTGTGACCTTAAAGGTGACCTTCACTGCACAGAGGTTCAGAGTGTTTTCTAAGGACTCCTCACGACAGAGTCAGAAACAGATGAACACAGATTATATTGTCTTTTTGTGACAAATTTATTTACACTTAAAAAACAAGGAGGTTGGAAAATGCCTGGAGGGTCGGGTCAGCTGACTTTCACGCTCTGTCACAGGGATTTCAAGTCGCTCCTCCTTTGTTTAAGTCATGTGTTGTTTTGTGACCGGACTTGATCCAATCAGCCAAATTACTCGTAATGAACTACTGTGTGTGTGTGAGTGTGTGTGTGTGTGTGTGTAAAACTGTGATGCCTGGTCAAGCAGTAATGTCAGGACTCTGCAGGGACTCTGTGCTGTGTTCACTGTCTTGCATCAGATTAATCCTTCTAAGTATTTTTGCTCAGGAAAACAAACAGGTTCCAGCTGAGACGAATCATATGCAACACAGTCAGTACGTTTACACGTCACTCGAGAAAACCGAATTATCGCCTTATTCCGATTAAGACCGGACAACTGAAGTGCGTGTAAACAACTTAGTCCGACTATGATCTATAATTGACTCAGAAGAAACTGCAACGTGGCTAAGGCGCAAAAGAATGTCCACTTTTGGAACGACAAGGAGAGCGCCGTTATGCTTTCCGTCGCAAAACGAGAAACAGAGACATCTTTACAAAAGTCCCAGAAACAGCGCCGCTGAAAAGAGCCACATCGCCCCCTAGTTTTGTGAAGGAGGACACGTTCACGTCAATAATTCAATTTTCTCAGCTGCATGTATACGAGGACAAGGAGAGAAGTCAGATTTGGCGAAAACAAAGAATTATGAGCTTAGTTCGATTAAGCTGTTCATGTAAACAGTGAGTGACAGACGACTAACAACTTCAACTGTCTGGAGCCGCGAAGTTTCTACACTAACTTGGGGAAAGTCTAGGTTCCTGTCATAACCATGCATTGGGCTTTGTTTTAGCAACTACCTTAAAGTCTAATGTGAGGAAGTTTGTTTGTTTTGACCTTGGCGCCCCCTGTGGACATACAGTATATATCCTTGGGTAAAGCAATTAAAGCTGCTTTGTTTGTGTTCCTAACCAGGGCTCGACAGTGCGACCGCTTCACTCGCATTTGAGACTAAAAGTAGATGTGTGCGAATCGTAAAATGTATTTAGGGTCACATGTGGGCATAAAAAAAATTAGCTGAGGCAACAAATGTTTTTTCCTGTAAATACGGCGGTGAAGTTAGTTTTAGGTTGGATATATTTTCCTGTAAATACGGCGGTGAAGTTAGTTTCAGGTTGTATATATTTTCCTGTAAATACGGCGGTGAAGTTAGTTTTAGGTTGGATATATTTCCCTGTAAATACGGCGGTGAAGTTAGTTTTAGGTTGGATGTATTTTCCTGTAAATACTGCGGTGAAGTTAGTTTCAGGTTGGATATATTTTCCTGTAAATACTGCGGTGAAGTTAGTTTTAGGTTGGATATATTTTCCTGTAAATACTGCGGTGAAGTTAGTTTTAGGTTGGATATATTTCCCTGTAAATACGGCGGTGAAGTTAGTTTCAGGTTGGATATATTTTCCTGTAAATACGGCGGTGAAGTTAGTTTTAGGTTGGATATATTTTCCTGTAAATACTGCGGTGAAGTTAGTTTTAGGTTGGATATATTTTCCTGTAAATACGGCGGTGAAGTTAGTTTCAGGTTGGATATATTTTCCTGTAAATACGGCGGTGAAGTTAGTTTCAGGTTGGATATATTCTCCTGTAAATATGGCGGTGAAGTTAGTTTCAGGTTGGATATCTGACGGACATTCTCTGAGGATCTGCCGGTGTCTTCTCACTCTCCATAACCGGGAATAACAACAGCAGCGCGGTTAAATCTACTCGACACCCTCACTGTCAACGTCGGTGTTGAATAAGGGACCGTCAATAAATTACCGGTTGATGTTCTCAGAAAAGGCTGTTTTCCTTCAATAGCTTCACTGTCATGTGACCAAAAGACCTAAAATTCATTTCAAATAATAGTACTTATATCGACCAATAAGACAAAAATTATTTGATCGATTTTCATTGTTCCCCTAAAGTTCTTTGTGTGCTCCTTGTGAAAAAAGTTCGTGTCAAGCCCTGCTAACCCTAAAATCCATAACATAGACACAGTCAGTCGTGTTACTATGGTCTCATGAGCGCATAGAGACACATCCTTATTTATTTCAGTGCGTTACATAACCCGTCAAAAACTCCTCACAGGAGCTTTAATCAATTATTACATCTGCTTGTTAAGTGTTCGCCCGCTGACAGGAAAAGTGGCGTTCTTATGGATTTGCCAGCCGACCTATTTATGCATTTGCACAATCCATCTGTGGGTAATTGGTTTTCCTCATAACCATGAAAAGGTTACTTTGTTGCCATGGGAACACTTAAGTACAGCGCTGGGTGATTAGGGCGAGGGTTTTCCTGAGACATGGGGAAGTGAAAATAAGATAAATAGGGAAGCCTTTTCAAGGAAGTGGATTTTAATGACCTTATAGAGGATATTCAATAAATTAATTTAAGGGCTTTTCTACTTTAAAAGCTCCTGTCAGGAACTTTAGACGCCCCCTGAAATCAGAAGTTCTGACCCCTCTTGGTTCTGATTGGTTCGTGACATTAACGAGAACAATTGGACTTTTAAAAGTGGAACTGTTTTTTTTTTTTTTTTATGCTGAGACATAAAGGGTTAAAAATCACTGTGCTAAGAGTATATTTATTATATTATATCTATATATCTATTTAATTCTCTACCTTTAAAACACTGACTTTTTTAAAATTGTGAAAATTTAATGACAAAGTTACCTGGTAACTTAATGTTCAAAACCAGAGAGGGGGGCGATAATCTAAGGGGGGAACATCAATTTATTTGTCCGATTGTCCATAAAAACTCTGAAAACTCTGTGTATTTCTGTTTATGGTGTTAAACTTTGGAACAGTCTGGATGTCACTTTAAAAATGTCCAATAACATTAAAATATTTCAATCAAACTATAGAGAAGAATTAAAAGATTCATAGAAGTAAACTAACAAAATATGGTTTTATAATTGATATACTTGATTGCATAGAAGTAATATTAATTCTGAATATTGTAACACTGATGATTATTATAACATGCAAATAATTGTAATAAGTAACCTGTGCAATGTTGAGCAGATATCTTTGTGTATTTATACAGATCTATATTTAATAATTTATACAAATAGACTTTTTCAAAAATCTCTAATTTGCAAAGAAGGGTCAGGACTAGATAAGCTGCTTCAGACTTCCGGGATCAATAACTCTGAGAAGAAACGTTGTCTAAACACAAATGATCCTCTTTCACGTCGTAATAGCACAAACTACTCGCTACAGTGGCCGGGTGAGTGCGAAGAGATCGTCTGCAAATTACGATACAAGAGCAAGACACTGCAAACAAAAATCAATATCTCCGCCGTTTTAAAGTAGAGACCCCAAAATCACCAAAACACACAGAGGGACTCTTCATACAACAACAGCTGTTTTAGGAAAATGTGCTTTTTTATAATTTGGGTGAATTTTTATTGTTATGAATCATGAATATCTTCCAATATTAATCAACAGCTTCACTGTCATATATAAAATTTTCAGGCGCAGGATTTTTTTCTGCTTTAAGCCGAGAATTTTTATAACCTGTAATAAAAATCACAGTGTTTATTCTCCTGCTCCTTTTCCTGCTGAGTGAAATCTGATATTTTCAAAAGGGTTCATTGACCAAAAATCAGCGTGATGAGCACTTAAAATGAAATAAGGAGATTCAGTTCTGCACAGTTTTAGAGGTACAGTATGTTCGTTATGTGAGGGCAGGTGTGGACTTAATGCAGCAGCATCTTGGGGGAGGAGGTGCACAGAACCTGCTGGTGTTTTCATGTAGCAGCCATAGGGGGCACTAATGCCCAGCCTTAGTAGGAGGTGGAGAGAGAGAGAGAGAGAGACGGAGAAAGAGAGAGAGAGAGAGAGAGAATGGGGGAGGAAGGGTTGGTGTTGTTTTTGTGTGTTGTTGGTCTTTTTGATGTATTATGTAGTGTAACGAGGGAAAGAGGAGGAAGAAGTAGAAAAGGAGTCATGAGGAAAGAGTGTGAAGAAGAGGAAGGTGTGTGTGTGTGCGTGTGTGTGTGTGTGTGTGTGTGTCATCTAAGGAGATTGAACCGTCTCTGGCAGCGTGCAGACAGATGGTTGAACAGCGAGACATCCAAATCAGACTGCAGAGGCAGAAACCTGCTGTTTATGTTTTTATGTGTTTGACAGTCATTTGGGATGATTACAGGATCTCTCCGGAGATAAACACAAATACTGTAAGTGAGCTCGCCATTTCAGACCGTAGAAGAGGAGAGGACGGCGCCCTGCTGTTAACCGCTTTGGGTTGACGTTTTGTGGAGTTACTTTAATAATTTCTAAACAGTTTCCCCCAGCTGGTCCGACTATCACTACCCGATCCGCCCTGGAAGTGATTATTATTTTTTTTTTTCTTTGTAGGATGGTAGGTGAAGGTCCCGCCCTCCTTCGCCTCTTATTGGCTGGGCTCTGATCAGTTATTCCTTATGGCTGTGAAACATCATCGTCTGTCAGGTTAGCGTTAGGAGATTCAGAATCGCAATGTTCTGTAATGTTCTGTTTGATGTACAGAGCCGACAGGCCGCGTTCGGCTTGAGCGTGTGACGACGTTTCCAGCTTTTCTAGCCAATCAGAGGCGAAGGAGGCGGGACCTTCCCCTAAGATCCAACAAAAAAAATATTGCATCCCGGAAATCCGATTTGTACTGCTCATGTGCGAAACGAACGTCACTTCCTCTACTAGCCATCTGTGCAGCAACCTTGCGGTTTGCGACAGCTTCGACACTTGTTCGACAGCGTTAGCAGCAGCGAGCTCACTTCAGTCGGAGTGGATGCTTCAGTTGAAAACAACCCCACACTTTTCTTTTCCCCTGAACGGAGTGCGTCCCCCGACTGAAGCAGAGCGCCATAAAGTCAAGAGAATGGCGCCCAGTTTCACGATTAAAGGTTCCTACTACAGCTAAATTGTAAAATTGCAGCGTAGTTCTAAAAGGCTTGAATGGATGTGAATATATTTTGTAAATAATTCGATTTACAAAATGAAATAAATAAATAAATCCCCCCTTGATACTTTGAAAAGTCAGAGAACCGTAGTTTTGACCTGGTGGCGGCGCTCTCTGTGGCCCAAAAAGGTGAAGTAAATTTGCACCTGCGCAATATGGATCCCGTAGACTGCCGTAAAATGCATTGAAATATGAAGAGAGGAAGTGACGTACGTTTGGCACATGCGCAGTACAAATCAGGTTTCCAGGACGGATCGGATAGTGACACCAACCAAAACGGTTTTCTGAACCAGGCTGCTCTAGTGGACACTCAGGGAATTGCAGTTTTTCGCACTTCTGCACCATCAAGGTCAGAGGTTGCAGCTAAACCATCGGCTTATTTGGGCACCTGTAATGGTGTTGATGGTTACGCATCTTCCTCTATCCAATCAGGACCAGTCTGCGATGGTCTGTCCACAGGTTTCTGACCTGGTTTGCAGGTGCATGAATGTTTATGATTCAGATTGAAAGGATGAAGAGATCCCACTATCCCCAAAACTATGACCGCTATAAATGACGCAAAACCAAACACACATGGAGATGGATCTGCAGAGCAAAGAGAAAATACTGAAATGAAATATATTCTGTGTGGCCAATCCAAATCTGCAAGGTCACCCCATGGACGTGCCCCTTCAGCTCTGAGCGACTCCATCCCTGTACCTCTCAGACAGTCCACGCACCGAGTATAATGAGGCCCTGATTCACATTCACAGTGCAATTATAGGTCACCCTGCAGAGCGACGCACAAACGCTTTTGTATGCTGCGGATGCTTCGTGATTTCATCGACAGATTAAGTGAAATAATTGCAGCGGGGACAAATGAATTCCTGCTTTTAATACTCATGAGTGGAGTGAGGCCTTCGGGGGGTACAGGGCTACAGGGATGTGGATTTAAATTGAGACCCAGACCTACAGCAGAGAGTTTGTCTGTGAAGTCCTGATGGCAACAAGAAAAGAGGCGACGCTACAGAAGTACCTGCAGCCAGAAGGACCCAATACTGGTTTTAAACTGGGCTCTAGTTTGTCATATTTTCGGGACAGGAAATTGGGAGCTACTTTACGAGATTACCTGCATCACCGTCTGAGATTTGTCCATGAAAACAGCTTTTCTGTCTCCACCGACGGACCTTGATGCGACTCTGATTGTCTGAAAGCATCAGTGAGACAAACCCACAGAAACAGACTTCTCCGTCCCACTGAGATGCTTTTATTGAAACCTGAAAAAAGCGTCACAACTATCTCTTTAGAGGAACCCGACTCTGCTGCAGAGAAGAGTGGTTTTACCTTGCTGGTCATGTCACTGTCTTGATTGGCTGTTTTGTTGTGTTATTCTTCGCTTTTGTGCCGTCCAAGGTATCTCAAAAAGACATTCAAAGAACAAAGTCAGAGAAAAGCACAAAATATCAAATAGCTTTAAATCGAGGAAGAAGCTGACAGGAGAAGTGAAAAAAACACACAGATAGAGATATAACTCCGTAAAGAAAGGGGGTACAGATGAGATCCAGACTCTTATACAACCTTTTCGACCTGTAATGCTTCATGGTTGTTGTGCTAACACGCTAACAGTCCCTCGCCATGTCCTGATGTTAGCTCATATGTACTTCAACTAAAAATACAACCCAATCTCTCCTCTGATGAACAAGTGAGCTATGGCGATTAATCAGATTCAGGGTGACCATACATCCTCTTTTCCCCGGACATGCCCTCTTTTTTGGGGGGCTGTCCGGCCTTGTCTGGGGGAGTTGATCAAATCCTTCAAATGTCAGCTGTTTTTTTTGGAAATTTCGATTTTGTGTTGCGTGGACTTACTGAGTTAGCATAAAAGACACTCAATCCGACCTGAAAAACTCAAAAATAACTACACGCGACTCCGTGATTCTGTAACACAGAGTTAGACCCCCCCTCAAGAGATGAATGTTGTCGACCGCTTGCTTCTCTAGTTATACCAACTTTAGTAACGACCGCAGGATAGAAATACAGAGAGCCACGCCCTCAACCAAAACGCCACTCTATAGCCACAAATAATGCTCAGAACAGCACCTAACTTCATCAACAGGACATATAGGGTCACAGACATAGTACTATATTCAGAGTTTTTCTAACTCCTAAGAAAACAAACTTAAGCGGGGGCGTTTCTTCACTTCTGTAGTCTATAAGCTGGGCCAATAAACTTCTACTGTAGTAAAATGAAAAGGTAAAGGTGTTTTTATTGAGCCGAATTATCAATAAAATCATGATTTTGTGAACAGATATGAATTTATGTGCTGTCGAGTTAATATATTTGAACAAGAGCACAGTAAAGTTAAATCAGATAATTTTCCAATGAGGTTCTGTTACTGAACGGAACTACACCATGTTCTACTGAGGTTAGTACATATAGGGTCACAGCCATAGTACTAGACACCAAACATCTTTTTAACTTTGACTCATTTCTTTAGCAAAGAGACTAAACACAACTCACCTACTCTCTTCCAGCAGACGCTTGTTTGTAGAGAGACCTCAGGCCAGTCCATTATGGACTACAGCGGGATGCCGCAGCTCAAGGAAGAACATTTATGATCATTTCTTCATGGAAAATGATAAAGAAATGATCGGTCGATGCACCTGCCTGGAGGTCTTCGTAGAAACAATCTATTGGAAGAGAGTAGGTGAGTTGTGTTTAGTCTCTTTGCTTTATTTGTGGCTATAGAGTGGAATGTCGGCAACATTCATCTCTCATGGGGGGGGGGGGGGGGTCTAACTCGGTGTTACGTTGTGTTTGACCCTAAATTAATTTTACCCCAGATTATCCCTTTAAGTTGTTTTTTTTTCCATCCCTCACGTTTCTCGTCTTGTGTTTCCTGTTTATTTTTATACTCACCTTTGTCTCTTGTTTCAGGTTCGATGACTTCCCTCTCCTTGTGTCACCTGCTCCCCTGACGACCCTGATGAGTCTCACCTGTGTCTCGTTAACTCCGCTGCACTGGTGGATTTAAACCCAGCTTTCCCTCCTCTCTGTGCCAGCTCGTCTTGTCTTTAGTTCACCAACTCTTTTTGATTAAACAGACTTTGATTTTGCCCGCCTGTGAGTTTGCATCTTGGTCTTCTTTTGGTTCAGTGTTACATTATTGAAGTTTTACAATTAACTCCCATAGAATACAATAAAAAAGAAAAAGTTCTCGACCCTGGAAGTCTTAATCAAAACCCCCCTTCAGAGTCCAACCGGACCGTGAGCTCATATATGAGGTTTAGGGGTGAGAATAAACCCTTCAGGAGGTTTTGGACAGTCTTATTAAAAACACTGAAAACAGAAGAGGTCACTAAAAGAAGGACAAAAATGTCCCTCGTCTTTGCAGAGTGTGCTGAAGTTTAATCTTCTGAGCGCTGGCGAGAGAGAATGATCAGGATTAAGCGACCTCTGTAATATCTTAACCCCTCGTCTCAATTACACTGTCCACGCCATGGGGTCTATTTTTGGCGGCGATGCCCAGAGTAATCCTGTGTAATGAAACGGCGGCGCCCTGCTGCTTTCAGACGGAGAAATCCACTTCACCGACTTCTCCTCTTCATCCTACCTGCTTCAGGCTCATTTCGCTGCTTTTCGAGCTGTTTGTCTGAGTCACCGCGGGGCCGCTCAGAGGGGAAGCACCTCATCACTCCTGCTGACACGCCGCCGGATTCAACAGGCGATAAGAGCAACAGGTCCGAGGGAGGCTAACAGACAGAGCGGGGATTATTTCTTCAAAATGAGACCTCATTCTCTGTGCGGTTAAATCCACTTCTGCCTCATAATCAAAGCAGGTAACAGAGTCAAGTCGGACCTTTTTTCTGGTGCAGCTCCGTCATCCTGCTGATGTTGGACTGAAGGCTTTACTGGGCCGAGATATCTGCAGGGAACATCCAGCTGGGAGCCTAATTTCAGCCTCCCGCAGCATGAAGACATCATCAAAAGGATCGTAAATATATTAACGATAAGACGAGGGTTGAGATTCAAAACATGAAGACAATTTATTCACTGATTTGCATTCGTTGTAATCACCACGGCGGCGCCGTGTGTTTTTACGAGCTCCTCATCTCCCTTAACTTTGAGAACCGCGCTCTGATCCTGGGAGAGAGAAAAGAGTCGAAACCACAGAGAGGATATTTTCAGCGCACAAATCACGTCCTGAGGCTGAATGTTGTGTGTTAAATGGATCATGGTTGGCAGAACAACACCAGCCTGTCTGATCTGTTTCTGCTCCATTACTCTGGCTGAGGAAGTGTTTGGCTCGTCAGCCACGGGGCCGCTCCGAGGAGGCAGACCTCATCACTCAGTCTGTCGCTCTCTGGACTCGACGAGCTGACAGCGACGGCACACAACGAGGAAAGGCTTGGTCACCAATATGAGATGTCCAAACTCTTTATGTGGAGATCATATGATTCACCGACGGCTTTAGGATGAACGCTAATTCAGGTCCAGGCGCACGTTACAGAGAAAGGACCTCGTTAGGGAATTTTCATGTCTTTGTGAATCACGTATTTGGCGTGATCGAAGGGATTTCTCCAGGGTTGGCTTCATGGTCCAGCATCCACTACCAAAGAGGAGAACGGACTCGACTGACACGTAGAAGAAGCTGGGTTCGATTTGGCAGCACGCCCTCAACCAAAACGCCACTCTATAGCCACAAATAATGCTCAGAACAGCACCTAACTTCATCAACAGGACATACAGGGTCACAGACATAGTACTAGACACCAAACATCTTTTTAACTTTGACTCATTTCTTTAGCAAAGAGACTAAACACAACTCACCTACTCTCTTCCAGTAGCCGCTTGTTTGTACAAAGACCTTCGGGCCAGTCCATTACAGACTACAGCGGGGTGCCGCAGCTCAAGGAAGAACATTCCATGCACACTATCAACATCCACACCTAAATCCATGAGAATTTTTCAACTGTAGTTATAGCGCCACCCGGTGGAAATAAACGGTATTGTTTCCTCTTCTTTGGAAACTATGATATCCACAGTCTCAAGACATCTTCATTTTGTTGGTGGTTAAAGCGCCCACTGTTGGAGACAAGCGGTACAGTTCAGTGTTCCCCCGTTACCGTGTATAAGTTTGAACGTTTTCCTACACAGGAATATAAGAGGGTCCGACAGGATTTGATGCGTTCGTTGAAGACTCAAACAAGTCGACAATAACGTTGTGTGTTGTCGTGCTCACACAGTGTGAGTAGAAATCATTAGCGGCGCATTAATATTAATAATCATGTGAAATTTTTGTAGTGGCAGTGCACGTAATCCATGAAGATTCATCTGGCCTGCAGATGATTGTCACAGCCGTGAAGATTCCTGGTGGTAAAAGCGAGTACTGCAACATATTTGTTCCACTTCCTGCTGCACAGTTATGGTGGTGACAGACTTACAAAGGTGTGAGGACTTGACCTCTAATTAGGCAATTAAAATCTACAAATTATCAATATTTATGAAACTAAAGGATCCTCATATCTACTCAGAAGGTTCCTGCTAGAACAAAGAGGTTCTTCATGTGGGTGTGATGGGAGTGGGACTGGGATGCTTGAACCAGCTGGAACCACGGGGCCAAACAAGGTCACGACAGCATGAGGATCTCTGACATACGCCGAATATCAGCAGATTTAATTTCACTTCAGAAAAGATCTCAGTCAATAAGAACAGAAATCAGGATAAAGAAGATGAGGAATAACCGCGGCGACACTTCAACATCATCTCCTGTCACTGCAGAGCAGATGCTTCCTGAGTGTCCGCCGAGGCCTCGCCTGCGCCAGTTACCTCAGTGTGAGTCCTGCTGACAGCTCGTCAACATGACTGACAAGCCAGGGGACGAGCGGACCGACGGGGACGCAGGCGGGAGAGAATACATTTACCGCCACAGGTTGACAAGATGCAAACTGTCACGAGAATCGACTTCATGAATGTCAAACGCCATTACCGTTAAACCGAGGCTGCGCCGAGCGTGTGGAGGATTCCCAGATAAAATATGATGTTACACCGACAGAGGGAACAAAAAAGTGACAACTCGGAAAGGACACGTTTCAGACGGACTGATTTTAGAGGAAACCCACTGTAATTAAGGCGGATCCAATCAGGTCCCTTTACTCCCTCCGTCCCTCGGTTGGTTTTGATAAAAATAGTCCACAAACTCAGGATTCGGACGGCGTTAGAAAAAGAGACGTTATGAGGCGAAGACTGACCCGGGACAGCTCAGCGGATCGCTTTGGACAGCTCCCAGACAGCTGTAAACAACCTCCCCGTCCCCTACCTCCCCCCCGTCACTTTTCATCCGGCGCGGTGAGATCTGGATTGATTCTGACAGGCAGAGTTATTAAAACACAAAACCCTCACATCCCAAAATGTCCGTGACACTCCTGGGAACTGACACCGCCAGCAGGACAGACGCTGAACAGGTGACCGATTCTCCGATTAAGACGCGTAAAATCGTTTCCATTCTTTCTGCTGCGCCTCATCGTGAGATGATGGTTGAGGTGAGGGTCTACAAAGAAAATCATCCAAATTATTATTAAATTTTGCTTTCAAAGTCACTGCAAAATTTTTATAGGTCAAAGTGCAAAATCTTCAGTTCCTTCTGTGTCCACTAGAGGCAGGCTGTGTTTTATCAAAATGCTAATTTTCAAAGTTAAGGGTGGGTTAGTCAAGATCTGATGAAGTTCCAGTTTTTAGCAGAAATCTTGAACATAAACTCTACCCCTCCCAACCAGTTTTCCCCTCAGCTCCTCCTCTCCCCTCAAGCCCCGCCCACAAACAGACGCTCCTGCTCGCTCGTATCGTTCCAGTTAAATTCAGATATAATGCAGATAAATACTTCAGATCATTACAAATGGGGCCCAGTCAAGGTGAAAGTCAAAAGCATTGGTGCTACTGTAGATGCCAACAGACTACCAGCAAACACAATGTTTGCAGGACTTCTACAACGAGGATAAAGTGACATAGTCCAGGACCCGAGGGAGGACAGTTTAGCGATGGAGCTACAACACGCTACAGCAGGTCCGTTTGACAAGAAACACTTCTGTTACAGACACTTGTCTTACTTTGTTAAAGCGGTTTACCTGTCCAGCAGAAAGGTTACAGGGTCACCAAGATCCCCAAGCGTCCCCCATCGTTTATGTTGACCCGGCTTTTTAGCTCTTGTCCGGTCTACCTCCGTTTTAAGCGCCCGTTATTCCTCCAGAGTCTCCGGTATTTACTTTGTTTTCTTGCTTGTGTCGGCAGTCGTGGCCAAAGGAGGATTCAGACAATTTTCCCAACTTTCTGGTTGGTTTCTACTGTCCGATATTGTAGCACGCTAACTTTGTTTGGGCTCCTGAACGACACAGGGGAGCAGCGCTTTCTTGTTGACTGTTTTCTTGTTGACTGTTTTCCTGTTGACTGTTTTGGTGTTGACTGTTTTCTTGTTGACTGTTTTGATGTTGACTGTTTATGGTTGACTGTTTTCTTGTTGACTGTTTTGGTGTTGACTGTTTTCTTGTTGACTGTTTATGGTTGACTGTTTTCTTGTTGACTGTTTTCTTGTTGACTGTTTTGATGTTGACTGTTTTGATGTTGACTGTTTTCTTGTTGACTGTTTTCTTGTTGACTGTTTTGGTTTTGACTGTTTTCTTGCTGACTGTTTATTTGTTGACTGTTTTCTTGTTGACTGTTTTCTTGTTGACTGTTTTCTTGTTGACTGTTTTGGTTTTGACTGTTTTTCTTGCTGACTGTTTTCTTGTTGACTGTTTTCTTGTTGACTGTTTTGGTTTTGACTGTTTTCTTGTTGACTGTTTTCTTGTTGACTGTTTTGGTTTTGACTGTTTTCTTGTTGACTGTTTTCTTGTTGACTGTTTTCTTGTTGACTGTTTTCTTGTTGACTGTTTATGTTTGAGTGTTTTCTTGCTTGTGTCGGCAGTCGTGGCCAAAGGAGGATTCAGACAATTTTCCGAACTTTCTGGTTGGTTTCTACTGTCCGATATTGTAGCACGCTAACTTTGTTTGGGCTCCTGAACGACACGGGGGAGCAGCGTCTGCCTCACATCCAATCAGGTTAGAGGAGGTGGAGAACGGCTTTGTTTACAGTCAGAAAGAGCGGGCCAGATATTGTTATATTATCAAATGTCATTGATAACTAATAGCTATTGACTGATATTAAAAGCTTTTTTGCTTCTTTAACGGATTCCTGCCGACTCCACCTTTAAACACAGTTTTGTCTGAGCAGAAATCTAAGAAATTCAGAATGATCAAAATAGTATTTTTTACTTTTACAATAAGGATGGGTTAAAAATAATAAAATAACAGCTGACTCAGACTAAACTCGGACTTGAGTCTCACAGTTGGTGACTCGACTACAACTTTAGGTACCTTAGTGATGAACTCTGATAGGAAACTCACCATCTTTGTCGTCCTGAAAAGCGAGACTCAACCCTTGATTTACCCCATAAATAAGAAATACACCTCTGTAATACTCTGAAATCACCACATCTCTAATATTCAGGTAAGACTTATAACAAACTGGTCATTGTAGGAGATCAAGACTAGAGGTGCAGCCACGTCTGTTTGTTTTGTTCACGTGAATCCAGTTCAAAGAACGAACCTGCAGCCCCCTGAAAAAGCACCAACAACATCCTCCGTGAGCACACCGTGGACGCCTGACAGCCTTCATACATTTCAAGAGCAATTAAGTGTGTAACCGCGGCCCCGCCGTAACACACGAAAATCTAAGTGCAAAAGCACACAGGAGCAAATTAATGAGCCAATCACCTCCAGTGTCACTCAAGGGGGTTCGGCCTCTTCATATCGTGGAGCACACTTCATTAAGGAAATTGCAACCTGCGCTATTGTCGCCGTAAAGTCTTCCTCGGATCTTCACAGGGAGGTGTGTGAATCATCTCTGCGGAGTGAAAGGAAAACTGCACGGGTGATTTGGTGCAAAATGGAACAATTTACAAGAGTTTCCGTGCCATAAAACCCGGCACTACATCGAGCTTCGCAGGTTTAAAGGAGAATAAGCAGATCTACTCAGAGTGATGGCTGAGGCGAGCACTCGGCTTTATTATGTCCTGACGTTTGACTTACAAGGCCGATCCGTTTGATGAGGCGGAGTAAGATTGGCGGCAAAGAGCCAAAAGAAAAAACAAACCATCAAACTCTTCCTTGACCTTCTGCGAGGAGCGGTAAATAAAAGGAGGTCGGGATGATTTGTGCGCAGATGAACTTTCTCCGAGCACTGAATCAGCTTTCATGAGAGGGTCCGTGTGCAGGAAAAATCCAGACTTAGATTCAAAGTCCAAGAAACGGCGTCAAACTCTCCACTCATTCGTGGGTATTTGAGGGGGTCAAGGAGCAGTACTCAAACTGGATCCGACTCTCTTAAACCTCTGTGGCTCCGGTCCAATTTCTAAAACAGAAAGCTCTCAAAACAAATGCGCTGCAGGTCTCAGAGGACGAGTCCCTGTTTTAGTTTAATACATCACAAAGCTTTGGGGATCTCCGCACAGGTAATTACAGAGAGGACACTAAGAGGCTCAGCTGTTTGTTTCAGGATCTGCTCAACTTAACACAGTCTATCAGTGACTCTTACGCTTTGGCAGCGATATTAGAAAGCCTTTTTTTGCACTGAATACACCCTGATGTGTTAATCTGACTGATTTAAATAAACTATTCAGTCTCTAGTTCTGACTCTGACTCTGATTCACCATTACATCATCTTTTTTGCTGACTCAACCATCAGCTGACCGCTTGCAGGTACTCTAGTTGCTAGGGGACTTTTCTCGTTGCCAAGGAGATTATTCAAATGTGAGCATCTGGCTGCCGGTAAAACAGAAAGTTTTAACAAATACAAATCAAACTGAGATCATCATTAATAAACTCACTTAACATTCGACTTAAAACCTCTTTGAAACTTAAAATCAGACAGCCTCTCTCTTTCTCATTAACGTTTATTCTGTCCCTTTGCTTTTCAGGCACACCTGACTCCTCCTCTTAGCAAGTTTACACTGAATCTTGGGATATTAAAATTGTTAGAATTTAAAGTCAGCACGGCCTAACCCTAACCTTAAGTCAGCACAGCTGCAACAGGATCTTAAAGGGATATTCCACAAACCCACCATAACACAGAGTTAGACCCCCCCTCCAGAGATGAATGTTGTCGACCGCTTGCTTCTCTAGTTATACCAACTTTAGTAACGACCGCAGGATAGCAATACAGAGAGACACGCCCCCAACCAAAACGCCACTCTATAGCCACAAATAATGCTCAGAACAGCACCTAACTTCATCAACAGGACATATAGGGTCACAGACATAGTACTAGACACCAAACATCTTTTTAACTTTGACTCATTTCTTTAGCAAAGAGACTAAACACAACTCACCTACTCTCTTCCAGCAGCTGCTTGTTTGTAGAGAGACCTAGTCCATTATGGACTACAGCGGGGTGACGCAGCTCAAGGAAGAACATTTATGATCACATGTCTGTGACCCTATATGTCCTGTTGATGAAGTTAGGTGCTGTTCTGAGCATTATTTGTGGCTATAGAGTGGCGTTTTGGTTGGGGGCGTGGCTCTCTGTATTTCTATCCTGCGGTCGTTACTAAAGTTGGTATAACTAGAGAAGCAAGCGGACGGCAACATTCATCAGAACATCCCTTTAATATATAATCCAATATGGCATATAGGGCTGTAAAGTTCTAGTCCGTTGGTCGACTTATTGGTCGATACGAGCTGAGTCGACCAAAATTCTGATTGGTTGACTCAATTTCTTTCTGCATCAATTTACTGTCAATATGGTAACGTGATTATAATGCATTATACGTTATGCGTAATAGAGATAGGTGTCAAGTTAAGTGTTATCATAATATTAGTGTTTCATTGTCGTCTTCTGTTGATATTCGTGTATTTTCACCCGATTCAGTCGATTTTTGGTTTGAAAATTTCAGCGTTTTCGTCGACCAAGAATGTCTTTGAGCGATTATATCCTTAATGGCATCAAACCGTCAGCTGACAACAGAGCATCTCTGAACTCCCATGATTCATCACCACAGAGTCTGCTGCCTCATGTACAGTCGAGTGCGAGCGCCGCAGACTGCAGCAGGACGGCGCTCCTGTTGTTGTTGTTGTTGATGTCGCTGATGTTGTTTTGTAGATGGTTTCCAAGGAAAGCTGCAGGACTCCCCTGAGACAAAACAGTGAGAAAAGACGCCTGCAATTAAGCAAACAGGCCTGCTCACACACACACGCACACACACACACACACACGCACACACGCACGCGCTCAGAGTTCATTTGCATGCACAGAGCCGCAGAAATAAACATCTCTTTCTCCTTCACTCGCCTGTAAGGTCAACGCTAATCACAGTTTTGCAAAGCGAGTGGGTGAAGAGGCGGACAGCCTGCAGGAGAAAAGAGGAGGATGACGGAGATGAAGATGAAGAAGATGAAGAAGGAAACTGGTAATGGTGAAAGGAGAAGAAAGATAAGGGTGTAGAGAAATGATAAAACGAGGGGTGAGGTGAGAGGAGAGAGAGATAAGAGGAAGAGAGGATGAAGGGAGGGAGGGATGTTTGGGATCAGAGATGAAAGAGTTATGTAAGGCAGGGAGGTGGGCAGGTGAAGGGTACGGAGCGTGAAGAGAGGAGAGAGCGAGCATGAAAGACAAGAAGAGAGAGAGAGAGAGGAAAGGATGGATACGTTAGAGAAGAAGGAAACAGAGAGGTGAGAGAGGTGGAAGTTAATTTAAGGAGATAAAAACAGAGAAGATGAGGATCATAAAAGTGATCTCGAATCAAACATGATTGTTTCTGTCGGCTCTTCTTAAGACAGACTGAACATTAAACTAGCTCGGTAATATTTACATTAAAGCACATTATATACCTCACTTATGTTTCCTTTATAACAACACCTCTCTTAGATGATGAGAGGGTGAACATGGATCACTCTACAGATGATGGATGAGAAGTCCGACCCTTCGTTTGTCAAGATCTTTGGTGCATTTTAGTGTTTGTGAATCCTCCTGAATTAGGGTACGTTTTGTTAAGTAAATGTCATTATTCTGATCTGTAACGTCTCACTACTGTCCTCGTTTCCCCCCTCTTAACTCCCCTTGATAATTATACTTACACCACCTATTTCTATTTACGTCCTCCTCATTAGTGGAACCAGATCAACCCTCCAAAGCTCAGGAGGGTTCGGTGATCTTATTTGTCTCCTCACATCTCCGTACGCAGCTCATTAATCCTGATGGAAAACAACTCATGCCACTGCTAAATGAATCTGGCACAGTGGTGCGCTTCCTTTCTCCAACTCTGGTTACACAACCTCTCAGAAAAACAGCAGGTAGAAAACGGTCTCCGTGTTAAAAGTCTGTCAACGTGACGATATTTAACTGAGTTAAACAACTTTGACAGAGTGATCGTTTCCAGACTCAAACTTAAATTCTTAAAAAAAACGATAAAGCGTATTGAGAAAAGGTTGTCGGTCACACATTTGTGTCTCCTAGATGCACCATAGAGAAGCCGAAAACGGACTCTATCCACCGATCCACGACTTCCTGAACTTAAGTCAGCTCCTTTATTTCCTGTCTTACATTATTGGACAAACTGATTAATCAGGTGTGTCTGCCACTGGAAAATTGGCAGACACCTAACAAATGGCAGTGGTTTTTGGTGTCTGCCAATTCCTACCAGATCCGTCGGTGAGGCGAATTTCGTGGCCATTTACGGACAGCAGGAATCAGGAGAACTCATAAGAACCTGTAGATTCACGCGAAGTCACGCGATGAGTTGTCTCTTAGCCACAGAGGGTAACCATATAAGCAGTAGATTGTGTCAGGGGGCAACCGCCGTTCCGACATCCCGCCATTCCGACATTGGTCTCGAACTGTTGAAGTGGCGGTATGTTACCATGCTATCAATCTCGTCATTCCGACAGCTCTCGTCTGCTATGGTCGGCCGCGGAGCCCTCTGGGTCGCGCCCAGCTACGCTCGGGATTAAATGACAGACTCCAGATGTGAATGCGCATCTCCCACCCCCCACTCCCTTAGCTTCGTCGGAATGCTGAGATGTGGGAGTGGCAGCATGTAACCGATTGTGTGCTGAATTTATCCGCCATGCTCCGGCGTCCAGAAAAAATAGAACTCTTGTGATCAGCTGAGGAGTCCGGCAATCCGCAGAGGAACGGAAAGAAGTCGGTGTAAATTGACACGTTAACTTAATGGTTACGATCAGCAGATACGGCTTTTTGTAGCTTTTCTGGATGCGGTTGAAATTGGGGGTAACAGGTACTGATAAACATAATCCCATCTCTTTATGAATTTGCCCCAGTTTTCATCTTGATCGATGTTTGAATAAAGATTTAGAGGATCTTCCACCATCACTTCCAGTTTTCCTGAACCAGAGATGATGTTTAACTTAAATAAACTGATCTAGATTCATTTATGAGAGCGTCTTTGGGAGTTTTCAAGGAAAAGTCTGTGTTTGAATGTAACCCTGCTCCAGGCGGAGCTCAGGAGTCTTTCATGATGGATGAGTAAAGCAGCATCTGGAGTAAATGTTTGTTTTTGTCTTTTATTCCTTCAGGCGGACGCTCACACGATGACCCCTGAGGTTTCCTGGCCAACCTGAACACACAGGAACCTCCCCGCGTGTCGCTAACAAGCTAGCCGAGCGTGGCGGGGACGGCTCTGTCAACAATGAAATCATCCGGCTCTCTTAATGAGTCCCTCTGCAACCCGACGCCTCCGTGACAAAACCAGAATGTCTGGACTGTGTTTACCCCGCTGCCCTTGAAGAGAGGAGGAGGAGGAAGAGGAAGATAGATTAAACGATAAATGAGAGAAAATGAAGGTAGAGAGAAAAAGAGAAAGATAAACAAATAAAAGAGCGCAGAACAGACTGAGTTTTATTTTGTAGGAGTCGGTTCCTTGTGTTTCTCGTCTGGTTTTACTTCTCTAGTTTTCTCTCCTTCGTTAATCACTCATGGGTCTCACCTGTGTCTCGTTTACCTGTGTGCGTTTATGCAGTCCCTGTCTTCCCCTCTGTCCTTGTTGGTTTATTGTATGTCGTTGTGTGTTCATATTTGTGATCTATTTCTGTCTTTTGTTTGGATTTTGTTTCTTGTGTTCTTTGGAAGGAAGTTTTTTGTTGGTTTTTATTTCATTCTTTTAAATAAATCATTTTTTGTTTTGCTTTTGAGTCATTTTTTTGGTTATTCAACTCTGCCTGGTTACAAAAATAAGAGTCTGAGGAGTTCATGGACTCCAAACATTCTAATAGGTGGAAGTGCAGCAACAACGTCCTGTCCTGCAATCCGGGCGACAGCATCGTTTTACCTCAGGACTCTGCTCTCCCCTTTCTTCGGCAGGATAACAGAGTCATGGGAGTTTGGAAAAAAAAAACTGGTGAAACTTTCTTAGACTTCAAATATTAAAGCAAAAAAATAAATAAAAAATGGACAAGAAATCTGTCTGATTTATCTGCTTTGCAAGATTACTTTCAGGTGAATCTTGGAATTTTATGAAGCAGCATTTATTTACAGTGAAGAGAACTCATTTTTCTGTTTTCTGTTCCTTAAATTTAATCAGCTGCTGCGAAAGATCTCCAAAGAAAGCCCTTCTGCATACATCTCCTCCCAAAGAGACTGTAATTGGATTCAGTGATCTGAGTGACTGTTAGCTCTGTCACCTAATAGCATCCCTGGTTTAACAGGCTGGGTCTGAGTCTGTGTCTCCTCATGGATGAGTTCCTTCTTACTACTCTGGCTCCTTCACTTTAGGTCTAAATACTTGTTTGTCGGGTTAACTGGTAACTAAATAAGTGAGAGCAAACGCAAAAACAAACTCAGTGACAGCTGGGTAAACCTACAGCAAACAGAAGTGGAGATAAGAGGTGGACAGATGATCTATGGACTTATTCTATCCTCACTATCTAAGGCGGGGAGAGCAGCAGCTAACCCCCAGTTTCCACCGCATCCAGAACAGCTATGAAAAGGTCGTATCCTCCGATCGTAGCTGATTGTAACCATTCAAGTTAACGTGTCAATTTTCACCGACTTCTTTCCGTTCAGCTGCGGATCGCCGGACTCCACAGCCGATTGCAAGAGTGCTGGAAAGGAACTCGAGCACAAAAACAAAATAAAACATCCGGCTTCCTTTCAAAATAAAACACTCCCAAGTGAAAGGTTTTTAGACGTCATTTCACCCCGATGACACCATGGATGAGGAGATGCTGATTCTAGAAGTCTAGAAGTAGATTTCCTCCTCTGGAAGGACACAATCTACTGCTTATATGGTTAGCCTACGCAGCTAAAGACAACTTGTTATCTCCCGATTGCACATGATTCCTGCTGTCTGCATGAAATTCACCTCGCAAACTGATCTGGTAGGAATTGGCGTACGGCCGTTCTGGATCGGAGGCGTTCCAGTTGCGGTGGAAATCCCGGGTAAGACAGAACCTTGTAGGACTGCGCAGGCATCAATGGTAACCCATATGACATTGGAAAATCAACCATAGCATGAAACGGAGGGACTGGGTTTGAAAAGAGGTTCGCAGAAGACGTGGTCACGATGTCAGCCACTGAGCTGAGCTCGACTTCATAACCTGCCTGAACTAACACCTTGCAGGTTTAAACCCCACTCCTCGTCCTCATCCTCTCGGACTGTTTTCCAAAGCTGCGTCCGCCTGTATCAGTGTCACTCTGTCACTCACCCCGTCATTACGAACCTCCACCCTCAGTGTCCATCTGTCAGGAGATATTTCACGCTCCTGTGAGCAGATGTTGCAATAGACGGCAACACTTCATCCTCAGATGGACTGCTCTCTTTCCTGACGGACGCAAACACATGAATCGAGTGTTTTTGTGTCCAGGAATACAGAAATGTTTGGAAAAGTCGAGCAGATTGTGGTGAAAATGACAAATCCTGATATCAGCCTGTCGATTCGAGAGCGAAGTACGCTCTTAGTCTTCGGTTTTGATCTATGAAGGGGAAACCAGGATCAACAACCGAGCTCTCTATCTGGAGGAAACCTGGCAGCGCTCATCATTGGCACAGAAAACCTGAAACGCACACACACACGCGCTGGAAAGGTAGACTTAATTAAAACCTGCTAAAGAGCGCCCAGGAGCTCAAAGCGGGCCAAACTGAGTCATCGTCGGAGAGTTGATAACCTTAAACACACGGCCAAGACGATGAATCAATAGATCAGGGACGACGATGTGACTGTCCTTCAAAAACTCGGACAAAGACGGATTTTGAAGACCTGAGAACGGTGGTCTACATTTGGTCCCAATCCAACAAGCCCAGAGAGACGACAGACCCAGAAAGGTTTGGACGCTTTTTGAAGGTCCTGTGAGGGAATCAGTGTCGCCAACTCCGCAGTAAGGAAAGTAGCTATTGACTGTCCTAAAAGTCACTCGAAATCGCTAAATGACGTCATCGCCTAATTTGCATAATTGACCAAATTGTAATGGATGCTGTGAGGGAGAGGAAGAACATCGTGGAAGAGACAAAAAGTAGGAAGAAAAACATCCCTAAGATGTTTAGAAATATTTTTAGTTTTGTTTGGTTCAAAAAGAGACAATAGAAAAAAACTGTCGATAGAGATGTGAGACGATCTTCGTCTGGCCCTAACGCAGGTTCATTGTATTTTTTTTCGTTAGGGATAGGGTGAAGTTGGAGTGCACACATCTCGGGATGGAAATCGAGAACCGGTTCTTTTTGAGAACTGGTTCCAAATGGTTAAATCTATCGACATCATTTACATTTTATCTTTTACACGATTCCCTTAACAATTCGTCTCTTCCGGGTGCATTTAAAAACGGTTTCGTGAGTGCCAGTCTACGTGAAGAACAGAGACGGAGAAAAAAGCAGACTCAATGAAAAGTCGGCAGGAACGATCTAAAGCGTGACTTAATTTTACAACGAGAGACGACAACAGCGCAACATGCTTACACATTTGTCAACGGGGCACGGCATCAAATACAGTTTTTTCTGTTATCAGAGACTCAATAAAATTTTGAGTTAACGATGAAAACCTATAGCCTACCTTTAAAAAAAAAAAAATCAAATAAAGGGAATCGATAAAGAATTGAATCGATAACGGCATTGATATCGATAAAATCGTATCAATTCCCATCCCTGCACACATCTCCTCTGACTGCAGCTGCGAGGGACCGCTGTAACCCACGGTGACTCGGCCCCCTGTGAGCGCTGTGGGATGAGGTTGAGGGTCACGGCAGCACACGCTGCTCGTTAAGAAGAGTAGGTGATACGTGCTTGAACGTCAGCGTCTCCAATGACCCCACAAAAAGTCGCTCGATTTGTCGCTTTTTTGAATATTAGTTGCCAGAGGGGTCTGAAAACTTACTAAATATAGCGACAAAGTCACAGAGTTGGCAACACTGGAGGAAATAAGTTCTTTGTTGTTGCTGAGAAAGTCACGGTTGTGATTAATCTGCAACAACAAAGTATGAAAATGTTGTATAAAGTAAATTAAATCTCCGGGGTGAAAACGGGTCGTTGTACCATCGGTGTCGTCGTGTCGAGAAAGAGATGAGATATCTTTATTATTCTTCAGAGTCACGAGGTAAACTCAGATCATAACAACACAACCTCTGAGCGTTGATGAACAGATGTCCGTTTACAGCGTAGGTGACGATGTTTTAAGGTACTAAAGCTTTTGCCAACAGATGGAGAATCGCTGAATGATCACGTCAAAGTCATTTTCTGACAGTACAGGCGATAAATCCACACGGGAACCTGCCGAACAAAACACAGCAGGAATTTTAATGAAGTCACGACGCTGAAGGTCACATTGTCGAAGTTTTTAATTGATGTAATCAAGCGTCGAGTCGAACAGTAGCTGGGTGGTGATGAACATACAGGGACGGGACAGCTCAGGTCCTCTCAGGTCAACGCCACGTTGATGAAGCTTTGTTAACTTACAATTAGTGCAACTGAAAGGGTGGGAGAGCGGGTGTAAATATACCCTCACAGTCGGGGTACATACGCATAAATGCATGATGAAGAGGTATAATCTACATACTCAATGTGATCAGCAGGCCAAGCAAACTTAGAGCGACCTCACTGTTATTACAGCCATGTGCAATTACGCCGCTGAAGGGCCGGGATCATTAGTATACATTATGTGGCTCAGGCTCCTCTCTTGCATAACTGAATATTTCTCTCACAGCGGCTTAAATAAGCGGCGGTGTAAAAAGGTTTCCTACATCATCACCGATATATCAGTCCAAATGTTAATCAAATCAGAGGTCAGGCGCCATTATGACAGAATCAAGGTTTGACAAAACACCGCCGTGACCTTATTACCTTCAGATTTCCATGTCATTTCCATTTCTCGTTCAGGTTCCTGTGCTGGATTTAGACGGCTGCAGTGGTGTTGAAAAAGGGTCTCTGTTAGGTCTAAAACCTGCAACATTTACCTGATAACATATAAAGAAGAGAAAGACAATGGTATATAATCGAGGAGAATGGACCGAGATAGCTTCAGGTACCATGTCGAAACCACTCTGAAAGGTATTTCCGCCCAGTCTCTTTTATTTAGTCTTGTCCCTGGTTACACAATGTTTCTAAAAGGGTGGAGAAAAATATGTGTAGCAACGTAAGCACTCTCATAAAGCATAATAATTAGCAACTTGTGAATATGTGAAGGTCAAGGCGGCATCTAACGAGCTCCTTCTGATAACAGCGGCACCTCCTCAAAAACTCCCCACGATTTATAGCGGAGGATCCATCACTCACACACCCCCACCTGCTGATAGGAAAGACACAGTCACAGAAAACTGAAAGAACATTGTTCTGCTGTGTAGTAAATCTATTGGAGAGAGAAGTTAGGAAACACTCTTATATGATAAAAATACTCTTATATAATGTATTAAAAGAGGTCAAAGCAGTTTACACTTGTAGTATAAACTCTTACATAAGAATATGAGGAATAATGATAACTTCTATATACATTTATGCACATTATTCTAACAGTCTCACTGCATGGAGGGAAACCGTTCCTCTGCACAAAGTCAAAGTCAAAAGACTCGAACCTCGACTTGAAGTATTTGTTCAAGAAAAAATGGACTGAGGAGAAGAAATAGAAGACCCTAACATGACATACAGCGAAGAACAAATTAGGGCTGGGCGATATGGACCTCAAATCAATATCATGATAAATTGAGCAGTTTGCCTCGATATCTATAAATATGACGATAACTCCACAAGCTGCTCACCCCCTCATACATTAAAGGGATATTCCGACATAAAATTAAGGGTCAAAAACATCATAACACCGAGTTAGACCCCCCCTCCAGAGATGAATGTTGTCGACCGCTTCCTTCTCTAGTTATACCAATTTTAGTAACGACCGCAGGATAGCGATACAGAGAGCCACGCCCCCAACCAAAACGCCACTCTATAGCCACAAATAATGTTCAGAACAGCACCTAACTTCATCAACAGGACATATAGGGTCACAGACATAGTACTAGACACCAAACATCTTTTTAACTTTGACTCATTTCTTTAGCAAAGAGACTAAACACAACTCACCTACTCTCTTCCAGCAGCCGCTTGTTTGTAGAGTCCATTATGGACTACAGCGGGGTGCCGCAGCTCAAGGAAGAACATGTATTATCATTTCTTTTTTGAAATACAATCAGACCGAGTTTATCATTAGTAGATCGTAAATGTTCTTCCTTGAGCTGCGTCACCCCGCTGTAGTCCGTAATGGACTCGCCCAAAGGTCTCGCTACAAACAAGCGGCTGCTGGAAGAGAGTGTCCTCTTTTATCCAGACATGTCCTCTTTTTTTTTGTCTGGGGGAGTTTTTAAAATCCTTCAAACGTCCAGGGTTTGGTAAGGAAGTTTCGAGTTTGTGTCGCAAAAAAAATATGATCCGACCTGAAAAACTCTCAAAATAAACTACACGCGATTTCGTGACTCCCTCATGTGGTTATATCCTCTTTTTTGGGATTCAGAATATGGTCACCCTACTTTGTGACGCCCCTGTAGGATCATGCTGCTGCAGGCGTGTCTTGTTGGTCTCAGAGTAATCTTGCACACCTGGGCTCTGGCTGCTGCGGGTTATTGCGCTCTCCTCCTGTCTCCTGGCCTCCTTACAGGAACTTTGTTTTGGTCGGTTTAGTCGCAGTTTGCTTTATACAACACCCGCGCACACCTGATTTACACACCTCATTTCTTACATATTCTAATTTGATTCATTTCTAATCTTGTGCATCGTGTGTGTCTCCTCTTTTTTGGTATGACCACCTAAGCCGGGTCATTCCTCATCTGTTTATGAGTAAAATACTTTGATGTGTAAAAACTGTCCCTGAAGACTGCTCTCCGATTCCTGAGTCTCCGCCCTGACCCTTCATTACACACAGAGCAGTTATCGTTGTCAACAAAGGCGAACCCTCATGAGGAAACAGGAGCGGCTCAGACTGACTGGGCTCTTAATTGAAAATGACAGGGCTGTAATGGTGGACCCGCTGTGATTAGGCTAATTGGTTCTGTTATTACACAAAAGCCAGAGGAGCAAATAAAGTCGGTGCCGCTCAGTGTTACATTATACATTTAGATTATTAAAAATCAGACGATAGAATAAGACGAATAAGAATAATACATGGACTGATTTTCGGGGTATTTTCGGTCAGCATGTTTCCTCCTGCAGGTGTTTCCTGGAGTCAGCAGATTTACTGTCCAGTCTGCAGTTTGTTTAACAAGCAGGTGCATCAAATCAACAAACCGTTCATATAAGACGCTTTTGTTTGCTTTCTGTGGAGGTGTCTCAGCGCACTTCACGTTCGCAGAAGGATAAATGAAAAGTTTCAGATGTGTCTTTAAAAGCTCCGAGTTCACCTGTCCCCCCCGTCTGAAACCGCCGCTGAGCGTGCACTTTAATGCAACGGCGGTGACGAGGGAACGCCATCCTTCTCTCTGAGCTGTGTAGGTGTAAGCTGAGACGACAAATTTATGAGTGTGTGTGTTTGTTTGTTTGTGTGTGTGTGTGTGTGTGTGTGTGCACCTGTTGTGAGCAGGAAATCATGTCAGCTTTATGAGATCAGTGGGTGTGAAATGAGCTGAGAGAGCAATTTTATTAGCCCAGGGTTAATATAGCCTGTGTGTGTGTGTGTGTGTGTGTGTGTGTGTGTGTGTGTGTGTGTGTGTGTGTGTGTGTGTGTGTGTGTGTGTGTGTGCACTGAGCATCCTAAACTCCCAGTTTGAGTCTCCTCACCCCCCCTCTGGCTTTGAGGGGAACTTCAGACACATCTCACAGCAACTGCTTGGTTATTTATTCTGACATCCTCAGTGTTTCTGTGTCAGTAGCCGCCTCCTGCCACCGTCTCCTGCCGTCCTCTTTAATGAAGCCAATTTCACCACGAGTCTGATTCCCTCAAATGGTTTTTTTCTGCAAAAATGACGTTTTGAGTAGAAATGAATTTTGAGTTGTCATCATCATAAAATCTGATTTTACAGATTTTTTCTGCAAAAATATTCACACAGACCCAAATTTAAATGAATTTTGAACAAAACAGGAGAATAAAATCAGAATACTGAATTTCTAATCATTTTCCACCTTTACTCTGTTTAAGGGATATTCCGAGTTAGACCCCCCCTCCAGAGATGAATGTTGTCGACCGCTTGCTTCTCTAGTTATACCAACTTTAGTAACGACCGCAGGATAGAAATACAGAGAGCCACGCCCTCAACCAAAACGCCACTCTATAGCCACAAATAAAGCTCAGAACAGCACCTAACTTCATCAACAGGACATATAGGGCATGATCTACTGAGATCCAAAATAGCGAGCGCTAAATTGCGTGTTCAAACTAAAAAATTGCACATGCTATTAGTGGGCCTGTTGCGGGTGATCTACTATCATTGCGTGCACAAAAGTGGTGCGGACCGCCCTTTTTAAATGAGTATTTTGCGTGCGCCATCGGCTGCAACCATGGAGAGTTTGTGAGAGCAGAGTGGTCGTAGATGAAAAATAAAGTTTGGAGCCATGGAGTTGCACATATCGTTTTGGGGAACTGCATAAAAGTCAAGGGAAGTTTATTTGTGTAGCACTAGAAACCAAAAAAGGGATTAAAACGGTTTTAAATCAATAAGACAAACAGATAATTTTTTTCATCTGTTCTGTGTTTGACCTTATTATTTATGAAAATCATCATTTACCAAAAAATGAAATAAATCATGAGCTTTTGGACACGGATCATGGTGTGTATACCTCAGACCAGTCTATTACGGACTACAGCGGGGTGCCGCAGCTCAAGGAAGAACATTTATGATCATTTCTTTATCATTTCCTTAAAGTAATAATCATCATATTAATTATTTTTCTCTGCAGACGCGGTAGTTCTTCTGTCTTAGTGTCTTGGTCTGATCACTGGACGCCACAAGATTAAAATTAAAATTTCAAGCTTTATTTTAAGGAATCAAAAACAAGAGAACCAAAAAGGACTGAAGACCCTAACCTGGTTTCAATCGTTCCCTCAGGTTATAGAGGTCTGTGCATGAGGGCGTCAAGAGACCCCTATATGCTGATGAGATTGATTCCTCTCTCCCCCTCTCCCTCTCTCCCTCTCTCCCTCTCTCCCTCTCTCCCTCTCTCTCTCTCTCTCTCTCTCTCTCTCTCTCTCTCTCTCTCTCTCTCTCTCGGGTGATTGCTCAGTTGTGCCTTGATTTAAAAAAAAAAAAAATACGGTGAGCACTTTGGACCAAAACTCAAAGACGGTTTACATTTTATATTCAGGAGGCTCCCGCCATCAAACCGTCTGCGCACGTGCTTTATTGCATCTGTGCGTGTGATGCCGTCTCTGTGTGTGTGTGTGTGTGTGTGTGGAGAGTCAATTTACGGCTAACTGGCCCCCGTCTCCTGAGACCGGTTTGTCGCTATGGCAACAGCTGGAGACAAAGATCAGGGTGGGAGAGATAAGACAGAGGAGAGAGGAGGGGTCAGGGTTAGAGATGCGCTGCATGTCTCTTTTTCTTCTTCAGCCTCGATCACAAACCGCCGACCCTCGCTGGTTTACATCCACTGATGAAATGTGTGTTTTATTTTTTTGGAAACCAGAGAAACACAAATACGAGCGAACAAGTCTGCCTCTTTTAGAAATCCAACACAACCTCTTCTCCGGCACAGAGCACAAACTCTGAAAAAACAGCTTTCAGTCCTTTGGGGAGGGGGTGCAACGTGTCCGAATGGGCAGTTGTTAGGCAACCAGCGAGACGACCATGAAATTTCTGGTCACATACAAGTTAACAAAGAGAATTCCCCAGAGTCAGTCCGACTGCAGCTGTTTCCCTTTGAAATATGACGGACCAGATAACCGCGTGCCGCCGTTTCTGATCTCCAGGAGCTCCGTGATAAACAGGGAGGGCTTTGATTTGACGCCTGCATTTACAAAACCTCTGCGCGGTCAATCAGCGAAGTCCTTTCTTCGCCATGCCTCATTACAGCTGCAGCTTCAGCTTCTTCACAGAAAGAGAGAGACTCATCGAGTAAGAATTCTGGGTATTCATGAGACGATACAGATTCAATCAGGAGCATCTTGTTACTTAGGGTGACCAAATTCTGAATCCCCCCAAAAAAAGGACACTACAACGTTGGGTGGAGTTGGTGGGTCGTGCAAAGTTAATTTTGAGGGTTTATCGGGTCATGTGTTTTACACGCTTCTAACCCCCAATTTTCACCGCATCCCAAACGGCTCCGATTTTCGCCATCCAACAATTCCTACTGGATCCGTTGGCGAGGCGAATTTCATTGAGGCAGATTTCGGACAGCAGGAATCGTGAAAACTCACAAGAATTCACGTTCAATTGCGCGATAATGAGTTGTCTCTCTAAAGACAGACACATAGACATATAAGCAGTAGATTGTGTCCTTCCAGAGGAGGAAATCTACTTCTAGACTTCTAGAATCAGCATCTCCTCATCCATGGTGTCATCGGGGTGAAATGACGTCTAAAAACCTTTCACTTGTTCGTCTCCGGAGTGTTTTATTTTGAAAAGAAGCCGGATGTTTTATTTTGTGTCTGTGCCCGACTTCCTTTCCAGCACGGGTTAATCTGTGCTGAATTTATCCGCCATGCTCCGGCGTCCAGAAAAAATAGAACTCTTGTGATCAGCTGAGGAGTCCGGCGAAATTTCGGTGTAAATTGACACGTTAACTTGAATGGTTACGATCAGCTACGATCGGAGGATACGACCTTTTAGGAGACGATCAGGATGAAGGTGGAAATTGAGGGCTAGGTACGACAGGTACGATCTCTTAGCCTCTGCGGCCGTCTTTATAGAGACAACTTGTTATCGCATGATTGCACGTGAATCCGCGGGTTCTTGTGTTCATTCCAGATCGGAGCCTTTCCAGATTCGAGGTAAATTGGGGGTAAGACTTTAGTGCACTCTCGTTTGGCTACATCATGGAGGTCGAGGAACTTTCTGCGCCCCAGGAGTGGCCTTGGTCGCAGCGCTCTGTGACACTCCACACATGATAAGAAAGAAGGAAGTTTTACAGCCAACCCTGTTGTAGTAGACGTGGTAGTGGCGGTAAAGTCTGACCTTGGCAGTCCTGCTCATGAAACACTTCCCACACTACTGGAAAAACTGTGAAATCAAACTAATTAAAACTACAAAGAGCTTCATGACTCTGTAAAATAACTCTCTCCTCTGTATTTAAACAGAAATGATCCGAACTTTGCAAATACGTTCGACAAGGACAGAGTGTGAGGGTTAACAGGGAGAACGAGCCGCTGCAGTCGTCGTAGTCGTCATAATAGATTAAGTACTTTAAGCTAATTGAGACGACATATTCCTGTCACGATGAAATTAGGTTTACTGCCTCCAGATGGAGGGAAATAAAAGAGGTGGAACAGAGGGAGGAATGAAGGGATGGAGAGAGGAGAGGTGGGGAAAGAGAAGTTTTTGAGGTACAAGCCAAACAGAAAGCAGAAATCCAATCTGACAACCTTGAATGGAACAAGACCTGCACTCAAATGATGTCTTTTACATTCAACTCATGTCATCTGAGAGGGGGGGGGGGGGGGGGGCAAACCTGGAGGTGAAGGGGTGTGTGGGGGGGGGGGGGGGGGGTTTCACAGGATTACAGGGAAGAAAGAGAGAAAGAGAGGAGGGGTGAAGAGAGGAGGGGAGGACAAGGTGACTGAAGGAGGAAGGAAGAGGAGATAACAGCGAGTTTGTCACGCCGTTTTCAGGAGGTGGTCTGGGGGGGGTACAGTATGAGTCAGATCCAGGTCCTACTCCTCTCTCCTCTCTCCCTCCATTAAACAGAACAAACACTGCAGCACCACATGTTGACTCAAAGACCCACAAAGTGGACTGATGGACCGAGGAGAGGGAGCCGAGCGCTGTAGTCCAAACAGACCGGACTCTGATCCGATCCTCTGGACCACTTCCTCACCCTGTCAGATCATCTAGACCAGGGGTGGGTGATGAACTTTTACATGGGCCTGAACTGTGTTGGAGGGCCGAACCAACAATAACTTCAACTTCAAATCAGGAGGTTCATTTAACAGGACAGCGAGTCCAATTAAACAACTACGAGTTAAAAACAAGCCAAAAAAAAAAGGGACTCACGAGTTTTACAAGCGACTTCTGAGAGAGCGGTGTCCTTTCATGTCAACAATTAGGAGAGTTTATCTCCTCGTACCCCCGTTAAAACACCATCAAACAAAGGCAGGGGAGGCTGCTGTCGCTCATTAGTGTGTGTTTCTTAAAATAACACACTATCCCACTTAGCACTGAGTAACACCACCCACTGACACTCATCACACTGTAAATCTGCACTTTTGGAGCCCTGGATGAAGAGTCTTTATTTTCTGGACGCAGCATCCATGTAGGACCTGCGGAGTCCCTCAGGGTCCTCATCCCGGACCTCTTCCATTCTTCTTCTACATCACTCTCCTCGTTTCTGAAGCTGCTGAGGTCTCGTCAAGCTTCCGTATAAATCCTCCGTTTGACCAGATTCAAGGTGAGAGCGCCGCCTTTAACAACGAGCTGGAGAGGATAAAAGTCAGCGCTCAGACGGAAATCCTCATAAAATCTTGAGCAGCAACATTTTATCATCCAAACAAAAGACAAGGTGAACGAGATGACTCATGTTCGGACAAAGCAAGAATGAAGACCGGAGCGGAGGGACGGATATCGATGTGAACAGCAGAGCTGCCGAGCGTCACGCTTTGAGGTTGACAGTCAAGACGTTCTTACGCCACACTTGACATTTCTGATGCTTATATTTCCAGATTTAATCCTCTTTATTTATTTTTTTCATGATAATTAACTTGGCCTGCCGTAGTTTTAGTAACCTGAGATTTCCACCGCATCCGGAATGGCTCCAATTTTCACCGTACGCTAATTCCTACCAGATCCGTTTGTGAGGCGAATTTCACTTGTTCGTCTTCGCCCGTTTGCATGGTGTGAATAAATACGATCCTCCTGAAACACGGAGTGTTTTATTTTGAAAAGAAGCCGGATGTTTTATTTTGTGTCTGTGCCCGACTTTGCCGACTTCAGGCGTCCAGAAAAATAGAACTGTTGTGATCAGCTGAGGAGTCCGGCGATCCGCAGAGGAGCGGAAAGAAGTCGGTGTAAATTGACACGTTAACTTGAACGGTTAGGATCAGCTACGATCGGAGGATATGACCTTTTAGCAGCCATTCTAGATGCAATGGAAATTGGTCGTATCTCTGATTGACTGACCGAGATAACCAATCCCAGACCAATCCATCAGTCCAACCACAGAAGGCACCACCAAATATAAACCAATCAGAAGCAACGTAAGGTGGGTCTTGGCGTCTCTGACTTTCTTACACCCACAACAGCACCGCCATTTAAAACCAAAGACTGTGTGTCGAATAAATAGTATAGTTTAGTATAGTTTAGTATAGTAATACAGTCTATGTGTAAAACTCACTTGACGTTCTCCTGCTCTCCTGAAGATGGATGGTACTTAACTCCCAATTCTGATCATACAAAATTATTACAAATGGGTTAATTTTTTAAACATTTTTACTAGTTTGATATCAAAGTAGGACAAATATCGCTCTTAGTTTTTATCTGTATTAGTTCACTGTTGATTTAAGTTTCTCCTTGAGTGTCCGAGTTAAAGATGTACTTTTTAAGGCTGCTATAAATCGATCATTGTCCCGTCTTCATTGCAGATCTGTGTAACATTTATTTGCCTCTTCTCTTGGACAGTTTACACTCACCACTGTAATACAGTATTCAATCAAACAGTAACATGTACCTCTGCTTCTGTCATTGAGGCGTCAACATCTGCCACAAACTCCTACAACACGAGACATGATGGACAGTTGTTGAAATGCAATATTGAAAAATAAATGTATTGTGTCAAAATTCCTGTTACAGTTTTCAGAGGCCACAGTGCAGGGAGAGCAGCTGGCATAGAGGTCAGAACAGCAGTGTTAAGGTATAGATCGGCGTTAAAAAAGGCAGATTTTTTCTGTAAACATCAGAAACACTAAAGACAGGAACCATCAGAAGTGACCCCCTGACTATTTCCATTTAACCGTGACAGAACCGTACATAAACAGCGACCCTGCCGTCATTTTAATGTATAGAAGGAACCCTACTGTTCCCTGAATGGGATCTTTAAAAAGGACCTGATTGCAGACTGCTCCTGAACCTGCAGGCGTAGATCTGCATTAGATAGATTTCATTGCATTTGCAGTGTGCAGACTGCTGCAATCAACAGCCTCAACTTCTGCTTCTGATTCGTGTTACATTTCATCAACATTCGCTGCAGGAACCAGCTGTGCGCCTACCTCCACGACATAATTAACTTTTCATCTTTTTCCGACAGCGTTTCTGTTTGACTACCTCCCACAAACTCCTGTCAGTGTTTCTACGAGTTTTCTAGTTTGCATTTTCATTTCAACTAAATGAAAGACATGCTTTTTTTATTCTCGTCTGCCAGGAGTTGAATTTTCCTGTCCTCCTCGAAAATAAGCCCCGGTGTTGTTGGCAGCGGGTCACATCAACCATGCAGGGTCTCTGAAATTTAAAAGCATGAGTTTCAAATTAAAACAAGGAGCCCGCTGCTTCCCAGGAGCTCCGCCTGACAGCTAACTCATATCCTGAAAGCAGCGATTTCCATAATAGTCAAGGAGTAGGTTTCTTAGATCAGAGCTCACAGCGGAGAGGAATAACGGCCGGCTCTGGCTTTCAGCTTATCAGTAAAGGTCACGGCTGATTTCCAATGCCCGCTCAGTCTATCCAGTGGTCCATGCATCATTCATAGGAGGAAACAGAGAGAGGAGAGAGGTCGACAGAAGACAAAAGGCTGTGCAAAGAAGAGCTAAGCTCTGAGCAAACAGTCGGCTGTCCGTCTCACAGTCCCATCGCCTGTCTGTTTACTGAACTGCCATGCTGCAGAGGTCAGGGGTCAAGTTGCTCTTCCAGGTTGGCACTGATTTCACTTTCAGCTTAGAATCCAAATGCAAAAGGAGGGAAGCCCAATATCAGCTGATTTCTGATGGTGAGCTGTGTAATGCAAAGGCGACATGCCTCGCATAATAAGTGGATCAAGAGGCCCCTGCAGGTTAGAGCATGTCACAACCACCAGGTGTGGAAATGACGTGCATGGACCTCTCAGGATTTGTGGATCTCTTCAGGCTGAGACTGTCTGCATGCATGTTGAATTTAATTTAAGGTGAGGATATTAAAAGATTTTTTGTAAATACACCACAAAATAAAAAGATGCTTCTTTAACAGATTCCTGTCTACTTCACCTTTAAGTCGGTTTTCTTCTTGTGGACCAGACTTCTTTCCTTAGACTAGAGATCAGCTGGACTCTCTCATATGAACACTGAGTTCTTGTTGCTGATGTGGATCTGTGTGAGTCTGAGTGTGTTTGTTTTTTGCTGCCATTCTTGGTCAGGACCCCCCCTGAAAAAGAGATTGATGATCTCAACAGGACTAGTCTGGTTAAATCAAATCAAAAAGACACACAACCTGCCTCCTGTCTTTGTCCTCTACAGAAAACCTGATCCAGCTGCAGGACTCACATCTGGGACATGTAAGACCACATGGATCCATGACCCAGACGGAGCGGTAACATGACATCCAGCAGAAACAGACACAATAAAGACAAACAGACGAAGTGATTTCAGTGACTCAGTTTGAGGATTTTTATGATTTTTTTACCCACAATCAGAGACTTGACCACAATCTGAGCTGAGTCAGAAACATCCAAACAGTCGGACTAATAAATGTGATTATTATTATTAGAGTGATTGAAAAGCTCATAACAACATGTAGATCTGTCCAAAGTCTGATTCTAGATGTCTTTACAAACACACTGATCCAACAGAAGCAGACAGAAATATCCATCGATCACATGAACACAAATATTCAGCAAACAGAGAAAGAAACAGATCATCTGAAGAGTTTTTGGGGACGACTGGAAAGACTTTAGACGCTTGGATTTGGGACAGGAAATAAGGTCGTCCTTTTTCTGTGATTTTGACCTCACTTTTTTCTAAAGTCTCAGACCTTCAACATCTGCACCAACTGAAGGTGATTTGAACAAACCATCATCTTGATGTTGTTGATATCAAACTGGATGAAGATTTTTCAACATGAGAAATACAAACAATCAAAGTTCTCCACAATCACTGTCCTTAAAGCTGCGACCAAATCAGCATCTTTAGAAAAGAATCAAAAAGCTGAAATGAAGAACTAAACCCAGAGTTTTTGGTGAGACTGATCCACAAACATTTACAAACCAGAACATTTCAAGAGTTCAAGGATCTCAGTCCATGATTTTGGTCTGATGGACTCAAAATTCTCTTTAGTTCACTTCCATAAACTCAGCAGAGCCTGAAGTTGAGAGTCCAGCATGTAGAGGTTCAGTGAATGTGGTCTGGACTCTGTGGAGGAGAGTCATGGTTTCAGAGACGCTGTAGAAGGACAGAATACCTGCTCTGTGATCCAGGTACACTCCTACTCTGGAGGACGGAGGATCTGAGACATCAGTGATGACTTTGTTGTGAATAAATTGATAACTGTCTTTATAACAGTCTAACATCCAAGATTTGTCATTGTATCCAAATCTACAATCCCATGATCTCCCGTCTCTCCTGATAGTCTTGTATGCGACTGCTACACCAACCCCGTCCCCTCTCCAGTCCACCTCCCAGTAACAACGTCCAGTCAGACTCTCTCTACTCAGGACCTGAAGATAACCAGTGAATCTGTCTGGATGATCAGGATAAGACTGTAGTCGTCCTGTAAATGTTGCTCTTCTGTTTCCATCAGATAATAACAGCCATTCGTTTACTGTGTTTGGATCCAGTGTGATTCTTTGTGAATATCTTAAGAAACCAGCTCTGGTCTTGGGTTCTGCTGGTCCTGGTGGTTCTGACAGTAAAACATCCACTTCAGTCACTGCCTGTGAGACGTTTGTCCACGTCTCTGTCAGAAGATCCTGGAGTTTCTCTCTGACCTCTGACACAGCTGCTGTCACCTCCTCAAAGTATCTCAGAGGACGGATGTTGATTCTGGATGAGTCTGCAGGTTGACCCGGTTCTGACAGTGAGGGGTAGCTGTGCAGAAACTGGTTGTGGTCCTCTGTGAGTGAGAGCTTCTGCAGATCAGCGTCTTTCCTCTTCAGCTCAGTGATCTCCTGCTCCAGCTTCTCCTGAAGTTCTTTGACTCGACTCACTTCACGTTCCTGCTGGGATCTGACCTGCTGCTCCACCTCAGAGCGGCGTTTCTCCATCAGACGGATCAGCTGGCTGAAGATCTCCTGGCTGTGGTCCACAGCTTTATCAGCAGAGCCGTTGATAGCCTCCACCTCCTGTTGGAGCAGCTTCACATCTTCTTCTCTGTCCTGGATTCTCTGCTGGATGTTTTCTCGACTCTCCTCCAGATCTTTCTGCCTCTCAGTCCTTTCTGCTGCAGCTGAGACTGTGTCGTGACCTTTGTGTTGGTCCAAACAGCAGAGATGACAGATGGACTTCTGATCAGTGCGGCAGAAGATCTTCATCACCTCATCATGACGAGAGCAGATGTTCTCCTGGAGCTTCTTGGAGGGCTCCACCAGCTTGTGTTTCTTAAATGTAGGAGATTCAAAATGAGGCTGGAGGTGAATCTGACAGTAAGAAACCAGACATTGAAGACAGGACTTGACAGCTTTCAGTTTTCTCCCACTGCAGACGTCACAGGCCACATCTTCAGGTCCAGCCTCAGAGGAACCATCAGGAGCAGCTTGGAGTCCGCTCTTGTTCACTTCCTCCACTAAACCTGCTAACATGGTGTTTTTCTTCAGGACAGGCCTCGGTATGAAAGTCTCTCTGCACTGAGGACAGCTGTAGATCATCTTCTCATCCTCAGTATCCCAGTGGGATTGAATACAGCTCATGCAGAAGCTGTGTCCACAGGAAACAGCCACCGGATCCTTCAGAAGATCCAAACAGATGGAACAAGATAAAGACTCACGGTCCAGATGAACTCCTTTCTGCGCCATTTCAACACTCGCTGTCGACGACGACTGACTGAGTTTTATTTCCTGAGAAGTGAAACTAGTCTGAGCTCTGATCTCAACAACATGTGTGAGTCAGCAGGATCAGCTCAGCACACGGAGGTTACACCCAACCAAGACTGTAGATCTGAAGGGGAGGGAGGAAGGAAGGGGAGGAAACAAGGAAGTGAGAGTGAGCTGAGAGAGACGAGGGAGGAGGGGGGGATCCAGTTTGTCTACAATCCAGGAAGAGGCGTGTCTCTGTGAACTTTAGACTCTCAAACTCCAACAAGCAGAAGTTCTTAAAGCTGCAGCCGTCCTGAAGATCAACTGAACCAACATTTATTCACCTCATAGAAACCTCATCGAGCAGAAACACACTTCAACTGTTTTAGAGCCACAGAGTTCAAGAGACAACACAGAGAAACTCTCTCTCTCTCTCTCTCTCTCTCTCTCTCTCTCTCTCTCTCTCTCTCTCTCTCTCTCTCTCTCTCTCTCTCTCTCTCTCTCTCTCTCTCTCTCTCTCTCTCTCTCTCTCTCTCTCTCTCTCTCTCTCTCTCTCTCTCTCTCTCTCTCTCTCTCTCTCTGCTCCAGCAAGCCCCGCCCACAAACAGACGTTCCTGCTCGCTCGTATCGTTCCAGTTAAATTCAGATATAATGCAGATAAATCCTTCAGATCATTACAAATGGGGCCCAGTCAAGGTGAAAGTCAAAAGCATTGGTGCTACTGTAGATGCCAACAGACTACCAGCAAACACAATGTTTGCAGGACTTCTACAACGAGGATAAAGTGACATAGTCCAGGACCCGAGGGAGGACAGTTTAGCGATGGCGCTACAACACGCTACAGCAGGTCCGTTTGACAAGAAACACTTCTGTTACAGACACTTGTCTTACTTTGTTAAAGCGGTTTACCTGTCCAGCAGAAAGGTTACAGGGTCACCAAGATCCCCAAGCGTCCCCCATCGTTTATGTTGACCCGGCTTTTTAGCTCTTGTCCGTTTTAAGCGCCCGTTATTCCTCCAGAGTCTCCGGTATTTACTTTGTTTTCTTGCTTGTGTCGGCAGTCGTGGCCAAAGGAGGATTCAGACAATTTTCCGAACTTTCTGGTTGGTTTCTACTGTCCGATATTGTAGCACGCTAACTTTGTTTGGGCTCCTGAACGACACGGGGGAGCAGCATTTTCTTGTTGACTGTTTTCTTGTTGCCTGGTTTGGTGTTGACTGTTTTCTTGCTGACTGTTTCTTGTTGACTGTTTTGGTGTTGACTTTTTATGGTTGACTGTTTATGGTTGACTGTTTTCTTGCTGACTGTTTTCTTGTTGACTGTTTTTTGTTGACTGTTTTGGTGTTGACCATTTTCCTGTTGACCGGTTTGGTGTTGACTGTTTTCTTGCTGACTGTTTTCTTGCTGACTGTTTATGTTTGAGTGTTTTCTTGCTTGTGTCGGCAGTCGTGGCCAAAGGAGGATTCAGACAATTTTCCGAACTTTCTGGTTGGTTTCTACTGTCCGATATTGTAGCACGCTAACTTTGTTTGGGCTCCTGAACGACACGGGGGAGCAGCGTCTGCCTCACAACCAATCAGGTTAGAGGAGGTGGAGAACGGCTTTGTTTACAGTCAGAAAGAGCGGGACTACATAGTCATAACATAACACGGCGATATCATGATATTCCCAAATGTCATCAATAACTAATAACTATTGATTGATATTAAAAGCGTTTTTGTATAAACACCACAAAATAAGGTGCTTCTTAAATGGAAACTTGCCTACCACACCTTTAATTGAATTTATACCTCCAATACGAGCTTTTACCGCAGAAAACAGACCTCAGGTTTGTGTCAGACGGAGGAAAATAAACCTGCATGTCTGCAAACTGGAAAACTTGTTGATATTAAAGATTCATGCGTCGCATTAAACTCAGACTTTAGTGAAACTCTGTCATTGCTGGTCGAGTTTATACGACTGATACGTCACTGCCAGTCTGCACTCGTCTCACTCGCCCTCTTATCCTCCCTCTCTCTCTCTCTCTCTCTCTCTCTCTCTCTCTCTCTCCCTCTCTCTCTCTCTCTCGTATCATTAGCTGATTACTCATCCATCAACATGAATTACTGAACAGCAGAAGCCAAAGGATAAACATGCATTTGCTGTGCTCATCATTCAGCCTCTTTAACGTATGTGTGTGTGAGAGTGTGTGAGTCTGAGTGTGTGTTTTGGTTGTAATTCCACTCATACAATATTCAGGTTGTTGACATCTCAAGGCTGGCAATAAAACAAACAAACACACACACACACACACACACACACACACACACACACACACTTGCACAAAGGTAATTTACTACATGCTTCATTATGTGATGGATAACCTCTCCTCTAAATTAGCAATAAAAGCCAAGGCAACACATACACACACACACACACGCGCGCACACACACACGCACACACACACACACACACACACACAGACTTGGCAGATGGTTTTGAGTGAGAATCACCAAAGACGTAGACGTGTCTGAGTGTGTGAAGTGTTACGTAACCTGTCACTTCTCTGCAGCTCCACATTTTGGAGTTAAATTTCTACAGTTTGTTTGTTGCCAAGAGGAAATGACACGTTCTCTGTCTTTGTGTATCAGCCAATCACAGCGTGCGTTCATCTTACTAAAGCATAATCCTCTGAGAGTCCTGCGGAGCGTCGAAGCGGTGGGAAATAAACAGCAGCAGCTGTATATTGAACGTGTGCATTAGTGTGTAACCACAGTCCCTGAGGTTAGTGCTCCCTCCTCATACATGCACATTTAAACTCCACCTCAGGTTAGAGCAGAATAACCTCAGGAACCTCATATTGCTAAATAAACCTCATACTGACACCAACTCTCAGATTCTGGTGGATTTTTGAGTCCATGATGGTCCTCAAGGAAAGAGTAAGTTGTCTTGACTGAAACTCATGATTCATACCTGAGCGCTCACCTGAAGTCTGAATCACACTAACTATACCAGCTGTCCGTGTCACAAACCAGGAGAGGGGTCTGGCCGCTAGGGTTGCAAAGGGGTGGAAAATTTCCGGTAAATTTCCAGAAACCTTCAATACTCCAAATTGGAAACAATCATATCCAATCACACAGCTGATTAATTAGCGAGTTATCGGACAAATAAAAGCACAAAACTGATGCTTTAACTCCGAGCTAACTGCTGAAAGTGAATAAATTAGAAATGGGATGCAGGGCGTATGATACAGCGTCCACTGTGGCGTCCACTGCATGTCTCCGTGAATGAAAGCGGCGCCATCTTGGAAATGTGAATGAGGAAGCGAGGAAGAACACAGGAGGAGCTGATTATAGATCATAATAAAGTAGGTTTTAAGTCGACTCCATTAGGTGGCGCTTGTTTGCCTCCACCATTACCTGAAGTAGCCATCGTCTATGTCGTCATGCGACGCATCGACTAATTTTTGTAGTCGATTACGTCCAATACATCGACGAATCGCCCCAGGCCTATTATTCATCGCTTTTAATTTGAAAGGCTTCGATCAACTTTGGACATACAAAAAGAGACATATGCCTGGTATATTTGCTTTTATTTTGAAAGGTTTTAAACAACTTCCTGTCGTCTCAGTGGAGGTCTGCAGCTAGACTGTCTTAAAAACCATGGTGCTTCTGGACACTGCCGACCATTTTACGAAGGTGAAATCAGGTCCTTAAGTCCTGAAAATCTCTGACATGCCAGAAATTCATCCCGCCGGTCGGGAGCAGCTAATCCGGCGATGACGGGCTGTCATGACCGCCTGTAACATGTACAGTAAACAGATTACACACAGACTGGCTGCCCGGCCTCCAAACGCCCTTAAATGATCCTTTTGGTGTCTACCCTACTTTTCTTTGTCCATCCGGTTAAGACAGACGTGTTTTCTTTACATTTCCGTCTGTTTAAATCAAGTTTTTTGCTCACTACAGCTGCTAAACTGTGACCTCATGGTAGATTATGGTTTTATAAAATGAGTTTAACAAACAAATGCAAACTGAGAACTGCCTGATCATTCATTGCTCTGGTTTAGGTTCACATACTGAGCTGCATTTGGAGCTCCACAGCCTCCTCATACGTCGGTTTGGTGTTCCTGTTTTCAGAGGATTGGCAGCTGGGCGCTCACAGATTGCTTGGCCCTGGTGCAGCTTGTAGTGGTGTCAAAAACCGCTCAAACTGCTATTGACTCCACATGTAACACAGCAACCTTTGTGGTGCCAAGGACCACACCTGCCAAGAGTGAAGTCAGCGGGACGACAAGGCTGATGCGATTATGGTCGTAGGGCGAAAAAATAAACGTTTGGCTCGGTCGAAGAGCAGATTGCAAAAGATTGGAAATTTTCTCGATAAACTGACTTCTTCTTTTTCCCCTCTCGTACAGCTGATTTTGTACGGCTCTTTAACGTGAGGATTAACACCTGTGTTTGGCAGTTTTTTGGTGCAAATGGGAAAACATTTAATAACGCATGTGAAACCTCAACACTTTCAAGCAGAATCAAGTTGTAGATATCTACTTTCTCAGGAAAACATTGGCTATCAGAGTACGTCTCTCTCAAATCAGCGAAAAACTCCTAAACATGTTCACCTCGAGCCTTGGCGAACAGGAGACACAATATTTGTCTCTATTTTTCAAACTCTAATAAACTCCAAATACACCACAGTGAGTGACCATGCCAAGCGTATGCACACGAGTAAAAGTCTAAATGTACATGTCCCCTGAATGTGGGATTAAACTATCTTGCAGTTAATTGGTCGTTGGCTTCTTCTAATTGGACGTAACCATCAAGAAAACCTTTAAACCTACTGAACACATGTAAACACATTTGTATTTGTTGGGATGCTACCACTTAGAAAATCAGCGAAGGTTAACAACATTTCATTTACGTTTCAGGAAGAAGAAGAAGAGCATGAAAATGTTCGAAATCGTCCTATTACTGCCAAACAAATGAAGTTTCTGAATGAGCAGGAAGCTTCTAGGCTGGATCGAAAACCCGCTAAAAGGTTCACAAGAGCGCAAAGACCTCTTTAAACTAGCTGAAGGGTCAGCCTTTAATCACAGTTATCCTTGTAATGATTTCAGAGATATTAACCCTCAGAACTCCCAGATGTATTTTGCTGTTTTTGGTCTGTATGTTTTTTTTTCGATGTAGTAACTCGACCCTTTCAAGCACAGCAGATATACACAGACAACCTCAGCTCTCAGTTTATGGAGCAAAAACGATGTTAAATAAATGTGACAGTAGAGACATTTAGAAGATGAGACATTTAACCGACGGAAACAACAGCGAAAACAAACACCCCGAAACACAGCGAGTCAATAACAGGACAAACAAAGCAGAGAAGGTGTTAAAACCAAGCAGCCAAGGTTCACAGGCCCCACACAGCAAAAAGCTAGCTGTTAGCCGCTAAGCTAGCATCACAACTTGTAAACAAAACACAATCTCAGCACAGCTAACAGGACAAAGCAGAAGCACACAGGATTAAAGCTCCTACCTGATTCTGAAGTCCAGCTGGGTCTGATCCATGAGAACTGAGAGGGATGTCCTGGAGAAGTCAGCTGTTCTTATAAACATCCTGCTTCCTGTCAGGTGAGCGGCACACCTGTCCTTCAAAATAAAAGCCTGAACCCATCTCCAACAATCAACTCCACAACACACAGTATCTGACCTGCTGTCTGACCAGACCGTCAGCGTTGACTGAGCCGCCTTTTCCTCCACCTTACCCTCCACACCACCTCACTGAGCCGCTCAAATCAACCTGAATTTAACACCAACATGTCCTCATTTTAAAATAGTTTACTGTTTTTTAAGAAGCTACAAGTACATTTCTCTGTCTTTAATTCCTCGCTGTGCAAAAACTTGTTAGAAACTATGCAGACCTCGGCTCATTGTCAGGAGCTGCACTCGAAGGTCTCTGAGTGTCTTCAAGCAGTTAAAACTCAAGATGAGCTTCGTCGGTGGAGACCTTGGAGGGAAAGAGAGCGCCCTTCTTCTCCGGGGAAAACTGAGGAGCTCTCAAAGTGGGAAATCTGACAAACAGGAACAAAAAGCCTTCAGATTCGTACAGTGAGCAAAGGAAAGTAAGTGGTTTCTTTTGACTCTTTGAGGATCTTAGGAAGGGCCAGAAATCTTGACCCGTTTTCCCCTCAGCGGCATGTCCACTTTAAGACGTTCCAGTTTGGTTGCTCATGGAATAACAGAGAAGCAAGAGATGGTATAACTACGGTGCACCAAAAGGAACAAAAACAATTTCCTTGACTTGAATTTGTGCCGGTCTGTGAAATAACTACAAATCTACAAAGCTCAAGCTGTCGAGGATCGAACTAACCATAAAAGAACAATCTGGATCCTCCTCAAGTGAACAAACCAACTGTAGGCAATTTTAATAAGAAGAAGAAGAAGAAGAAGAAGAAGAATTTTATATAGAACTTTTTAAAAAAATGATTTATTCACATTTTTTTTATTCCTCCAGAGTCTCCGGTATTTACTTTGTTTTCTTGCTTGTGTCGGCAGTCGTGGCCAAAGGAGGATTCAGACAATTTTCCGAACTTTCTGGTTGGTTTCTACTGTCCGATATTGTAGCACGCTAACTTTGTTTGGGCTCCTGAACGACACGGGGGAGCAGCGTCTGACTCACAACCAATCAGGTCGGGGATATTCCCAAAATGTCATCAATAACTAATAACTATTGACTGATATTAAAAGATTTTTTGTAAATACGCCACAAAATGAAATGCTTCTTTAACGGATTCCTGAGTCTCCACAGCCGAGTCCCTGAGTGTTTCCACCCCCGGAATTTAAAGAAGAAGAAGAAAAAGAAGCTGTTGTTGTTGTCGTCGTTGTTGGTCAGCAGGAGGGGGTGAAATCTTTGTCTTAAACGTGGTGTGACGGTCAGCAGAGGAGCTGCCTCTGACATGTGGACTTCTGTGGTGCAGCTGCTTCTGTCAGACTCTGTTTTCATGTCCACATGGAGTCGGGCGAGAAAAGCGAAATGTCCTTTATTTGGTGTCGTTACAAGATTTACACGAACACTTTCACATCTAAAAACTTCAATTAAGATCGTGTTGTACTCTCTCTCTCTCTCTCTCTCTCTCTCTCTCTCTCTCTCTCGAGTCATTTCTGCCTTTTGTTCCTTCGCCTTCATTCTGTGGATCAATCGTGCGACGTGTATCCATGACAACTGCACATCATTGATTGGGTAAATTCTGCAAACACTTTTCAGTTGCTCGTTATCCTACAAACCCGTTTGTGGTGTTTCCGTTTTTAATAACAGCCTCAGTAGATTTTTATCTGCACACACTCTGTCAGAACACGATGAGTTTGTAGTACAAGTCGGTCAGAACCAAACCTGAGCGCCACGGTCGGCTCTCACATCTTCTGCAGACTCCTTGGAGTCTCACCAAACCTCGCTCAGAGCCCAGGAAAGAGGGCTGGCACGAACATGAACAACCAACTCCATTGATGAAAATCTGCTTGGATCAGATACAGAGTCCGCTTTAAGAGGAACTGGTTCGTTGAAAAAGCATGAAGCACAGATCCAAAACTAAAATCAGGGTGTAGAAGACGCTCTGCTCCACAGATCTCCTCATGAATCTGTCTTTATAGAGTTCATTACAGCACGTTTGGAAATTTAGTTTAGACAAACCATCATCTGGGTCTTCATTTTTCTCTAGGGCTGGGCGATATGGCCTCAAATCAATATCACGATATATTGATCAGTTCACCTCGATAACGATAAATGGACGATAACTACTCCACCAGCTGCTCACCCCCTCCCACATTAACTTCGTCTACTTCAGCCGCTCCAACTTTCTCTCCGTCCTCCATCTCCTCACCTGTCTTTCCCTCTTTGTCACAGACTGGATGGGGCGGAGTCACATCTCTGATGTAGGACAGTGTCTTAAAAGGGACATGAGACCATAGCCTACCTACACACATCCAAAAACAACTTTGATTTATCGACTTTTTTGACACGGATTATACAGATACGGGCAAAATGACGTCAGTTATTGTCGTACATTTTGACGTTGGTAAATTTTCGGTTTATCGCCCAGCCCTAGGTTTCCTGCTCATGATAAATGGTTCAGACATAAAGAAAAAATGCACACAAACCTTGTGCCACCAAATATTTCCCAAGTCGAGTAAATTTTAACTTTTGTTTTCACTCTTATTGTGCAATAAAACTTGGTCTGAAATTTCAGCCGAGACAAAATAACCCATTGACCATGCCGCTCACGTAAACTGTCTTTGTTCTGAAGTAAATGCTTTTCTAACATCCTCTCTTTGTCTCCGCTTCTGTCTTATTTTCCTCTCATCCATCACTCCCCCCTCCACACCAGTATTTCGGTGAAAATAACAACCCTGATGCAACAGCATCGCAACACCTCAAAGGAACTTTATTTTCTCAAACATTTTGTTTTCGCTCTGATGGTGTCGAAACTGTTTTTTGTTTTCAGCCCCGTCCATCGAGGTCAGTGATGCTTTAAAATCAGGTGGACAAGAATCAACAACCTGGACGACGGAGAATAAAACCTGCAGCCTGAAATTTGATCAGAGGACATGAGCTGCACTGGAGGTTAAAATAAACAAAGATGTCTTACTCTGCAAAAGCTTAATCATCAATGTGTAGATTTCATGCAACCGTGTAGTTTTATAGTTTTCTTTGAATGTATGATCGTGACCTGTTGAGGGAGTAAAGTCTAAAAAAGTGGCACCAAACTGAGGTTTTTATGTCTGTGCAGCCTGGGACAGATTGCAGCAAAAGTCCAACAAAAAAAGCCGAAAAGATGTTCTCCAAACGGTTAGATTACGCCGTCTGAATCGGCTGCAGATGGAGAGCCGCCAGGCCGCCGCCGCTGCTGCTGCTGCTGTTGAGCGGGGATAGATAAGCCACCAGAGATCAGCTCGTACAAAGAGAGCGATCAGAGCAGCTCTGGTGTTTGTTCAGGAGTGTATTCTGTGGAGGAGGCCGTCGCTGCAACAAAGACTGAACACATCAGCAAACAGGCGGTAAATACAGAGAGGAACAGCTCGGTGTTACAGTGAGCTGGAGATCTTTCAAAAACAACCAGACGTGAAGAATCGTGTCTGTTTTCTGTTTTTGTGAAGCAGAGTTAAACCTGAAAAAGGACGTATTTGTTAAGTAAACACGGGTTTCAGACGGGAACATGAACTGAAAACACTTTACAATAAACATCATTTATAAACGGTAAATAGAGATTTTATTCATGTTTAATCATCATTTATATAACAAATTTGCGACCATGTCCAAACATAATAACTCAGTTTTGCACAGTTAGACAGTTCAGTTCTTGTTTCAAGTAGATCGACATGTTTTTGACCGTCTTCTTCTTGCAGATTCAGCTGAGAGGAAAAAAAACTTCAGGTGCAGTTTGTCCTCCCAGGTATCGCACATTTATATCCAGTGTAAAATCACTTACTAACGCTTTAGATCTGTGATTATTTTTATTCACGGTTTCATGACAACAGGGTCAGAATTCACTCTGTATGTTTTTCAGAAAAAATAAACTAATTTTTAAAAATTATTTTGGTTTATACTGAGAAAAATCGCACAGAAATGTTTTGTGTTTGGCAGACGACGACGAAGCCGACAGAAAAATTAAAGCTTAAAAGTTTATTTAAAGCTCCTTAGAGGAACTTTGGTCACACTTTACAATAACCAGAATTTATAAACGGTAAATAGAGAGTTTATTAATTTTTAATCATCGTTTAAAAGCAGCATAAAGACCAATTATAAATGGAAAATAGTTTATTAATGTAAGTTAATAGTTACTTCACCATTAACAAGTAATGAAATTATGATTAATGTAAAGTAAATGGTTAATATTTGGTTAATAAACCACCTATAAAAACATAATTTAGATGTTATTGTAAAGTTAGGGTTCGGTTTTTAAAATTGTAAAATTGACAGTTTATTTATGGTCTGTTTATAAATGATGATTAAACACTAATAAACTATTAACCATGTATAAGTTATGGTTATTGTAGCGTGTTACCCATGATCCTCGTATCCTCAGCGTTCAGATCTTCTTGCACACACACACACACACACGGTTGGCTTGTATCCTCCTACACACACCCTCCTCTTTAATCCATATCTATAGATATTTCTGCATGTCCGCGGTCATTAAAGCTGCAGATGAATACCTGCATAAAAAATCTGTATACGTTCATGCTGTACTGAAAGGAGCAGGGATTTTATACCAGCATGGACCGTCTGTTCCTCCTTTCAGTGAGCTGATCAAAAGAACTCCCACATGTTTCTGCTCCTGCATGACAGAGACCTTTCTGTCCTCATTCATGTCCATACATGGACACAAAAGAGCCCAGTCAATCAGCACAGCCTCGGATCGGACTGGTTTTTCTATCGGGGACCAGGAGGGAGAAAGAGACTCGAGAGAAAAAGAGAAAAATCAAAGATCAGACGCGAGGAATTCAACCGACTCAAGAAGACATGAGGTGGAGATGTTTCTGCTAAGTGTCCAGTGATCATTTTTTCATTGGGAGACAAAGTCGGAGTAAAATCATTTTCTTACAAGATTCAAAAGGTGAAATTACAACAAAATTACAGTGAATAAAATAATAATGTTACAAGATTAATGAATTAAATGATCCTCATATTTGAATTGGTATAATCCTTTCGTCGCTGTTGTTATCTTCCGCTTCATCCGGGTCCGGTTCGTGGGGGCAGCAGCTTCAGGAGGGAAGCCCAGACGGCCCTCACCCCGGCCACCTCCACCAGCTCCTCCTCCTCCGGGGGGATTCCCAGGCGCTCCCAGGCCAGGCGGGAGATATAATCCCTCCACCTGGTCCTGGGCCGACCACGAGGTCTCCTCCCGGTGGGACATGTCTGGAACACCTCTAACCGGAGGCGTCCAGAAGGCGTCCTAACCAGATGTCCGAGCCACCTCAGCTGACTCCTCTGGACGTGGAGGAGCAGCGGTTCTCCTCTGAGCGCCTCCCGAGTGTCCGAGCTCCTTCCCCTATCTCTAAGGCTGAGCCCGGACACCCTGAGGAGGAAACCCATTTCAGCCGCTTGTATCTGGGATCTTGTTCTTTCGGTCATTACCCAAAGTTCATGACCATAGGTGAGGATCGTGAGGATCGGCGAGTAAATTACCAGGTAAATTGAGAGTCTCTTTCTTCACCACGATAGATCGGTTAAGCGTCTGCATCACTGCTGACGCCGCTTCGATCCGCCTGTCGATCTCCCGCTCCATCCCACCCTCACTCATGAACAAGATCCCGAGATACTTGAACTCTGTCTGACCTGGAGAAGGCAATCTACCTTTCTCCGACTGAGGACCATGGCCTCGGATTTGGAGGTGCTGATTCGCATCGCAACCACTTCACACTCGACTGAAGGTCACTGCTCAACGAGGCTAGAAGAGCCACATCATCCGCAAAAAGCAAAATCCTCTGCCTGCCGAACTGGACACCCTCCGCCCCCGGCTGCCCCTAGAAATTCTGTCCATAAAGGTTCTGAACAGAACCGGTGAAAAAGGGCAGCCCTGGCCGAGTCCAACTCCCACTGGAAACGAGACCGTCTTACAACCGGCTACACGGACCAAGCTCGTGCTCCTTTGGAAAAGGGATTGGACGACCCTTAATAAGGAACCATCCACCTCGTAGGATTCCCAGAGGGACACGGTCGTAGACCTTCTCCAGGTCCACAAAACACATGTGGACTGGTTGGACAAACTCCCATCTCCCCTCAAGAACCCGAGCGAGGATGAAGAGCTTTTCCATAGTTCCGCGACTGGGATGAAAACCGCGTTGTTCCTCCTCGATTCAAAGTTCAACTATCGATCGGACCCTCTTTTCCAGCACCCTGGCTGAGGAGTTAATTCACAAGTCTTATTTTGTCTCCTCGTCTCACTAAAGGAATTAACGAAACGCTTTTAAATCCCAAATCGGTGTTTTAAAACAAACTTCAAGCTCTCTGGGAAACTCTGTCCGCTGTTTGCGTGTTTCCTGTGTGATCATGAAAACGTCTCAGTGGGAGAACAGCCGTGAATCACAGTTTAGATAAACCAGGATTTAAACCCCCAATTTGGACTCCGGATCAATAAGCGACAAACTCGGCGTCATGAAAGTAATTTGATGGTCCATCAGCGGTGAAGGTCAGTGTGAGGAGAGGTGGTCTGTCCAAAGAGATAAAGAGCTGAGCTCCACGTTTGGTTTGCTCTCTCTCTCTCTCTCTCTCTCTCACTCTCTCACTCTCGCTCGCTCGCTCGCTGCTGTTGTGGGCCCCTTACTAATAAAGCTGCGATGCCATAACACTGATCTCATAAACTAATGAACGCTCTGCGCTCAACGTGTGGGCGGCTTTGTAATCAGATCACACAGCTATCAGGTATCGGTGATGTTTACAGAAATTGCTCATAATTACATTTCACATCATAAGTATGAAAAGAGGCGGGAGCGCTCTGCGGAAAGAAGTATGTGTCTATAAAAAGTGATCGAAGAAAGGATGAAGGAGTATTTGAGTGTTTTATTAAAGTGTATTTATATAAGAAAGGACCGTCAGAGCGATGGAAACACTTTACAGCAAAGAAATCTCAACTCAGCGTCTCTCCTTCGAGTGAATTTGTGCAGGTTCTCCACGTGACAGAATGAGTGTTTTAGTTTTAGTTCAAGTATTAGAGCCGGTATCAGAAAGAAAAAACAGGGTTTGTGGGGTTATTTGTGGAGTCCCTCAAGGATCTGTTTTGGGCCCGCTTCGATTCTCCCTGATTATGCCGCCTGTAACCGGCAATTTCCACGAAAAGGTCGTATCCTCCGATCGTAGCTGATTGTAACCGTTCAAGTTAATGAGTTAAGAGTTCTATTTTTTTCGGATGTTGGAGCATGGCGGATAAATCCAGCGCAGATTAACCCGTGCTGGAAAGGAAGTCGGACAAGGACAGAGGCGGAGACGAACAAGTGAAAGGTTTTTAGACGTCATTTCACCCCGATGACACCATGGATGAGGAGATGCTGATTCTAGAAGTCTAGAAGTAGATTTCCTCCTCTGGAAGGACACAATCTACTGCTTATTTGGTTAGCCTCTGTGGCTAAAGACAACTTGTTACAACTTGAATTGGCGTACGGGGAATCAGAACCGTTCCGGATGCGTTGGAAATCCCAGGTAAGGTCTTTTTTTCCCACGACATACTAATTCCTAACCTGATCCATCCATCCATGTTTTTTTTTGGTGTTTCTGTGGTTTAACTCTGGACAGACTGCTGGTCCATCACAGCACTGTCATATGGCGACACGCTCACACCTTCTGGGAGATTAAGAGAGACCAGTTAACCTAACGAACAGGTTTTTGGACTGTGAGAGGAGGCCGTTATACTCCCTAGGAAGTCAAACCAGGAACCTTTTTACTGTGAAACACTGAACTAACTCTAGATGCAGAAAAAAAAAACTTATTTTATGACCTTTTTGCTGCTTCGTTGAGATCCTTGGTGTCTAACTCTGTCCGGGTTCTTGCAGGTGAAGTCACTCCAGACTGGAAGACTAAGATAGACCACCTCCCACCTGTGCGTCTCCCCTCACACTGGCCTCCGGTCTGTAACAGGATTCGTGATGAAATTTCGCCGTTGACCTTTAAAGCTCTTAATGGATCGGCGCCACTTACAGACTCAGCAGAACTCCTCCATATTCATCCTCCAGCTCGAAGACTCTGAGGCGCACCTGTATGTGCAGCAGGTGTGGTCAAACCTTCAACAGAGACCTGTAGATCCACTAACGTTTCACTGCGTTTATTGCTTTAATATTCGGTGACTCAGCTCAGCTCAGAACTGGGACTTGTTAGTCTCACAAGTTTGACGTCTCATCATAAACCATCACTGAGAAATTCTCCTGAACCCTCATTTCACGGGCGGGGACACCTGCAAACCTGCCGCGTCATCTCCCCAGATCTCACAGGTGCGTTTTAATCTGCGTATTTATTCTTTTCAGCATTTCTTCTCTTTAATTTACACATTTTACAGTCTCTTAGATGTTGAAGAGGTGACGTTTGCATCCCCAGATTTACCGCTTTAATTCTCCTTTTAAATCCCACACATCAGATGTCTCTGTTCAGAAAACTGACAGGAGCCACCTGTCCAATTTCAGTCACATTTGACTCGATTTAATGTCGCTTCGGCGGGGAGGCTCTGACTCACCCTGGACCAGAATATTACTTTCCTGACTCCTGTGATTCCTCCGACACTGGCTGTCTGTCGTCTCCTAGCGCCCTGTTGCTTCTCATCTCTGCTAAATTTTCCACATTTCTCTGACCGCCTTCCTCTGCAGCAGGAAAAACTCGAGCGCAGCATCCTGAAATCATCCGGACCGCTGTTTGTCCTCTGAGTTCATCACTTAATGCATCTGTCCTCCTCCTCCTCCTCCTCGTCTTTTCTGTAGATCCCTCAGTAGAGAGATGACTCACCCGGCAGCAGCAGCAGCCGCCCAGTTAACGGGAACTCGGCTTGATCCAGGAGGTCATTGGATCAAGTTCTGGTACAAAACAAAAGCATGAAAGTTGCAACCGGCTACTGGAGAGGCGCCAGTTCACATCCTGGTCTCTGCCAAGAAGCTCTTGAACAAGAGGCCAAACTACTTACCCTCAACTCCTCCTGCAGCAGCCTCCTCCTCACTCTGACGTCTCTCCGTCACACCGGATCACATACGTGTTTATTTGTGGCCTACATGTGCGTGTTAGATAAAATTAGAGAAAAAAACAAGTTCTTATTCGCCTCTCTTCCTCTCGCTTTGTCCGAGATCCTCAAAAGAGACTCGCCGACTTCACCTTGGCAACAGTCTTTAGGTAACCGGGGAGTCCCAATGAGAATCAAACAACCACAGGCCTTCGTCACCACATCCGTTATGATGCTCCTAACACTCGGTTCCTGTTGATTTTTAGCTCCATCCATTCGTCTCCAAAACGGACATGCAGATAAATGTTCATAAAATAATCTTTTTTTAACTTTTTTTGATTCAAATCTCTTAAACAACTTTAACCCTAACTATTAAAAAGTAATGAATAAAAAATTTAATATATATAAACATATAAAATCAGAAGATATCTGTAAGATAGGAATCATTTATGAGTGTTTATCCTCCTCTGACCAAAATCTGACCGTGATTACTCTGATATAAAAATAACTGCATATTTGAGATGTGATATCTTCTCCCCTGATGATCTGAAGGACCTGCTCATCCTCATGCATGTCCATCCACCTGCTCTGAGGTTGAAGTTGTCCAAATGTCCCCCTCCCCTCTCTTTGTCCCACACTGCAGAACTTGGACGTCAGATTCTCGCCCGGTTCTAAACATGGACGCAGATTCTCACCCGTGCACACACGCAGGAGCACACACACTCTTCCTTCCACACATATCCCACTCTTAGACATCCATATCTAGTGTCATGTAAAGTTTCCTTCATTTCTGATGATGTTTAGTGGATGAATCTTCAAACTCTCTCAGTCCATGAATGAAGACTTGAAGAATTAAAATGATGTGCGGCTCAGTCTGTTGTCTCACTGTGGGAAAGTCAGATTTAGAGCCCTGCTGATCGACTGACTGCAGGAAAAAAGGTTTAATATGTTGTTATGGAGCCGTAAACACATGCTCAAAAAACCTGTTTTTAATGGAAGTCTATTGAACTCTCACCAAATTTGATTTTCCAATCTTTAAAACTGTGACTGTCAGCTCAAAATAAAAGAAAAAGAAAAAGACAAATGTCCTCAAAACGGAGAGAGGAGGAACTGAGGGATAAATTGACAAAGAGATTTTAGTTTTGAAGGTTTTTCAGTGTCCAAGGTGCAAAAAAGGCAGTTTGGATCTGATGTAGAGACACGTAAAAAGGACGTCCAACCACCAAATCATAACAACTGCAATAGTGAGGGAGGGAATTCGCTTTAGTAATGACGGAAAGAGATGCGTGAAAGACTGTGTCATCTACAGGAAGTTGCTGTAATCATGATAGACATGAATGTAGACTTAACGAGTTTTCTCTCTCGACACCAAAAGTCAAGTAAGTTCATTTAGTTGATTGTCTACCT